TTTAGAAATGGAGAGCACGAGTCCGAAAATAAGAAAGAAGGGAAATGATGATAAATCGGGGATTTGGTACAGAAAGTCGCCATCTGTGATTGCCAGCGCGAAGCAGCGTTCGCTCGCCTGGCTCGCGGTCAAGCAGCGGCGGCGGCGGCGGCGGCGGCGGCGGCGGCGGAGTGGCGTTGACATTGCATTCGATTTGCGCGCTCGGCGGACTCGCACCTGGCACTATACGGCCGCGTCGCGCGGATGCGCGCGCCGCCGCAGGCCTACTACAGCCACTTTGCGGCGCGTCCCCAATCGGCAATCGCCGGCAATTGCACGTTTCTATTTAGAAATTGCTCGCGGCCGGCGCGCGCAATTTCGAAGAATGCTCCTGAATTGCCGCTCATTGTCGCTGTCGCGGCCAAGAAGCCTCGATTGAACATCCCAGATTCTCCTCTCTTCTAATTCTGCCTCGCGCGCCCAAAGGCGTCCTTGTTCTTTTGTTGCGATAACACTGGGCGTCTCTCGCGTGCGCCGACGGTAATCGTAGCGCTCGCGATGTTTCGCCCGAGAGCACACCGTACTAATCGTGTATTATAAGTGCGCGTGTAAAAATGGCAGTGTACGGGTGTGATCGTCGGTCTCGTAGTGCGAGCGCGCAATAGAATTAATTTGTCGTGTGCTCGTCTCTGCTCGTTGTGCATCCGCTCGATACGACGCGCGCTCACATTCTCAGCACAGAGATGTCACCGGTTAATCACCTTTTACGCAACTCCCATCCGAATGCCAACCCTATCCTTATTTATTCGTTGCTTGAGTCACTGTTTTGATTAATGTCGAGCCATTCGTTTTCTTTCGTATACATTCTGACACGGGTAAACTGCTTTGAAGATGAAGCGACTTTTGGTACAGAAACTCTTGGCAAAGACAGTTGTGCCACAGCATAAAATAATATTCAATCAATTGCTTGCTCCATTTGAATTTGACGTCTCCGCGTGAAAACCTATTGAAACGTATAAATCGACCGAATTCGCACGGAAAATACTCAGTGATGAATGGACGATAAAATATCTTCTCTAAGACATTTCCACATTATGAAATATTACTCTGTTATGAATATTCGAAATATGCCATACCACACTGTGTGCAGCTTTGTTGAAGAAAGTTTATTCGACTATTGAACTTGAGCCTATTAATAGCATGTCACAAGAGCTATATCATTCGCGAAATGAAGACAAAGTCTTTAATCTGAATTGCGGATAAATAGATAAGCAAATCGACCAAGCAAACAGAAGTACTCGAGCAGACGCGCGAGCCAAAACGTCAAGAGAACGAAGACAAACCGCAACGGGAGCGGAAAACTTTATATAACATATCAATTGTATCCCTGTCCGCTCAAGCGAGTCGAATGAGAAAAAGAGACTGTTTGGCTTCTAGCCAAGTTATAATTCACGACGTTAAAGCACAAAATCCTGCGTTGCGTTGAAATTGTAACGGTGTAATACGGTCGTTTCCACTACGGTTAGCTCGCGGCCGTCCGCACAAATTATTTTTAAGGAGGATTTGGGAGGCGCGAACGCTTCCACGACTAAATGACGAGCCGAGCTATGACGCGTCAATCGCGCGGACTGGATTCAGGACGAGGAGTGATACTTAGGAAAACGAACGTGACAACAACTTTATATAAAGGCTTTTAATCATAAAACAAAACAAGTAACAACGAAAACAAATCAACAACAAAAATAACAGCTCAAAATAGCGATCTCAACGCTGATTCTCTTACTCGCGGAGATGAATTGATGGTGGTAGGGCTGCCACCCGATTTACTATACTACTCTTACTTCTAACGCAACAATGATACGACGCCCGTATGGATAAATCGGCGATCGCAGCCGACGGTATAGCTGGTAGGTCTGTCGCGCTACCGGCAACAAGTAGACACTCAAAGCATGTGTGAGAGAGAGAGAGAGAGAGAGAGAGAGAGAGAGAGAGAGAGAGAGAGAGACGGCATCGACCTCGTACATCGCCTCCTCGCTCCGTCGCTGTTGTCGTCATCGTCGTCTCCTGTTGCTGTTGTTGTTGTTGTTGCGATCGCCGTTGGTCGCTATACACCCCGCTGCCTGCTTCTCCTCATCCACATTTTTCGCTAGCGGCAATGGTCGCTCTAGTGCGCACCTACGTCACTTCGCCGCTAAAACTCACACGCGCACCGGTGTAGAGTAACAATTCAAAAGTGGTTGGACGTGACCCAGCCAGTACCACACCTCAATCCGCGCCCCTGGCGTGTCTCCAAACTATTCCTTGTCGGCGAGGGCGCGGGAAAAACTCACAGAAAACCATAAGAAAAACGCGTGCGACAGCCTTCACTAATACTCAACGAACACTAAACTAAAAATCGGCTCGAGGGTGCGCACGCAACTCTCGATCTTTCCTTCCTATCTTCTATCTTCCATCTCTTCTCGTTCTTCTGTCTCTCCCTCTCTCTCTCTCTCTCTTCGCTCTTCTTTTCCTCTGGCGCTCGTCTTCGCGTGGCACCTCACAAACAAAGACAAGTACGAGTGTGTACTCTACGTGCATACACTCACAACTTGGCATGGCGCGATTCTCCGTCACAGTCCCTCCGAAGTAACCGATCCTTTCCATAGGATCGGGGGCTATTTCCCGCTCTCGCCGTCCGGGCACCTTGCCTCGGCTGGGACATTCTGCCTGACTACACCCGCCGATGATAACAAGGACCAAGGGACCAGACAGCGTCTCGCCGGCAGCGTGTGGACTAACTGCCAGAGAAAAAAAAACAAAATAAAATAAAATCGAAAACGAACGCAAAAAGAAAATACATCTAAAACTCAAAAGAAAAGAAAAACCTTCCCCGGGAAACCAAATTCAAGAAAAAACAAAAATCAAATGAAAATACAAACCTGAAATTAAAATAAATCCATCACCTAAATAGAAAATCAAAAGAAAAATGAAAAACAAATCAAATAAACCTACCACCATAGCTCCCCTTACCTCATTGCTCCTTCACCCCTGGTATTCCTGGCGGGGGGAGGCGGAGAGACCTCGCTTGCCTCCGCGACGAAGCACAAGCGATATCCTAGGGTAGACTAAATCACTCTCCTGAAACTTGACAGACCAACGTCTGTCGATGTCGAACCAATGCCAGATCGTAATACCTCTTCCGTTTGTTCTGCGCCTGTTCAATGAGATTCACCGTGAAGCTTCGTAGCACGTTCAAGCACTTTATAAAGTCTGCCCATTCCTCAAGAGAGAGACGCACAAATTATCCTCGCTTCTGGATTTCTCTACGTAGGTTCTTTGCTTGACACGATTCCATACTAAAATTTAAGAACGCAGGCGACACCCTCGTACTCGCCTGAAAAGCCGTGTTCATCGCGTGTCAAAACTCGTCCAGATGCTTATCCCAGTCGTGATGATCACGATCTACGAAAATCGAGATCACGGTCTTCAACGTCTTGATCGCTCGCTAGCAATTGGTGTTAGGATGGGCATGACACATGTACAATTCCGTACTCCTTCCGGATACCCTTGAATTCCGTCCCGCAGTAGTTTTTACTACTGTCGCTCACCAAATATTCGGGGACTTCTCGCCTGAACAAAATAAATTTTTCAAGGGCACTCCTCAAGGTCTTTCCGGTAGCAACCGTTAGTGGCTGAACTCCACCCACTTGGTGAACAAATCTTGGAATACCACCAGATCCACCTGCTCGTAAGACCCTTCGGTACGTCCTTTTCGACATTGTACTGTTAACATGACTGCTCAAACAGTTGCACTATGGATTGGACTTTTGAATATCAATGGAAGAATAGAATATGGATTAGGGAATCAGCTTAACAACCAAGAACACGAATTGGTCATATATCAAACCAAAAACCAAGTTGCCAGAACAAGAACAATGGTAAATGACGGAAGCGTGGTAAAATGCGAGAAACGAGTAACTTGTCACCACTGCTGAATGATGAGCAATTCCAGTCCGCAACTAAGCAGCAGGACATCCTTACTGAAAACCTCTGTTACTGTTGTCGTTCTTGTTGTTATTACTGTTGATGTTCCAGTTGCTATTTCTGTTGTTGTTCCCGTTACTGCTGTTACGGGTGCCGCTGGTTGCTGCGCACCTCGTTGCCTGCTGCTGCTGCTCGCCCGTCTTTTTCGTTACCGGTAATGGCCGCTCACGCACGCACTGATGTCACCTCGCCGATACAGCGCACCGGTGCTGGTGACAATTGAAAATCAGTGGCTGGGCGCGATCCAGCCAATAACATACCTCACTCTGCGCAACGTGCGTGACTCTAAACTATTCCTTGTCGGTAATAACGCAGGGAAAACACCGAAAACCTATAAGAAAAGCGCGCGTGACGGCCTTCGCCAATACTCAGCGAATACTAAACTAAAAATCGGCGCGAGGGTGCGCGCGCAAATCCCGATATTTCCTTCCTATCATCTATTTCTTACTCTTCTTCTCTGCCGCTCGTCCTCGTGGCATATATCTCAACAAAGGCAAGCATGAACGTGTGCTCTACACGCACACACTCACAGCTTGGCACGACACGTGGACCTCGGCGAGTGCCCGACGGCAGATCGCCGGTCATGCCGCATATCTCCGTTACAAAATATACAATGCCAAGTAGCTGTCGCGATGATAATTTAATTGAACTTCGCTTAGCTCTTTCTCTTTCTCTCTCTCTGTCGCTAATGACTTTGTTTTCGAGTGCTCAAGTACTTGAGGAAATTTTGATTTAATGATTGAAGATCAAATTGGATCGACTTTCAAATCAGATATTCGTACACAAACTTCTTTTGAAATAAATCCGCCATGCTTTGCATAATTCCGAATTGATCTGTTTTTTGAGGCTCCACGTTATTGATGCATCTTATCTCTGTAAATTCGTTTCGTAACTTGGCTTGGTTAATCGCAAGTTACGTCAGAATTGATTCAAATTCGTTTTGACTGGGTTTTATATGGCAGTTTGGTTTGTAATAAATCAATGGTTTAAATGGAAAAAGTAACATTTTATTTGCAAATTAAGGTAGGATATCTGGTTTTTACAGACATATAATGAATTAGATTAGACACGTTATATTTTTTCTTAATTTATAAATAAATTTTAGATAACTTTCCTCGTTCAAGTGACGACTGACCGTGTTAAGAAAATGTAATAATTTTTAAAGAAAACTACCTGTGAAATTTATCGATAATGAAGGTAGTAAATTAAAAGAAAGGTAGTATTGGTTACAAATAATCGAAAGAAATGGTAAATGCTTGAAATTCATAGACAAGTTCTCAATGTAATAATTAAAAAATTATATGCTAAATTTCAAATTCCCTTGTTAACTGTAATTGAAGTGTCTTCAATTTAAAATTTGAAAATTAAAATATAATTTTAAAGATAGACAAACTTTATCTGTTACAATCTCGTTTATAAATAATAATGACGGAATGTTACTATTATGTTTTTTTTTTAGAATTAATGTAGCGAAGAGCAGATTAAATAAATACAAAATTTTAATCATTAACTTTAAACGTAAGCTGCCATGTAAAGTCAATTGATTGTTCAATAAACGTTTATGATAAAAATCATAAAAACCGCCTCTGTAGCTGCCGTATATCTTTTTAATTGATCCATCACTTGTTTGACAATAATCCATCACAATCAATCAGTAATTACACTTTTTATTACATAGAAAAAGAATTTTCGTCGTATTACTAATTTTTGATTGCCTCTACTACCTTAATATGATTGAAAAAAATTTGAATTTTTTGACTGGTCATTTACTCAAGTAAATCGATGTTGAAAAAGGAAAATTATATTAGATATTTCTTAAAATACAAACTATCGCCTTTAAATAAATTTTTTTTTTCTTTTTTTAATTAATGGACATTCATGTACATCAGTGAGAAGTAAGAGTTCATCGCTTTCACATGATTTCATTAATATTTGCTATGATTATATAAAAGACAGCGAAATATTATGAAATGACAAATTATGTAAAACATTATCCTTACTATACTTACCAATATTGATATTATCGTTATTGTTGTTGCAGAAACTATAAATAAAATGTCAAGCACAAAGTTAATAGTGCTACTTATATTTATTATATAAATCTACAGTAACATTTTAGATGTGACGACGCTCTTGGACAAACAAGTACCACAAACTATATTATTTATATTTTGCCATCGAGCAACTTTGATTCAACTTCTACGTTCTTTTGTGTACAGTACATCATCTTATAAAAGAGAAAAAATTGACTTGATTTATATTTATAAAGTAAAAATAAGTTAAACAAAATGTTTAGAGGGGCATCAAAAATTCTAAGAGGCCTCGTGAATTCGAGACTCGTAAAGTTAATTATTTGTAAGACAAGCTATCTTCTGACTTGTGTGAAGTGTATATTCAGTACTAGGAGCACTTTAGAAAACATTTATCAAATGGTAATAAAATTATTATAAAATGTTTTTTTAATGTCAGAAAATTTTCAGAGTGCTTCCATTGCTATGTTCTATAAAAAATGTAAGCTCAGAGCTGTGAACCATCAACAACTACACTCTTTTCTTGCCAAAGAAAAGAAGTGAAATTCTCATGTGCAAGTTTGATACTAAAGTCATTATAGGTTTCAAAGTTCGCATCACTTATCCCAAATGCTCATCTCCAAATGGAAGCGACAATGAGGACAATAAAACAAAAACAAATGGCGGCCAGCTGCATCCAGGCCAGATCCTACTTGCTGGAGCTCGACGCTCCACTTGGCGCCTCGTTGTCCTGCTCTCCTCTGGCAAACACTTTCGTCGCATTAGGGAACCTACGTGAGTTAGGAAAATCAGGTGTACTGAGTCTACTTGGATGTATGCAGTCTCTGATGGCATGACCAAATGCACTTCTGACAGCTGGTGCATTGGCAACAGCATTAGCTGAACCCTCGACTTCGTCGACACGTGAATGCGAAATGCCTTCACGAACTAAACGTTCTACAGATGCTGCAATAGCTGTGCTAGTTGGCGTTGGACTCATAAGAAGCTGAGGTTTTTGCTGCTCAATGAGCTTGCGACGCTTTGAGGGCATCGAACTTAGATAGGCGTCGCTGAAGGGAATCGGACCTCCGTTTAATGCGTCTATCTGTACTTGGCGCCGCTGACGTATTGAATCACGGGCTATGATTGGCACCCACTCCTGGACAGAGAAATCAGATTATTTTAGAAAACTAATTTATTAAGTTTTGATGTCTTGAAAACGAAATGATTGACGGTTAATTTATGTATTTACAATCGATCAGTCCAATCAGTCTGATACCTTAGTGCAAAGCCAGCACTGGGTGTAGCTTGAGAATCTATGTTATATATTTTAGTATATATCACTTATTGTTAAGTAAAGTCTAAAAAAGAACTAAATTTTTTTTCTGAATTTAATTCTTATTTAACGCTTGAGCTGATTGTAAATTAACTCATGCAATGAATTCTTAACGTGGTAGCGCTACTTTATTTTGATGAGGCATGAAGAAACCTTCATACCGAATTGATGCTAAGTTATGATTTGTGCAGAATATGTATAATAATTTTTAACATATCTATTTTTAATATGGATGTTAAAAGTAAGGCTGTAATTTGAAGATCAAGCACAAATCTATTAATATTTAAGCAATCTAACGTATTTTTTAATCTTGCGAAAAATTATATTATTTTTATCACACAGTAAACTCAATTTATTTAAATAAAATACGGTTTAATAATCAAATTAAAAACAATTGTTATACAGTTATGAAAATGATGCAAACGCCAGTATTTTTTTACATGCTTATAATAAATTCTCAAGGAGAGTGTGAGGGACCGAAACACCCGGTTTTCTAAAACTTGAAAGAATAGTCTCTGGTAATTACAATGTACAAAAAGTGTCAGATATATCTCAGATGTCTTCTACGCCTACATATGCCATTAATATGAAAAATTATGGAAATGAAGATTTATATCTTTTGCTCATATCAACCAGCATTTATTTACTATGATTTAAAAAATAACATATGGATAGTAGAAACCAAGAAATTCCATTTTGATCAGTTTAGTTGATGTCTTTGCATAACCAAAAATAATGTAAAACGACTATTGCTGCTTTATAAAATAAATAGAAAACAACATTAAAATTGATATTGTTTACAAAATACCCTAAAGTATCCGATGATTATAATGATTTATGATTAATGTTATCTCAGTTAAAATTCGCTGTTTTAAGCATATAAGGTATCGAACTAAAGCTTTTGATTTCTATTATTTATATTATTTCTTAAGCTTATAATAAATAGATTGTTATTGTTTTATTATTGTGACTTCAAGAAGTATGTTAACGTGGAACGCTGTGGAGGTAAACTAGGTACTTGTACGCATTAATCTTGTTTTCCTATAGTTATGAATATGCACTCACCTTCCCCACCATTCTTTAAAAATGATGTAGGAGGATAAAGTTTTACTCGAATCATGACTGGTCCTACAGTTTATGGTGGAATCTGAACCACCGGAATCACGGTAACAGACATGGGAAAATTTAATTTCTCAAAATCTTCACATGCCCGGGGCTCGAACCCACGACCTCTTACACAAATGTCTGGGCTCTTACCAACTGAGCCATACAAATCCTATTTTAAACTACGGCGATAGAAGTCAGTGTTAAGTTAACATTATACGATATCTAAGAATAAAAAGTATATGAGATAGTTCTAACACTTTTTTCATACAATGCGCGCTACCAAAGACTATTCCTCCAAATTTAAAAAAATCGGCGATCCATAACCCTGATAAATCTCTCTTCGTGTAAGTGAGCTTTATGATTAATATTAATCGCTATAAGTAACAGCTAAAAGGCAATGTAATTGACTACTTGTATACTAAGACTGAAATATTGTAAACAAACCTCAATTAATTGCGTCTGCGTTTGTACCATCTCACAAATTTAATTTGTCAATCTATGTAATAAAAGGACTTAATCTATATATTGTAACATAATAAGTTAAATATTACAATCTCTTTAATGTTTAATTTTTTCTCGAGGTTTTTCTAGTATAATTGTGAGATTTTTCAACTAATAAAAACTTATAATTGAATTGTATTTTCGTAGTTTTACAAATGTCTGATAGTACTTACAGGAGGTACATTTTCTGCTCCAGGAAATGTTTCAGGTATATCTTGACCAGCAGCGAGATCTATAAACCCAGCTATTTTATTTTCCGATGCCTCAGTTTCCATTGGCTGTTTAGTGAATAAAGAAAACTATTGAATAAATAACAATTATTGAACGCACTATATAATATTCATGCAGCACATTAAAGTATGGTTTACAATATTTACCTCAGATTGAACCTCCTTAATTTCCTCGGTTTTTTTAAATTCTGACTTGGCTGACGGCTGCTGTTGTGACGGAAAAGCTTGAGCTTGTGCTTGTGGTTCTGATTCCGGTTCAACCTCTGGCTTTCTATCAACTGACACACGTGGGCATGCACGTTCAGGAACAGCAGCAGGAGCCGGTGCTGGTGGATCTTCAGCTGGTGGTGCACTGGGTCGTTTGTTTTTGAACACAAGTAGAGAAACGATTTCATCCTCTGACATTTCAGTTGTTCTTATCGCATATGAATCGATTCGTTGTCTCAGCATGTCTAGGATTGTTCGTTGGAAGGAAGTAGGAAAACCACTAGTCAAGCGAATCTGAAATTAAATTATGTAGTATCAATACATTTTCAATCGTTTTCGATTTTTTGAATTTTAATGAGATTGAATTATCTTACCACAAGAAATCTTACTATGATATCAACTGTGGCTTGACTATGTTGCATAACATATTGAAGTATTGCAGTAAACTGGTCGTCTAATTTCCTCGCCAGTGCGATTGCGCGTTGTGCAAAAGTTGCATTATCTAAGTCTGTAAAATAAGTATTTATAAAAATAAAAACTCATGAAACTTGAAATTCAAATGAACTAAAAATGATACCATTATTAAACAAGAGTTTTAAGAAATCAAAGCAAAATCTGCGCAACACAGCTTCAAAAGTCGCCGCTATATCGACTGGTCTGCGTACTAAGTCTTCATGAGGTATTTCAGGTATAATGAAATTCCGCACATATGGCCGGTGAAGTAAAATAATCTGTTCAATCACGAGCTCTTGAAGAGTTTCTTGTGATGTGTTAGGGAAAGAATGTTCCAAAAATTCACGAAGAGGTTGACGCAGATTCATTAACGGTGTCGTTTGACCAATATTTAATTGCACCAGGTTTCCCATTGTAATATTTCGCAACTAATAAAGAAATAAGGGATTTAGAATACAATTTCAAATGTGTTGTAAATATTATATTCCGTTGGATTTATTACGCACCAAAAACATCCCAAGATCATTTAAAAAGTTATGTCTAGTATTCGATTCATTGACACGGAAGTTCATCGACCGCAATAATTCTATTAATGGTAAATCGTTATTTGGTGTCAAGTGTACCTCGCTAGCATTTGGCCTACCAATACCGTACAATTATAAGTTTATCACAAAAAAAGATCGATAACAAAATTTAAAAATTGATAACATTCACTTACCCTCCTCCAACAAACGAAATATGTACATTATCACTCATGGAGCCTTGTAATAATTCTCCTAAATGCAATGGTAGATCCATGGCTGCAAATTTATACAGTCAATTTTGGTTTCGATACAAATAGTATATTTTGAACTTAGTGATAATTTTTTCATTACCTCCTAATCCCTGTCCAGTGTTGTCAAGAATATCACGAGCAACGTTAGAATGATCAACTAGAGTAAAAGTAACTGAAGTACCGCCAGGCCCTTGCCTAGTGGATGTAGATGTTGATGCAGATGAGCGTGAAGCTAAAAGATTACATACACGTATGACTTACAAAATATTAGATACCGCATTAAAAATACGCTTTCGAGTTTTAACATCAATATTTTATTGGTGTTTTTCTTACCAGACTGGGAGCGATTGTTACTTTCCGTAGTAGAAAATTGATTAGGTTGATTGGACTGAGAAGTAGACGTAGAACTGGTTGTCACTGGAGGATTTCTACGAACGTGATGTGAATTGCATGGTAAATACGGATCAAAATCTAGATTTTGACCCATGCCCATTCCCATGTTCAATGGAGTGTGTGGATGCAAAACGTGCGGTCGTGACGTACTACGAGTTTGAGTGGATGTCGTGGGATGCGTACCAATGTTACTCCTTCAAATAATAAATATCGTTAAAAAAAATTAAGTTTTAAAAATTTACCGCAATACCATACCTAGCTTGAGTACTTTGTCCCGAGTTTGAAGCATTGATATCCATCTGCTGACCTATTATGGTCACAAAAGGTACATTGGACGTTGCATTCCCTCCGCCTGTGCCTCCTGAGGCATCAACTTGGAATGCACCTCTATCGCCCAATACACTTTGGAGAGCGTCACGTATCAAGGCAAACGGTTGATGCATATACATATTACTAGAACCTAATAAAAATGAGACAGATTTTTTGTATGCCGAATTGAAATGCAATTTATAATATAGATTTGAATATTAATTGAAAAGTACCATTGTTGCTAGTACTATTATTGTTATTAGTTTGATTCTGATCATTTTCGGTAGCATCCATTGAATTAGAAGAATTTAAGTCAACTGTATTTTGAGGACTTTGTTCCGTGGACATTTGTACTATATTTGAGAGATCTAGAAGACCTTGGTATTAAAATTTATCATTAATAATAATTGTTTTATGGTTAAAAAAATTAAAAAAGAAGGAAACAAATCGATCAAACTCAATAACAAAAGAAGCCTCATACATTATGAAACTTTCACAGAAAAATAATGGCTACAAAAATTTTAAAAGTTTTAATATGTAACATTACCTAACAGAGATGATTGCCCTTGACTTTGTTGTTGTCCGTTAGTACTTTGAGAAGTCGTTCGATTATTAGCACTAGTAGATCTGTTGCCTGTCTGATCAGAAGTTGCAGAACTTGGTGATGACGGTCTTGTAGCTTCATTTCCTTCATCCATAGAATTATTATTGGTGGAGGCAGAACGTCCATTGAAATTGATATGGGACTACATTTAACATTGCATCAATTAAATAAACTGTAGTAGATTAGTCTTCATGAGTTGGAATGAAATTACCTCGACATGAATAGGTATTCCTGCTTGTAAGATAGCTGAAGATTGTATGATGATCGGTCGACATCGCAAATTTCTTGGAGGTTGTTGTCCCATGTCTACAATAATGTCACTCAGTGCGTGAGAAGCGTGAGACAAGTAATGTAAACATTCACTGACACCATCGATAACTCTTTGATTTTCTGCGACCCCTTCTGGTCCCGACTGAAATAATTTATAACGTTTATAGCTGAATATCGTTTTGTTAATTTAGTTTGAAATAATGATATCTGGATAAACAGAAAGCGGAAGGTAGAAATAATCGTTAACTTACAGCTCCTGTTGTAAGAATAGGATCAGTTGACATTAAATGGCGATAACGGTCGATATATGGCCTAAGTCTATCTTGGGTAGCAACTAATCTTTCTAATAGTTCAGCCATTAATGGTGGACGAGGAACGCTAAAAAGATTAAATATAAATAATTTCACAGTTAGTCTTTCATTTACTTGGCAAATGCGGCAAAAGTTGCCAATTGTACGACAACGTAAAGTAAAGACACGATACAATATTATCAAAATATTGATACATAGTTGATAACATATATCGATTTTCTTTATTTTCGGTAAGCTTACTGAAGTGTTGCTCGGCGACTATTTTGACTATCATCAGCTGTCGAAGTTTCCGGCCTGTCGGTTTCTACTCTTTGAAGCTCTGCTTCATCTGGTGTTCCGGAACTCTGCGCTTGAGCATTTTGTAATTCTAATTCCGATTCTATTATTCGAACTTGGTCATTTTGATCTGACTGAGTTGAATCCATTACATTCATAGAACCTCCGTCATCAGCTACAAGATAAATTAGCATTATACTTATAATTATTCGTAACTACATTTTTTACATTATTAATAATGTACAAAATAAAGTTACGAATATTAATATGCTGATTAATAAGTTATTTTTATTTTTTGGCTATTCACCTGGTGATAATCTTATGTTGATAAGAGCTGCAGCAGAGAATGCAGCTGCCATTTCGGATGCTGCTTGTGCTATTCTATTGACGTCGCTAGTATTAGTTTCATTATTACCTGAATTACTGTGAAAACAAGATGTTTTAGTTATAGTAAAAGTTATGATAGAAATTACAAAAAAAGCTTATGAAAATGTATTGAAAAATAGCTTACTTTTCTTGTTCTGTTTCACCACCAGGTGCCGAAGCTTGGGTTGATGATTCTGATGAATTATTTTCAGTTGGATTAGGATGAAGCGGTAATGAAGGATCGTCTAATCGATCCATTAATTGAGAAGCTTTGTTTAACATGTGTCTAGCAGTAACCAAACGACTATTGGAAAGAGTGTTACTTAGTTGAGGTGCTTGCGATCCTATAAAAACAAGGTAAATGAAATAAATATAATCATTGAAATGCCTAAAATGACAAAATTGACACAGATGATTTATTAATCAGAGTTTTACTTACCATGGTTTTCAACCACTTCCGTAGGCAATGATACTGCACTCAAGTACATTGCATTTCGAGGAAAATGTCCTCGAAGATGTAGGCGCGATCCACTTTGCCATCCTTGGTTATTATTTTGTCTTTGACTTTCATTACTGGTAGTGCGTGACTCCGCTTGTGGAGGAGCACGCTGAACTAAATGTATAACTTTGCCATCAACATCTAGATAACAAGATAATTGTAATTTATATTATATTATATGCAACGGTAAATAATGTTTTTAAATATCCTATAACTTTTAATTTATTAGAAACTCAATTAAACTATTGTTAATCATGGAATAGTGCAAAATAATAAATATATAGTCCAATAGAATATGTATTAGAACATATTTGATCATAAAATCGATATTCAAATAATGTTCTGATTCAAAATATTGAGTAAAAATTAAACTGACTATAAACAAGTTTAAGAAATATGTTCTTCATTTAATTTAATTTATTAATTTATCTTTATAGTAAATAATCATAAGAGAAATAAAATTCTAACCTACATTTTAATTGCAGTAAAGAAATTTTTCAATTATTAGTAATAAATAATATTAATAAATTACTTAAAAAAACTGATTGTTTATATTTCGTTCAATTTTGTTTATAAAAGTATTATTACTTTTTAATACTCATAATTAAAATGTTTAACTGTAAAATTTGAGAAGGATAATTATGAAGTTTCAATAATTGATTTTACATTAGAATATTTTGTAAGTTTGGTAGTAAGTTTCAGAACATACGATGAAAAAGAATATACTTAAATAGTGATGAAACAACTATAATAGAAACCAAGTGAATCTTGAAACAATTAAGTGTTAAACATACTACCGTAATCGGTGAGTTTTTTCTCATCATGCAAAACTCTTCCACAGTAAATCAATCTTTGAGAATCAGCTGGTATGGAAACAGTTTCAGCTATGTGTTCCTTGAAACCACGTACTGTAATCTGTATTAAACAAAATTAATACTACTAATAAGCTACTGAACAATGAAAATTTGAATTTGTAATAGATCAAGCATACATCAAAATTCAATATGATAAAATGTGCAATAATCTAAAAAAATTAATAATAGTAAACCTTACATCGTCATCACAACTGAAGGAATGATTTTGTGAATCCAAGGTCTTGACTGTCAATTGCAGCATTTTTACGGCGTAGCAACCTTCTTAGGTGTTTGTCAAAGTTTTATTCTGATAAACATGCAATAGCAGCACGTACAAATCCTATTAAAACAGAAATAGTGATTGATTATTCAATTTAAAACTTATCAATTAGCTGTGCAGTAATGTAAAAGGTGTGTACCTAAAGATGCTCACTTCGTAAAAATATAAAGGCAACGATCGCTTGGTCGCGTTGCTCTTTAAGAGAAATAAAAACGAATTTTAGGTTAAGCGATTAGTGGGATGCCGACGCGCGCACATATTCAACCACAAATTTAACAAATATGTATATATATGTATGTACACGTCTTTATTTATATGTATGTGTATACAATCCCGCGCAGTGGATTTTCTAAAATAGCGATATATGACGAAAAAGCTTGGAAATATAAAATTAGATTCGAAACACTCACGATTTAGAAGCAAAGGTCCACAGTAGTTAATATCAACTGGATGAAGAGCAACACACATGTACGTAGAGCACGTAACGTAGTACTTTTTTGTTGTTGCAATTTCATGCAATGTTACGCCAATTAGATCAACACTTGCAAACGTGGGTGTCTACTTTTTTACAAGAAAAAAATCAACAACGGCAATGGATGGAATTCATGGAATGGAGCTAAATAATTTAGCAAGCTACTTCATTGGTCGACAGAAAGATGGCGTTGATGGTCTCAACTCGTGGACGATCAAATATTTTATTTGTCTGACATATTGTAACAATGTACTAGAAAACTTTTATTAGAATTTTATCGTTACCTCCGTTGTGCTAACATAACCATAATTATCGATATATATTGAAAAAATGCATTTAAATCGCAAGTTTTTCAGTATGAACATATAGATATTTCGTAAAAGTCTTGATTTAAATCACATTTGAATGTTATTGTCTTAGTTTTACAGTTTACGTGTAACTATAAATTATACGTTTTGTACGCTCAATACTCCAAAAACCTGACGTTACCAAAAAACATACACACTTTACTTAAGTGAGCGACGGGCAATTTTAATACGCTCATAATGTTACAAAGGAAAAAAGCTCATTAAAAATGCACAAAGCGTTACGAAGAACATTTGAATATTTATCCGTTCAAGGTAGAAAACACGACCAATTATGACTCTCATCGTATAATTTACAGTTTATTATCCACGCGTGTTTTCAGGATTACACGCGACTGTACTTTATACATCGTTCGGCGCCTTAATATGGAAAATTATATATTTCTTTTTTAATTCCTGTCGCAACTGGAGATTACGCGTGTGATTGATGCTTATTTTGGCTCTTCGGGCTCTTAGTCGATCCGAAATAAAAACAAAGTTCGGCTGCAACAGTTTTGTTTGTTTTGTCTATTGTTGCTAATACATTTAAATTTAGCGGCAGAATGAAATGCAGCAAGTCTACTATAGTTCAGCCGATCGCTAATTATAATCGAGAACCGTTAATACAGAGAATTGTTTGTTGCGCGCGAAAAAAAAAGTAGAAGAAGAGATGTCTAGTCTGCTCGATTTAACCGGCGTACACAAGAAGGCCCTTTTTGTTCTGTTTTCCTGGCCTGGTGCGCGAGCGCCGAGTTTTTCCAATACCGGCATCAGGCATAGCCAGACGAATAAAACGACACGGTATGGAAAAACGGTTTCTAAGCGGCGGTGACTTCGACTAGATGTGATTTTTTTTTTTTTTTTTTTCACGCTATCCTATCTGGATTGAACTGAACGTTAATTGGAAGATTAATTCAACGCTCGTATTCTGTTTATTTTTATTTCGGATCACCACGATATTTGTGGGGGAATTAGGTTTTCCTAAATAATTTTCCTAGTGTGAATCTCCAGAATCGAGCCGAATTCGGATTACGCTATTACGTTTTGTTGGCACGCTCAAATATTTTCATTATTTTTCATAACATAGATTGCCTTTTGCTTTCATGCTTGACATTCTCAAGGGTAAAGAACAAGAAGTCTTTAATAAATTTCGCGGAAGAATATTTCTTTCATTAATCCAACTTGATCGCGTAAAAAAGACTATCCTGAAAACAGGATGGCGACTCGAGCGAGCAAGAGAGATTACAACCGAACTAGGACTTGAGTAGAGAGAGAGAGAGAGAGAGAGAAAAGCTCGAGCGTGTGTAAGTAAAGTTTTCTTTACAAACGCAAAGCCCTCGTAATGAATAACCTGATAGCTTATTCAAATGAGCCATCAACGTGTATTTCCTGCTGTCGCGGACGCGCTCTCGCAAAGTGGAGCACGCGGAAAAGCCTGGATCGAGTTTTTTTTTCTTCATTTTTGTCTCTCTCTCTGTTTCTCGCAACAACGTCGCGTGCGCGAAGCCTTTTATTTTCTGGCGCGTCGTGCCTTGGCGCCAGGCCGCATTCTCGAGCGACGACTGTACGCGCTACTTATCTCTTTCTTCGCGCGGCGCTCGCCCGCGCGAGTTATAAGAAGTTGAACCAGTAGCAGTAGCAGCGATCTTTGTAAAACGCGAGCGAGCGTGTCCAATTGCTAATTATAGGTATGGGCTTGTCTGTCCCCTAATTTTCACGAAATGCGGTCTTTGTTAGAGTCGCCCAATGCTTCATTTATCGGTAACAGCTTGAGATCTGTAATTTAGCTCGATCGAAAAGCAGTGATGCGTTATTCTTTTTAAAAACTCGAAAAGACTTTCAACTTCACTTTAATATTACAATTAAATGAAAAAAAAAAATTAAATAACAATATTTTTGCCGTCCAATATCCTCTGCCAAAGAAGAAAAATGCTCGATCTCGATATCAGATGCCATAATCGCTCGAGCTGAAAAGGATAGGTTTTCCATATCGATCACATCCAACGTTATGGAGAGCTCGAACGTTTCCATGTTTCCACGATATGATTATGGAAATGCCGTGAAGGCGCAGGCAGTAGTTTAGGATAAAAGCTTGAGACGTGGGGGTGCGCCTCGTAGTGTTCTCCATCAATCTTAGGTGAAAAAGGAGAAGGCTGACCTTCTCGCGAGACAACGTTGTCATGCACACAGAGAGGAGAAGATGAGCACGCGACGAGAACGTGGACGCAAGAGGCAATCGACCTGAAGGCTTTTCCTATTCTCTGATTCATCACATCATGCACACAGCCTTCCGTCGTCGACATGCGCTTTTTAATCCGACGCTATTTCATGTGTGCATATTTCTGAAAAAAGGAGAAAAAAATAACAGCGGGCCCAAGCTCGAATACTCTCGCTCTTCGGTACAGTGAGCCCTACTAAATTTGTTATTTCCTAACATGTTAGAGCGCGAGACGACTGCGCGCGATGCACGCGACAAATCGTCTGCGAAGGCACCCTATTTCTCGGAGGAAACTGTGACCCTCGGGACAGCTATGGAAATCAAGTGGTTAGAAGATTTACGAAGTGTTTCGGGAGCTTTTTAATGTCAAACGGCAAGACAATAGCTTTCCACTTTGCGTACACGTGCACCAAGTGAAAACAGTCGCGCGACAAGTAAGCGCGCGAGAGAAGAAGAAGCCTGCAAAAGAGACAGGAAATTAAAGAGAAGAAGCAGATCGTAGACGTTAGTCGCGACAGAGTCCGGTCAAGGCGCGACACATGGGGTCTTTAACGGTGCTAAAAGCTCGCAAATGCGTACTCGACGCGGCCTCATGTGCGTCTTTATTTCTTTAATTGTTCATGGCGACTTTATACCCTTCTTTCTCTTCCTGATATTATGCAGGTACATAGGCTTGAAACATATTTTTCGCACCTATTAAGCATGTTGTTTTTGGCGTTACATCAATTTCGGAGCGACGATTTTGATAAATATCGTGCTTCTGTTGCGACTTTTCGTCAAGTTGTACGTTGTCGGTTTCGCGAAAGCAAGCTGCTGCCATCGCTTGTTCATAGCTCGTACGTTTCGGATTTAAAGTTAGCTCGAGAGTTAGCTTGTCGTTTTGCAATTTTACGAGACTGACATTCCCGAAGCATACTCGTGCATTCTACTGCTTAATGGTTATTTTTTTAACACTTCATGCGCAATGTTTCCCGCACACTCGCGCAAACAAAATCGAACTTTGCACATTACGTATCAAACAATGCCGGAACATACATGTTCGGGAAAAAGATTACAGTTTCGTGTGCCTTTCCGGTTTCGCTTCGTTTGGGCGTTAACATTACGCGAGTCAACAATCTACTTTTCCGCACTTGTATCGCAACGTACTATTTCTCAAATCTGTTTCAAGATTTGTAGGAAATGTTCGTTCTTGAAATCATTGCATACATTTATACTCCACTATTTTTATGAAGCTGCTATGAAGTTCACGATAATTGTTTCAATTCTTAATTATAAAAATTTGTTATACACAATTGGAATAGAGGCACGTGTTTTGAATTTAGTACTCTGCGAATTCCGCCGCGGAAACATATACGTTTCTTAAGCTTCAGCAGTGAAATTGAAACGTTCAGTAGTTGAATTGATATAAATTAAGCTGCTAGAAATCTCGGTACAGTCATAAAGGTCACAGAGTGTTAAGAAACTCGGTGCTATTGAGCTCATAGCTACAAGAACTTTATGTACTTTGAATAACTGTCTTTCCGATAAAGATTTTTCATGGTTGAATTACGAAAACAACTTTTCTTATTGTACAAGACAAAGTGTTTTTTTTACTTTGTAAATTACACACCTTGTCAGGAAATTGAGCTATTTGTACTTTTCCTTATTATTAAGGATAAAAACTTGTAAATTCTACTGAAGAATGTTATCATTCGGGAGGTGATATACATCAATTGAAAAAAATTTTTTAAATTAACAAGATAATTTACTAATCAAATTAAAAGTTATGTGAAATACGTTTGCCAAAAACTGACATAATTGGAAACACTGTGACAAATTGTTGAATTCTCTTGATAATAATTACAACTGACTTTAAGTAGTTCAACATATTTTACAATTTAACTACGCCTTGTTAATTCATCGATTAAAAATCTATTGAACTGGAAAATAAAAACAAATCGATTACAATTACATCGTCTTGCAGACTTCTTAAATTTATCAATATGGTTTTAAAGTAAGTTGCAGCAAAGTCAAGAATGTATGAGCATGAGATTCAATAAATTGTTCGTGTAATATTTGCGTTTCTTGATGGCCTCAGTCGAAGACTGAACGCACTTTAGGGGCAATTCTACTCTCATCTGGTGTACACACTTTAGGTGGCGTAAATGGCTTTAATTCACAAAGGGGAAAGAAGATATCCGAGACACACTTAATATTATGAAACATCTCATCAACTGATTCGTTTATATAACTTATCTCACGGCTATTTGGTACATACATATACATGCCGTGCTTTCATTAAAAGCCTGATTTCCATTCATAGATTCTTCCAATTGGAACGATCTGATTTTTTTCTCTCGCTTTCATTTTGTAAATTTACTGAACCAATGAAGAACTCCTATAAAAAAATCATAAAAAATAAATAGCTAAAAATAAAGTAAACATATCGACTTTGTGGGATATCGAGTGTACATTCCGATGCTCTATATTTGTATAAAATTTCTCCTACTCCGTTCGCCTCCACTGAAGTATTTATGGATCGTTAGGATGATAATAAACGACATTTTGATTGTTTAAGCTTCATAAAACTTCGTCCATTGTCTCAGAATTTTTTTGTTCTTCTTCGTTCGTCTCTGTAATAATATGGCAATAAAATTTTTTTCCCTGGTAATATTTTTTGTTTAATTATGCGATTATTATCAATTGAAACATTTGAAAGATACATAATTATTGGCTAAAATCGACGAACAATGTTTCCGGTTGAATGCGCGAGCACATTTGTCGAGAAACGCATAGGCACCGACTGCAGCTTAACCCAAGATCTTCCACCTTCTTCATGGGACATGTGCTTTGGAGACATGCAGTGTTATAGAAAATTCCTCCTCCCCCTCTCATGTCGAAAAAACGCAGCAGAAAGCCCAGCTGGGCTGTCTTCCCTTCTTGAATATCCCGTAGAGGGGGAGGGAGAGAGAGAGAGAGAGAGAGAGAGAGAGAGAGAGACGGAGAGCGGCGGCGGCGGCTGGACTATAAGTAAGCGCCGCTTGGAGGCTCGCGGCTTAATGTCGTTGCCGCGTCCGTGGCGCCAAGAAGGGAAAAGTACGCACTATCCGTAATAATATTCCGACAGACGCACTGCGGACTAGAAGCTGACCGTCAGTCCTCGTCGTCGTTTCGCAGCTTTTCTCAAAGCTGTGCTTTTTTTTCCTTTTTGTGCAATCAGTGACAGTGCGTCGATCGTTAAGAGTGCGCTATTTTCTTTTGTTGTGCGAACGCGCATGGTCCTAGCAAGGGATCATCGCGGGTGTGCGACATTTTCCTTTGAAAAATTGAGATAACTTTAGGGAAAAAGCGACGCAGGAGGAAAAAAAATGAAACACTGCGGCTGTTTTTCAATGAATGTGCATTAAGAAAATTTGGTCCCTTCAAAGAGCTGTTTCTGATCAATTGACAGTGACACTAGTAGTTTGGTAGTTTGTTTTTGTTCTTCGCTGGAAGAGTCGTTCGCTGTAGAGAAAAAATTGAAAAAACAGTCACTTATCGATTGAGAAATACCAAGATTTTTTCCAAGGTAGGCTTGCATATAATTTATATTTCAACATTACGATTATACAATCGTGCATTAAGATTATTCGAGCAAAATTTTTAACACATTCTGAAACATTGTCTGTTTAATGGATATCGTATCATTTCACATTGATAAAAGCTTTGACGCATTCAGAAAAACTTGGCATTTCAGTTGACTGCTTGGATTTAGTCAATAAATTCGTTAATTATCAATCGTCATTGAGTGAAGTCAAAGAAAAAAATGGAGCGTGCAATTAATTATCACTGTGGCGCCATACAGTTGCCACTGTAAATGTTCATTCGTCAATGGGCTGATCGCTCAACACTGAAACACAATGTATTAGTGGTCCGTTTGTAAGTTGCTCGTTTTTTATCGCGATTCGGCTGTTTGCGGTACTTACATAAAAGTACAGATATTACAAGCGAGTTATCGCATTAAAAAGATTTCGTCATAATTTCCATGACATTATAACATTCCGAAAAGAATGTTAGCATGCACTTTCTCTGGTGAAATGAGCAATGGTTGACGCTACGAAATCACGGTGATTTGCAGGCATTGATAATGTCGGGCCTGCTATACACGCTGCTGGGCCTGGCGGCGAGTACGAGTCTGCATTGCGCGGTACGTCGCGAAATAAGCCCATGCACTTGCCGCCAAGAGGATTTTTCAATGCCGGTGATCACTGGACCAACGTCGAGTCAAGGCGTAAGTCCAGTTGTCCATCCGGTCACGCACGGCGAACGAATCGAAGTGGAATGCGAGAGAATGGAGTCGTTTAATCAGGTGTCCGAGGCACTGAGAGGGAGGTTTACGTTGGACCAACAGATTATACTCAGGGTCTCGCATTCCCAGCTCAAGGACATCTCCAAGCACGACTTCAAAGAGCTCCAGATGTCCATTACGCGGCTCGATCTCAACTACGATGGCCTCGGGTTCGTACAGATTCTTCTCTTTCTTTTTCTCTTCTTCTTCTTCTTCTTCTTTTTTTTATCTTATCTAGTTTCACTTTGTCGCGAACTATCTTACTGCTTGAAATTGTTATTTTATTTGGGGTGTAAAAATGTAGCAGTCGCTGGACTGTATAAGCTTGGCGAAGACTTGTGTTAATACCTAATCCACATTTAGTAACGTAAGCGAAACAAGCGAAATAACGAGTGCGGTTGAAAACTTATTCTCGAATTTCTCCAGTTATTTCTCATCAATGAAACTTCCCAATGGTGACATTTTTTGAACGCCACTTAATTATCACTTAGTGACGCTCTGATAGTGCGCTATCGTTCGAAGCTAAACGTTAATAGTTTGATACTGCCCTGAGGCAATCGGTTAACCTTTTGATTGAACCACACGCGTGTATTAAGTCCGAGCATATCTTCACTATACTACTTAATTCCTCAAAGAGCGACACAATAAAAAAACCAAGCTATACTTTTTCCCTCTAGAATCAAGTTCATAATCGTAAACTCTTGCCCAACAATGTGTCTGAGAATGTCTTTGAAATCGTTACGTTAAAAAGTTCAATTTTTAGCGCGAAGAAACGTTCGGAAAAATCGATCATTGGCTTTTATTATTCCGCGCGGCGGGTGCGAGTGCATTCACGCGATTTGCATGTGCGCGCTGCAGTTGTTTGCGATGTGTGCGCTTTGTAAACACGAGGCGCCGCTGTCTGTCTAACGTGCAGACACCGAGGGGTTGATTATTGACAGATGCTTCATTAAATGTCATTATATAGCGATTTACGACGCGAACACTTGGGTAACAGGTCAAAGTTAAATTTTTGCCTTACTATCGTCAACAACTCGCAAGAAATAATCGCCAATCACGTGACTACTCTTACAATAAACTCTCAATTGTTCACGTACGCAGGCGAATTTCCGTGAAATACGAATCGTCGCGTTACGATGTCGCTCGCGGCGTAATGGAAGCGGTTTTTATTTTATTTTTACCACCTCGTAGCAAACAATTTTTCATGCAAGATTAGTGTACGAATAACACTCGTGGCGCTGTGATATTCAAGAAATGACAGAGGATTTAATTTACATTGTTTTAATATGATGCACGCGAAAAAATAGATGACGTAACAATAAAGGGCAAAGAGGAAACCGGTAGCATCGCGACAAATTCCTTCAGACGTATAGGCGGCGCCGCCGCCGAGTACACGAATGCCACGTAATTAATACTTAATCTTGTCTGACCTTTTGCGGTGCGCGGGCCGCACGCGAGTGAGAAAAGTACCGATGTCGCGACGATCGACCGCGCGCCTTTATCGTCGCGTGTAGTTAAATAATACGAGCCACTCTGGCGAGCATCGCTTCGACATGAATGATGAAACGTTACGATGGAACTTTCAATTGCATCGTTCATGCGTTCGCCATGGTGCCTGTGCCTTTCAGGCTTTCCAGTTCGATTTCGTTTTTATTCAATTTACCTTGCAGACACGTCATCGCATACACAAGAATTTGATCAAATCAGTGGCTTTATCTCAAGTGACACTTTTCGAACATAATTTTCTTTATCTGGTATACCCCATCGAACTACGTCAATGCGTTTGGAGATTATTCGCGTCAATCGTCGACATTTTCTCTGCCTCTCATCTCATTAAGTATATTACTTCGAATGGAGCGTCTGAGCAGAAGCTCTTACTGGTAGGATAATAGGCTATAAAAAATGTCTAAGAGTCGTGGGCAAATGTCGAATGGAGTAATTTTACTCTATTTTTTCTGATATTTTCAATCTTACAATTCATTTTTTTATTTTATAAGAGAGCTTTTATATAATATTACATTTATTCTCATAGCTGCAATTGCTAAAGGTGTCTTAGCGTAAATTCTGTTAGCGTTAATCTTTCAGTTATTCAACAAATTTAACACATACTATAATTTAAAAGTTATGTGAAAAACAAATTGTTTTTTCAAAGTCAAACTTCTACTATTGCATAATGAATTTTATAACGAACGTATTAACTTTCTAGAGTAGTGAATTTTGAATGACTGCATAATGCACTTGTTCAATAAACAATGATTCGAATTCGTAATCGACTGCAGCATGTCGAAAAAATGTAAAAAAAGAGATAAGGTGTATATATAAGAAAAAGGCGATAAAGGATGCTGTAGCATGAAACGTGAGCAGAATCTCGACGACGATAGCGCACTTATCACTTTTCTCGTGGCGAGCGGCGAAAAAAAAATATTCAGAGTTTGTTTATTGCTGAATCGTCACTATAATCTCAGGGGTCCGGCCTCCGTCGAATAAGCGAGAGAGGAAAAGCACAGATAAAATCGTCTATTTTATCATCCCCCGAAAAACACGTCGATACTTCGAAGGTTAATTTGATTTTTCTTGGTGTATCGCGATGAATCGTCCGCGTGGTTTTGACGTTTGATCGACGGATAATTCGATCGCACTCTCAAGTGTATTATAGACCTCGTGGAAAATCCCATAGAAAACAACGATTGAATGTTGATTTTTTTTTTCGTTTTCGACACATCGCTCGACTGCTCTGGTATTTTTCACGAGATGTGCTCGCGTTATCGGAGTTGAAACTCCTTTTTTATGCGACGCGATAACAGCTTTAACGTTAATCATTCGCGATTGCTTCTCTGTTCAATAGGAAGTTCAATACACTGCGCTAATTGCAAGAGTTCAATTTCGTGGTCGAATCTAGCGATCCGCTCTGTGGCAGTCTAAACATCGCATTATACGTATCGGTGTAGTTGAGCGCTGCCGCGACGACGTGCAGACTGCGACTCTGCCTTCGTGATCGTTATCCCGCTACGATGCGTCATTCTATCTGGTCAATGAGTTTGAAAAGTCTAACGCTTCTACGACTCATTGACGATCAATCGAATTAATAGTTCTGATGGCAATTGATTTTTCATTACGGAACATTCAATGTCGCTTCATTATCATTTCATTTGCAATACTTTTATTTTTTCCGAAGAAGATTGTAAAATTATCTAAATTACACAACGCAACAATACGTCTATTAAGCAATTTTCATTTTACTACAGACAGTATGTTTATTGTAATTGGTTTAAAAACCACTTATTTTGTGTTTTAAACAATTGATCAAGGCGACTTATGAAAATAAAAATAATTTCAAAATAATTTCCTTTTCTAAATTGTCCGACTTATTTGTTACAGACTCTTAGATGCAGAGGTGTTCGCAGGCCTGGGTCGAACGCAATACTTGAGCTTGGCGGACAACGAGGTGCCGACAATACCGCGCCAGATGCTCTCGCATTTGTCGCTGTTGCGGACTCTTGACCTCAGCAGAAATCGGATCAGCCGCATTGAACCTGATGACTTCAAGGTAATTCGTTATTACATCTTATATGCCTTCGCTTTCACAACGCCGATATAAACATTTTTTGTCGAGCACCATAGTGAATTCGCGTGACAATTAAAAGTGTCAATAGGAAGGATTTTGTAAAGCATCTTTGACGTTTACATCAATTAAATTTTATTTGTGCGTAACCTAGCAACGAATCTATGATAAATCGAAAAAATATTGTTTTTCAAATCATCAATACATGTTTACGCTTTGCTCGGTGTAGAAAGTTTGGAGGATCCTCGTACGAGATTGAGACATTGGATAACACGAACACAAAGATATCGGATTATGCACTGAAAACCCAAACATTAGTTTCTATTTTTCCGATACATCCGGAATCGCAGACAAACTAGAATAACTGCAATAAAAATCGTTGTTTATCATTAGCGACGAAAACAATACAGATTTTTACATATACGTATACGTCTATTTGTATTCAGTCGCTTCTGTCTAATAACTCGGTCAAATTCATGAGATAGCCGCGCAGTTAACATAGTTATATTCACACTTGGAGCAGGCGGAGAAAAGTTATTTACTAGATAGAGCACGTGATAAGTCACGCATCGCATATGTGCATTTTCGACGCAGACGTATATACGTTTGAGTTGCTTCAGAAATGCAAAAGCCTATGGCTTAATGACGTTTGATTAAATGATTATGCGTGCTTTGCTGTCGAGATAAGTCACTCTTCTCGCTGGAATCGTTAGGGTCAGTGAATCTGTTGATCTTGTTGTTGATGTCTGTCGAAAGCTGCGTATCTCGGTTCGACGCACATAATGCTCACCATAATTTGGAAATTGTTATTGCAATTGGGATGAATTGCGATCGAACTCGAGTAGCGCCGATCGTTATCAGAAACCAAAGTCAATGCCCGGATTCAAAACGTTCCTTCGTGTGAAAGGTCCACCTTCGAAAACAGTGCCCTCGCTTATTTCTCTACGTCAAATGAATGCTTATCGCGGCCGAAAATTGAGCCTGCCACCTCGTCAACGCGATACAGAAGGATTTTGAAACTAGCCACATGCTGTTTGGGGGCTTCTCCGCTCTCTGGGTCAATCTCTGATCCCTAGAGGAACAAATCCGAGAGAGCGAGAGAGAGAGAGAGGCGCATCTACCGTCACTGCTATCGCGGCGCCTCTAAACTTTTCAATGTCAGTCTCCGCGGCGCTCTCGTTATCGTATTCCAGACGACACATACGCAGGGGCGAGAGAGAAACAAATTCGTGTGGCAACGTTCATTTTGTAAATGGCCGAGGCACGTTTCTTTTTATCGCCGTGCTGTCTCTCTGCTGCTACTGTTGTTGAGACTGTACGGCTGACCGATAGTCCAGACGACAGCCTATGTTTATCTGATGTGATCGTTGAAATTACTCCTTTTAATGCATTAGATTTTCGTCCAATGGAAGGTAATTGACGGAAACGTATTGTGAAAAATGCGGTCATGTAGGATTTTCACGAATAGTAAATTGGATAAAATCACTAGATAACATTTATTTTTTATCTTGAACTTTATTAACAAAATTAATATCGATTTTTTAACGTGTTCGCACACTGTTTGAACATATGTTGAAGTTTGTTTCTTAAAACATTTTTTTTGCAGTATAATCCAACCTTACAATATCTTCTTTTGGCTGGCAACATGATATCTGAAATGTTACCGGGATCCTTGCCTCCTTTGATCAAACATCTTCATGTTGGAAGAAATGAGCTATCGAGCCTCAATCGTACTCTCAAGTAAGTGTTCGTTAGACTTGGTCATAAATAAAATGACACGTTCTCGCAAACAAAGCAGGACCGCGAATAATGAAAAACGTGAAAATCGTAATTAGAATCAAGGCCGATAATAGTTTCATAAAAGGCAATGAAAAGTCGATAGAAATGATTTATTAATCTTTCTTACCTACAAACTAAGTCGCAGAATGAATTATTGCGATTATTTATTGTACTTGATTGTGCGTGCATGACGTTTGTTCGCGATTCTTAATCGAGCGCTACTCCATACATTTGCCCTCTAAAAATGACGCTTGAGCTTGCCTTCACCAGAACTCTTTGCGCTTCATAAAACAATTATTTTCCGTGCGTTTTAGAGATCTGAATCAACTCGAGTGGTTGTTGATTAATTCGAATGAGCTCACGTCGTTGGATGGTGAATTGCCATCTTCGGGACATAATTTGAAGATGCTATATGCAGTGGACAACAAACTGACTCACTTACCTGCTGAATTCCGCTTTCTTCATCGCCTCGAGTCTCTATTTCTTCAGCACAATGAGATAACCAGTCTTGATGGTACCCTGCAGAAGGCCCGCAAGCTCAAGTTCCTCGAGCTTTCTTATAATGATCTGCAAGTGGTGAGTTTAATGTGATTCGTTATTGCTTTATTTTCGTAGACTTTCGTATGTCTAATAAACATTAGTTTTGAGTTCGTGCACCAAGGCGATACATAATTCGTGCAATAATTGTTTATAAGCGCGCAAAGAAAAATCGATTTTTCAACTCTATGACTTTGAGAATAGAGCGCGCGGTAAAGTTTACGACGACGTGACATTAAGAATACGCAATTGCTTGAATTTTTCGCACTAATAATATTAGCAAAATAGATTTCACGAGCATCCGGATTGGTATAAAATCGGTCGCTCAAGTCCGTAGAAAAAACTTGGGTCACAGCGAGGAAGAGAGGCACGCCAAAGACATCAGCGCAGCGCGCGAATCTCCTTCTGGGCTGTTTGATAAGAGAGAGAGAGAGAGAGAGAGAGAGAGAGAGAGAGAGAGAGAGAGAGAGAGACAGAACGTGCGCGCGCGAACGGGATATTAGGTGCAATTACCGCAGAAAACGTAATTACCGAATCGAGTGTTTCCGTCGGCGTGTGCGTTTACGTCTCATTGGATTAAGCTGGTGCTTCCTCCGTAAGATGTGCCACTTGGCAACTGTCTCTTCTCTCTCGTTTTTTTCTTCGCGAGGCGAGAATTCGAGACGCTCGATTAAGGCGCTTATCAGCACTTCATTTTGAATGGTTTTAATGAAGGAAGGATTCGATTAAGCACTCGCTTGCTCGCTGATTCGACAATGACTTTTTATTCGCTTCGTTTCCATTCAATGATTGTGGGCCTTTTATCATCGCGAATTGTTACTTTTTTTTATTTTTCGGGTTCTCGTGCGCGATACTTCATTGGTCAAGTGATTTAATTGATGCCTCGTGTATTTCGCTTGCATGTGTATGGCCTACCGCGATTTCATATACTGGTGGCTGATATTTGGCAATATGCTATGCTACTGTGATAAGAGCTGTTATATAAACTCTTTTAAAAATTATTAATTGGCACTCGGTGTCGAATTTTTGATAAATTATTGTCGGAAAAGATTATGCTTACAAATAAATTTCAATAGTGTGTCTTATCATTCAGTTCCAAAGCGACACGTCGTCGTTTTAAAGAACACGCTGACTATCTGATACCTCTTCATGATACTGGCAAGGCCATTTATTTAGCAGTGTCAATAATGACTTTTTCTTTTCAAATACATGATCATTTATCCAAAGAGTTACTCGCAGTGGGTTTTTACCGGGATTCGGAATGAATCATAGAATACTAAGAAGTTTATTTACCAAGTCAGTTTTGAAAAATCAGTTTTATTGAAGGTCCCAGGCCTGTCGATAACAAAAACAAAATGTATAACTTCAGCTTAGCGAAGATGACTTTGTCGAAGCTGAAATGTTGGAAGACCTCGAGCTCGGCCACAACTCACTGAAATCATTGGGCGGTGACGGCACCTTCAACCCCGATGGTACATTCAAACTCAGTGCTCTCTATCCGTTGAAAGCTCTGAAATGTTTGAATCTAACACATAACCAACTCACCGAATTCTCTTTCACATCTCTGCGTGGGTTGCGCGAACTGCGTATGGTGGACCTTTCCAGCAATCAAATCAGCAGACTTATGCGCGCTAGACCTCCCACGGAGGTAATTAGAACAATCAGTTTTCACCCTTTTTCTCTCTAAACGGGCACAAATTTTTATTACCATTAGATTCTTAATAAATCGCTCGATGGTCATCGATTTATTTTGAACATTTCCAAATCACGAGTTCGACAAGTTGAGCGTGTATAAAATTGTATTTCAAGCGAACGATCCTTTCTCCCACGGTGGTATTGCAGAATTTGGTTGAGGAGGAGGATGACAATGCCGGAGCGAGTATTCAAGATTTGCGATTGGAACACAATCGATTGGCGAATATCGAGGGTTCGATTTTCACCGGCATGAAGGAACTGGAAAGGCTTAATCTTAGCCACAATGCTCTTGGACCAACACTAAGCCTGAGGGATCTCAGGGGTCTTGATGGTTTGCGTGTCTTGGATTTGTCCTACAATGAACTTACTACTCTCGAGGATACGTCTGAGGTGATTATTAATCCATTTTGATATAAGATTTATTATTTTTATTTGATCAACATTTCATTAAGGTTATTTTTTAAATATTTATATACTGATACTTTTGATATCATGAGAAAAGAGGATTATTAGAAATTATTTTACATAGAAACTAAAAATTTGCTGTGTAAATGGGGATATCTCATTTTAAAGCTGTCCCGCATGTGAATTAATTTTTTTTCAATGTTACGCGTATGTTAATATTTGTTAATGTTCCACAAATTGCTGATGTTAGAAAATATTTCACGCATATTGATTTTTTTTAATACTCGTCATGTATATGGATTTTTTAAGTGTTCGACGATTGTTAATTTTAATACCATCCGTAACCGATGAAACACTTTATGATAATAAAATAAGCTTTTTACGTTTCAAGGAAAATATGTTTACATACTGAATTAATCGTTTACTTTCTTTGTGATTTTGTCTTTAAAAAAATACTTTTCCATTTTACTGAGATTGAATAAAAAATTGTTTGCTTTATGTTTGATTCAAAGCAGACGTGGTTACCGCTTTTAGAAGAGCTCAATTTGTCTCATAACAAGCTGGCAACCCTTTCGGAGCGCGATTTCCGCGGTTTCCCTGGCCTTTGTTGGGTGGACGTAAGCTCCAACAAAATTAGCACCTTGAAGCCTGAGCTTGTGGCTAACACTAGGTGTACCGTTCATGGTGTACCAGACGTCTTACGCATCTATTTACAAGGTAAGACGATACGAAATCATTTTTTTTTATTGTGTCGAAACGAAACAATAATTGTCACCGCATTTTTAAGTACTCATTAATTTGTATTTTGCAAATTTCAGCGAGCTCAGCGATTTTCATTGTAAATTTGTCGTTCGATAGTTTGATATAAAAGTTCTTTCTTTTTAACGAATGCAATTTCCACGATAAAAGTTTGATGTTATTTGACGATAAATAGACATATTGATCAATAGTCTTGGTAACATAGAAATTGTGCACACGTACAGAAGATTCCATGTTTGTCATAAAAAGTAGATTAAAAATTCAAAGTCATCTAAAACGCCAATAAAATTCTAGTCGAAAACATTCGCTTACTTTCTATAATTAACAATTGATAACTGTATCTTATTTCCAAGCAGAATGAATTCATTTCAAGCGATTGATTCTAGAAACCTTGTAAAAGTCCATCAACCGTTTACGCATATATGCATACGTCATTATGCAAAATGACAGATACGCCGCATAAAAAAAAAGTCTGACGCGCGCGTGACATTCGACACGAAGTGAGGAATTTTTAGGTAGAACTATATCAATCGAGTCAGACGGGACATGTCACACATATTGCAAATTGAACGTCTTTTTTTTTACTGTCGCTCTGAAATCGGATAGGCAGTCTCTCGAGCAAGTGCAACTGCAGTTTTCATGCCAATTATCTCGGCCATTGAACTTTTAAGCTTAGTATGCAGAATTGTAAATATAAATATGCATTGGATAAAAAATATTTTTTCTGTCTAAAGAATAACATACAATTATAATTAATAATTTGATGAATTAGGTCGTTGTGATTTGATTTAGTTAGAATTAACAAGATTTTATGGAAAAAATATATTTAGTCCAGCGTATTTCATGGCCATCGCAATCACCGATCGACGCTATAGATCATTGTTCGTAGAAAAGTCATGATTTTTTTATTTTTTTGTTTGTCATCCAAATCCAAAAATTATAGCCAGTTTAATAGCACAAGGTTGCAATCATGAAACAAAAAAATTGAAATTTTATTATGTTCGTATTTTTAGGAATTGTACATTAAAAATTAGAGATAGCATCGGCAAAAAGTTCAGCAATTAAGTTAAAACAAAAGAGCAAAAGAAGCGAGTGCAAATCGATTGATTCAAAGTCATCGTAAAACTGTCACCCACAGAGCTCGGCACACGAACACATTACACGCAATCATAATATCGACCAGGCTCCATAGCGCCGGCGACTACTATATCTGTGGTCGCTACACAGTCAATTGAGCGCGACCGATTCTCTCTTGATATGTACACAACTTTTTTTTGCCGTGTGTCCAGTGATGCAAACCGTATCCTCTGTCAACGTGGCACTTAATTGCTCGATGAAAATAAATAAGCTTCTACTATTTTTTAATTTCATTTTCAAGGGTATGAATAATATTTGCTTTAGTGACGTAGATTTTTTGAATGCTAACCTTGCGGTGCTTGGATTATCTCAACAACAATGTGTAATTGCGTCAAGGGGAATCTAATGTTTGTTAGGATGTTTCGACGATTTACAACATTGAAATTGAACCTAACACTCTTTTCGTACAGATAAACATTGTTGCAGCTCTTTTTTTGTTTCCCACGCGCGATTTCTTTTTAACATCCAAGTATAAATATTTGATACGAATTTCATCGACATACGCGATATCATTATTTTCAAGTATTAAAAAAAATGGAAATTTCAATTGATATGCTCAACATCCCTGCAGGCTTGTCAGAATTTCAATTCCGGTTGCAACGGATGACAAAAAAGCGAAAATATCTTTGTTTTTCAAAGTGGTATAGCCAAACACCGGTCGCATTTTTCACACCATTGTAATCCCCCACGAGTCGAGCGAAAGATAGGCTGGCGACGATAACCCTCGGACATGCGGCGCCGTCGATCCGGCGTATTTCATAAGCCCCCGTCGTCGTTGCGCGGCCGCCGGCGCCCGAGCTTGTCACCGATCGACTTTAATTTATTGTCGTCCGGCTTTCCCTTTCTCTCTTTCTCTCTCTCTCTTGAAGTGTGCGTCACGTACTATCCAAACACTGTAAACATACTACTTGACCCATCCTCATTTTTTCTCTTCTTCTATTATCTTTCCCAAGCTGAATCTTCCATTTTCTGAAAGATTTTTAATAGGCCGGCTTATTGATGGCGCTTCGTTGCAATTCTGGCGATCAAATAGACTTCTCACCGAGTCCTATATTTTATCTCACTTGAGGTCATTTAGAAAATTTGAAAAATTCTAAGCGATATTTCAGTAGTATTTCCCTTCATCGATTATTTTTAATAGGATTTATAAAAATCATTTATCATCAACACTTGTATTACAGTGAAATAAAAATACCGGTCATGAGATGTGAATTATCTCGAGGGCACAACTGGATGAATCCGGTTAATTGGATATTCAGATTTCATTCTATAAAAACATTCTAGCATGTAATATTGCACACGTGGAGTGCAATTGAATTATTCCGATAAAAAAATTTTTTACGTCCAAAGATCAAGCAATAATTCTTTTCAAAATCAATAACCCAATAAAAATAATAGATTACATAACTAGAGAGGGAAAGTATTGTTAAGCCCGTAGTACGTGGGAATTGAAAAGCGAGGCGAAGCTGTGATCGTCAATTTCCCGGGCGTGGTGCGTATGCTACTTTTTTTTTGCCCGGCGAGGCCGAAATTAGCAAGTTACCGACCGAGCTGCGGCCGGGAAAGTATTGGAGAGCTTGCCAAAATTAAAAATTTCTTGGCCTAGGTATGTAATCACTATTTAATGTGTAAGTGTATCGTACGACTATTATCTGAAGTCTCTACGACGAAACTTTGTTGCTTCTCGTACGCACAACATCGATAACCCCATTGACACGAATAAATGAAAAGAACTAGTGATAACGGAGTTTTCCTTTTTACTTTTCCCGAACGTTTACGATTATTTACGGCCGCGCGCAAGCACGAACAAACGTCATTGATTTCTCGAAAAATTAGGGAAACAGCTCGTCTAAGACCCATGTTTTCTCAATGAAACAAATGAAAATTTAATTGATCATTATGCGACAATCATTGTGCGCCGTGGTCAACAAGAATCCCTTATTAAAGCACTATCATTTGATTGCAGAATCTTCAGTTCAAAAGCATCGTGAATATTTTTCATAATACGATGTACAAATTTACAGTTACAATAGAAACATTTTACGTAAAGCGTGAAACACTAACGATTTTCATTTTATTTTCCAGATAATCCAATACTATGTGACGCCGGACTAGCAGATTTAACAGTAGCTCTGGAGGTAAACCATGCCAAGGTTTATTGGGTAGCAAACGAATGCCCAACAGCCACACCCCCAAAGACGACAACAATTGAACCAACACAGCCACCTCCGTTGCCACCGACTTTGATATTAGCAGCTGCAGCAGCTGCCTCAGGTAGCAATGTTTCGTTTGCTGCGACGCTCGAGTAAAGCTATACATGTGAAAATTTTCTTTTTCTAAATGTTATTACCAATCCTCTTGTACGACCGACACTCCGTTGTCGATGATTTATAAAGTTGAAAGGAAAAACGAGATATTCCGACGAAGCAGTATATATGAAACATTAACACTATTTTGTCATAAGTGTTTAAACAAGTTGTTAGGTATTAGGGTGAAGCTATTTTTCAACGGGATCGATAAACCAAGATGAAGGTCGGTTATTACGAATTGAAATTATCGAAGACGGTATAATACTTTGTGCAAACTACTTGTTATGAAGAGATATATATTTTTTTGGATAAACCTTGATTGATGATTTTTACACGATTAAGCATTCCTTATGAATTTTTTGAAATTTAAGCTGAAAAGATCAACATGAAAGTTTAATCGACATTATTTAATTTATAAATTTAATAGATTTGGATTTTTCTAACTCGAACGAAATTTAACTCTGCTTAAATTTTTATTTAAATTGCGTGGTCTTATTAGATTTAAATTATTATATATTAAGATTCATTCATTTATAATACATCCAGCGTTATTATCACATCTTACGTGTAAATTATTGATGAAAAGGATTTGTGAGTTATCTTTTGAAATATATGTTGAAAAGAAATTATTTTATCGGTCAATGGTTCTTTCATATGTTCAAGTGCGACTATATATACAAGTGTATTTCAAAAGATAATTATATTTTACTATACAGAAGCATTATTTATAGCTCAATCTAGTTCACAATATCAGTAGCGAAGATAAAGAAAATGGAAAAAAAAGAAATATTTTCATGTTATATGGAATACAATATAAAAATGATGTGCTATATTTTCTACAAAATATATGTATTATAATAGTTCAATTACCGTATCAAAAGATTAATTTTTTATTATTCAAAGTACTTTTGAAAGCAATCATTCTCAGTAATTTTGTCTGGAAATTCAGCACATATATGCATATAAGAGACTTTCGAAGTAATGATATACATTAAAGTCAAGCAAATGGCGAAAAGATAAAATGTATGAAACTCATGGTAGAAAATCATGTAGTTCTCGATAAATATTTATATAGACATATGAAGAGTAGCACTATACTTTTAGGCCAAAAAAATGTGTAAATAATTTTAATAGATTTCACGACGAGCTCCTTGTAAAATTACACTATTTTACCGTTCCTTACATTGAGCGATTCTATCGGACTTTCAAACAAAAAAAAGAATAATTACGTTATTTGAGATTAAACACAAATGTACCATTTGTTGGTACTTTTACTGTTAATTAACGATGTAAAGTAGGCGTGAGGTTAGTCTTAAAATAGATAATTCATTTTATGCAGTATCAACATTTCATTACGATTGTAGTTCATTTTTAGTAATTTCTTTTTTAATTTGTATTCTTATTAATTCAATGAGTAATATATGTATAGTGATAATTTTAAGACGCAATAAAATATAATTATTTTATGAGCGGTTTTACTTTTCTTCTAGTTCGTAGATTATGAATTTTTTAAATACCCGTTGTCTTGAAGAAAAATGCTTTCAAAAGCATACTTGAACAAAATTCACAATATCAATCATATGTGACAGCAATAATATTTCGAAAATGAATTGAATGTCCCGTCTGATTGAGACGGTGAGCAGAGGGTTAATAGATGGGAATAAAATCTTCGAGTTACGTGGACCTTCGCGACGCAGTGTCTGATTGACAGTGGACGATCAATTGACCTCGCGCGACGACTCGTCGGCTTATGTCAATAAAGGAACATGAATTATTATCGGCACGTGTGCTTCTGCATACGTAATTTGAAGTCATTGTGCGCTTATAGGTAAAGCTTATGGAACGTACCTTGCCATTGATGTGTCAATAGTCTAAAATTAAGTGTTTTTGTATAAAACTTAGTAGTTTTGTTTAAAATCTTATATTTTAAGACAAGTTTTGAGGAAAATACTGACGTTTAATACACAGAAGTATTAGTATTATATCGTTATGATTATTGAAATTCTTTTCCGTCGAATTTTATTCACTATCAGTCAAAAATTCGAAAAACAGAAGTTTGAATAACGAAAATTGTTTTTCATATAAGAAGTCGCTTTTTACAATAGTTCTCATAGAAACCTAATTGACATCGAATTCAAGAAAACCATGTTTTGAAGTACAGGGCAGAAATCAGAAATTATCTAAGTGATAGTAAAGATAATTACAAGACCAATTATATTAAAAATAATTCTAATTTATTTAGTATATATATATATATATATATATATATATATATATATATATATATATATATATAATATACAGTATTAAAAATTTAATATTTATAATTACACATATTCTACAATGATTTTAAATGTACAGATAAAATCATTTTGACATAAAAAGTCAATTAAATAGGAAAGGCCTTTATAATATACAAAATTATAAGGTTGTAAATACTTCAACTGGTGTTGTTTTTGAAATAATTTTTCAAAAATAATTCTCTCAATTCACATAATAGTGAAGTGACATTGGCCACTTCCGATTGTTTTGAAAATTGAACATTATTCAATTGGTACTTATTTTCCACACTTAATTCAGGTTCAATTTTTTTGACTGAAAATAAAAGTAAAACTTAAATAATAAGGATACAGTAATCTAAGTATTTATAAAATATTGTAAATTTATTATCTTTCAAAGAACTATATTTGCTTATTTGAATGCCTTATTTCATTATATAAAATAGTAAGGTTTACCTTTCCAACAATCATTTTGATGTGTTAAAATGACATAAAATTTTTTGTCCGTTGGATTTTCAGCCCAGAAAAATGTGACAGTAACATTTTCTACATGGTCTATAATTTCTAGATCAATGTGGATATCTAATATATTTTTGAATACTCTACATGCTTTCTTTACTGCATCCCATTGCCTCTTCATATGCTCTCTGGATTTTTCTGATTCTATCCAGAATTATTAGAGTTTAATTTTTAAGAATATAATTATGTGCTATGATCTGAATAATATTCCTTACCTTGTTGGAGATCCACAATATCAAGTGATAATTTTTCTCTCATCTCTTTAATACTTTCTATTTCAGCTTTCGTTCTCTCAATTTCTTTCATCATATTAATTGTTTTCTTCTCAACTACTTTTTGTTCAAGTTTAATCTTATCTAATGAATTTTTTAATTCTTTTCTTTCATTCAATAAGTGAGATATCGTTTCAAAACTTTTTTCCACTTGCTTTGCACATTCTGAAATGTAAAAAAATAAAATAATATTCCATACTATGCGATCATCTTATAAAGAAAGCTAAAGCAGAAAAATTAGTTTATATATTACCTGAAGTTTTTGAAATAGAATCCAATACACTCCGTTCAAATCTAGTATGGAAATTATTACAAGCGTCTTTCAATTTTTTCAAGTATACATGCATGTCTTCTCGATTTAGGAGCAAGCTCTCGAAATCATTGTACGATATATCTTCGTTTTCAGTAATATCCATGATTACACTATGATAAAATTTTATCTTGAAGCATGTAAATAAAAATCAACGAACACCAAAAAAATAACCCGCGTAATGTCTTGATTGTGTTGCTATGATCAAGATCAACCGTCATTGGCTATTGCCCGCCAGACTATATGTTGCAGTGTTGCCAGCCATGTTTAAATCATAGGTCTTTGGCAGTGTTGCCGCTGGAAAATTTTTTTTCAGGGTCTTTAAAAATTATTCCATTTAAGGCCCTCACCACATATGCGCATACGCGTGCGTACAATGGCGTACAAACGCGTACAAATCGCTAAAAATGTTGATAGTGCCAACAACAGAAAGTTACTACTATTTCTCGCATACCCCAAACGAACACACACTCCCGAAACAAACGTATTATAACGCTATATTATTGAAGGTTATGATACGTTTGTTCCGGGAGTGTGTGTTCGTTTGGGGTATGCGAGAAATAGTAGTAACTTTCTGTTGTTGGCACTATCAACATTTTTAGCGATTTGTACGCGTTTGTACGCCGTTGTACGCACGCGTGTGCGCATATGTGGCGAGGGCTTCAGTTAATGCAAGAATTTCTAGGGACCCTAAGAAAAATGTTTCCAGCAACCAGCGGCAACGTTGGTCTTAAGACTCCTTATATTAGGCCTAGGCAGACTTGTGAAGCTGACGCCCAAAAAATTCTTTTAAACATATTTTTGAGTTTTCATGGGCTAAAACATTTTCTCCCTTTTTCCGGATTAAGTCTCCGGTTAAAATTTTATTTCCGGATTTTCCGTTTTTAAGAAAATTGCGGAAAAAATCGGGCTTTCGGACAGCGCGCAATATGCATGGAACATTTTTCTCCTGTTTAAAAAGAAATAATATCTATAGCGGATTATAGCTCCTTATTTCCGGACCGCGAAACAATTTTCCTTTTGTTTTTCTATCCAAAATTGAGGAAAATGTAAAGATTAGTAATATGTGGCAGTTAGTCGATAAAACAGATCAAACATTTTCTAATCACCAGATATCCCTATGCGAGTTCTACATTGCGTACAATCACTGTATTATACAAAAAAAGAAAACCGATGAATGAACATTTACTATTATTTACAATAAAATTGTGGTAGTTATTTTTTTACACCATTTTTTAAATAAACCATTTATGACGTAACAATAAATCATTGTACTTTATTTATACAGTCGTGTTTAATGACAAATATTTCAAGTCATTGATTATAACCACTGGCATATATATAGCTAAAACGAAAATACTTGCAACGAGCTCAAATACTTAATTTCTTATTATTTACCATTCTACTACGTCATTATTGATTACTTAAAATAATTTAAACGCACGAATAGTTTTAATGCCGCCTAACAAACTTGAACTGAACTTAAAAATTGAATTCGCATGAAATAAAAATTATGTTTTCTTTTTAAAATCAGATATTTTTACGTAGTTTACATATTGAATGATACTTCGTTTTTATAAAATCAAATTGTATAGATTCATGGTAGTTTTAAAAATAACGTTATGGCTGTTATTAGAAATATTACCTGACACAAATGTTTTGCTTTGATATTAGAAAAATGTTTGTGTAATTTGAAATGAACAAAAGTTTTAACAAAATCATGTACTATTTATGTAAACAGACTTTTTCAACGTGTTATAACAAAGAAAGTAAACATTTAATAAATTTGTATCAAAAAATAATTTAAAATCATTTACTATTATTGCCAAGATTTTAACTGTTGATCATAGTTTCAGTTCAAAAAGTAATTGTGATTTAATCATAAAAATAGTCTATTAAATGTATAAACAATTTGTAAGACCGGGCAAGTAAATATTTTGACAAAATATAGATATTTACTTAATCGTTGATATGTTACAATCAACCACTATTTATACGCAGAGACACATTAATAAACCAATCATTAGCATTTTGAGAGTGTACTATTCAACTCAACATCTTTATTTTGACAGATCAGATATGTTAATGTCGTAAAAATACAAAATAAATTAATTGTAGCTGAGGCAATTTTCCGCAACTCTTACAGCCCGGATTCAATTCCAAGTTTAAATAGGATTGAATCTAGGAAGAATCGAATACTTATTTAGGAATCGAGTATAATCGCTGATCACTATTTCAGTTTGTGCACATGTAGACGAAATTAATTGAGATTATTTACTGGCAGCAATCCTTAGAGTATATTTGTTAACACAGACTCGTTTCTGCAGTTAAAACCTAAATTAGGAAATATTTTTATTTTTTAATATACTATATATACTTGATTAATTAATTAAAGTACTTATTATTTTTCACATGGCCGTGTGCAATATGCATTTTTATTTTATGAATTAATGTCAAATAATTAATTAATTTTTACACTTTTGTGCACCTCGGAGGTCCGAAATCCAATAGTTCTTATGTAGAAGAAAGTCCCTAAATATTTTCATAAAATAAATTTTAGTATACAAGAAAATTATTAGGAAATAATCATTTTCGAAAAATCAAATAGATTTTCACACTTTAAAGCAACATTATTTACTTGACGATCGATGACAGGCCCGGTAAAAATATAATATACATTTTTGGCTGTTGTTGGTGAGTGCAGCCACACTCGCCACGGATAGAGGAAGTGGTAGAGGTCACGCGGGAGATCACGCTGAATTCGAACTTCCTTAGACACTGAGATTTCTTTATTTTTCCTTGAAACAACGTTGTACAGCGAAATACGACAGCTCGTCCGCGTCGGGGGGCCGTAAACGTCACAAGCAGGGCAAGCCTGCTTGGGAAGAGCGACTGACGCTGGGCTAAGCGGACGGTGGCGTTCCTCGACGGCGATGGTGTGTCCTGGCGAATGCTTGGCAGCGGCTGTAGGCGATAACAAAGGCGAGCGGGTCGACGACGGGCAGCAGTTACTGGTAGTAGGTACAGTATTAGGCTGATACTGTGTTGTGCGTCGCGATGGGCGACCTTATGTAGGCCGCCAGGCCGGAGTTTGATCCGCCTGAGCCACTTAAGGATGACCCGGGAGACCGAATTATTTCGCACTCATCCCCCTAAGCCTCGCTTCCTAATCCGGCTAATTCGAACCGGAGGCGCCTCTCCCACCGCTGATTTAGGCCCGCAGGTGGCGGCACCAACCGGGGCTCGACCACCACACATTATTTCAGACTTGTGAAGTTGACGCCCAAAAAATTTTTAAACATATTTTTGAGTTTTCATGAGCTAAGACGTTTTCTCCCTTTTTCCGGGTTAAGTCTCCGCTTGAAATTTTATTTCCGGATTTTCCATTTTTAAGAAAATTGCGAAAAAAAATCGGGCGTTCGTACAGCGCGCAAAATGCATTAAACATTTTTCTCCTGTTTAAAAAGAAATAATATCGATAGCGGATGATAGCTCCTTATTCCCGGATTACGAAACAATTTTCCTTTTGTCGATTTTCTATCAAAAATTATGGAAAATGTAAAAATTAGTAATATGCGGCAGTTAGTCGATAAAACAGGTAAAACGTTTGCTAATCACCAGATATCCCTATATAAGTTCTACATTACGTAATTATAATAATAAGTAATTTAAATTCTACTCAATTAACCATTCACATTTTATGTACATATACATAAATAATTTTTTTTAAGGTTTTCTATAAGTTTGTCAACATGTCAATTTTATAATTAATATTTTAACTATATAAAATAACATAATTCTGAACAAAGTAATAAAAAAATTGAATTGACTAGTTAAAATTGAAAAAAACAATCATTGATTAAAAACTTATAGCTTAGTTTTATATTTGTTGAATTATTTAATAACGAACTTAATTTTACTTCCATTCTTCTTAACAATATAAAGTAATAATCCATTGTAGCATATTATAAAAATACTTCAATATACAGGTCAGGTTAAAATAAACTATATTTGTTTTGTCAAAAATATATAATTTATTTTTCCTTGCTTATGTTATATATACAATATTTATTGATAAACATTGTGAACAATATGTCGTATTATAAAATATATTAAAAACTATAAAACAATAAGGTTGGATTATTTATATTTTTTTATGCAAATACCTAATCGTAATCATTATCCACAAAATTAGCAAAAGTGTTGCTACGTTGAAACAAATATATTTTTGACAAAACAAATATAGTTTATTTTAACCTGACCTGTATATTGAAGTATTTTTATAATATGCTACAATGGATTATTACTTTATATTGTTAAGAAGAATGGAAGTAAAATTAAGTTCGTTATTAAATAATTCAACAAATATAAAACTAAGCTATAAGTTTTTGATCAATGATTGTTTTTTTCAATTTTAACTAGTCAATTCAATTTTTTTATTACTTTGTTCTGAATTATGTTATTTTATATAGTTAAAATATTAATTATAAAATTGACATGTTGACAAACTTATAGAAAACCTTAGAAAAAATTATTTATGTATATGTACATAAAATGTGAATGGTTAATTGAGTAGAATTTAAATTACTTATTATTATAATTACGCAATGTAGAACTCATATAGGGATATCTGGTGATTAGCAAACGTTTTACCTGTTTTATCGACTAACTGCCGCATATTACTAATTTTTACATTTTCCTCAATTTTTGATAGAAAATCGACAAAAGGAAAATTGTTTCGTAATCCGGGAATAAGGAGCTATCATCCGCTATCGATATTATTTCTTTTTAAACAGGAGAAAAATGTTCAATGCATATGACGCGCTGTTCGAACGCCCGATTTTTTTTCGCAATTTTCTTAAAAACGGAAAATTCGTAAATAAAATTTCAAGCGGAGACTTAACCCGGAAAAAGGGAGAAAACGTCTTAGCTCATGAAAACTCAAAAATATGTTTAAAAATTTTTTGGGCGTCAATTTCACAAGTCTTGTTATCTGGGACTTTATATATTGAAATTAGAATTCCAGTGCGCTAACATACCGACAGTTTTATTTTCCCGCGATTTAAGCGTCGAAAATGATTATTTATTGTAATTGAAAATCAATTGTATTTACAACGAATGCGATAACAAAGGAGAACGAGGAAATGAGAGTCATTATTTAAAGTCCTTAAACGTTAAAATTCATCAATAATTTTATAAGAAAATCACCATATTTTAGCTACGTGGAAAAATTTGATTTCCATTTTTTTCGCATTCACGAATAAAAAATGGGAAATTATCACCGATACCAGGGAAAATTAAGGCAATTTATGTTATTTACCTTTTTTAGCCAACAATTTTTCTTGAACACCCTGGGACCTATTTTTTAGTCCTCGCCAATTAGACTACATATGATAAAAAAAGTAGGAAAATATCGTTTCAGTAGGTTACGCAATAACAATTATAATATTCAAAGATGAAGATTATATATCATTTTGATTAGTAAACTGAAAAATTGAATATTATGAGTAAAATAATAATGAAACAATAAGATCAGTCTAAAACAAGTATTTTTTATTTCATTTTAAATTGTGGTGATATTTTTTACATTTCGATCCTTGTAAATAAATACAATTTTCACACAAGTATCTATAATTACAAGAAACTTCTAAAACAACATTTATTTATTATGAGTCTTCTCAGTAATTTTAAACTATACATCAACGTGATTTAATATAAAAATTATATTTTTCCTGTATGGATAAATAATTTTTATATACACATCAAACTGACAATTGATATAAAGTGAAGGCTTCTATAGTATGTAAGATTTGACATTCAAAAGTTTAAGAAGCTTTCATTTGACTACAATACAAAAATAAATTGCCTGTTATGAGTAGTTTTAAATCACAGTTGAATTTGTGAGTACATTTTTTAACTAGTTTTTAATGTTTTTCTTTTTTATTCACAACATGGTCCATGACCATTTTGTAAACCATTCCTAATGTCAAACATCCTACTGCAGTAGCTTGAGCACCAACTCGAAGTTGAATTAAATATAAAGATGGCGTAAAAGTCAATCCTTTTGTTTTATATCTGTAAAATCCATAGCTACATGCTCCAATAAATCCCAGCATACCTAAAACCATTCAAATTACAATTGGGAAAAGATAATATTTACAAAAACTTTAACAATCTACAGATCTGCTAAATAAGATCACTAACTTGTCATGACAAGCGGCCTTGTTTTGAAATTTCTAATCAATAATTCGGTAAAATCTTCCTCATGGAATGAACTAACATATCCATCTCCTTGTTCTCCTTGTTCACCCATTTTTGGTATTTAATGGAAGATCTGCTAATCTAATGGTAAATAAAAAAATTAAATATAATAAAGAATAACCTGTGTATAAGTTGAAAATATTTACTTTCACTTTTATTTTCATGAAAAGCATCAATATAATATTTTGTATTTTTTAAAACATTGTAGATTATATAATTTATTTTAATTATTAATTTCACAATATTTCGTAACAACCTTGAAGACCAAAAAATTGTAAGGAAAAAAGTTTATTACATCATAAATAATTAAAGAAAATAGGCACATGAAAAGTATTTACGTTAAATACGTAAAAACTGTAACCTTTGTATTATGCAAAACAATTTAAAAAATCAGTACCGTGAATCTCAACTTGAGATTTGACAACTTGTTCTATAGCAATTACACCAACAAAATCAATACAATATTAACAATAAGTTATACAATAATATGTGAGAATCAACGATTATAAAGTGGTAACTTACCAACGATCTTTATAGCAGAAACAGAGTCCAACAACCAACTTGAAATGGGGAAAAGGGTGAAGGTCACGGTTATTACGCGTCAGCAATCAGCTATGCGGACGTGATCTTGGCGTTCTATTCAAACAGGAAATCACCTTCTAAACACCCTTGCACGACTGTTGAAACTCCGAATCACGTCACTAGTTCGCCTCCTAGCTCGCTAATTACTATAGTAGCTAACTCTAAGTCGCTGGCCGCTGTCACTGTCAGTGTAACGTGTATAGTTTCTGCTGTCCCCCACCACTTATATATAACAACGAAAATTTTATTACTTACGCCTGATTTATCACGTAAACGTACTTGTAGCATCTTGATTATATATTTGAAAATAAACTCTAGACTTTTTATTTATTTAATTTTTATAAACACAATGGTTATCTTTTGGTGTGGAAGCTGCGGTTTCAACTATCGTTTTACATTGAAGTATAAAAGCACAATTTACCGCCATCACGACCACGTGGTTGCAACCATCTTGTGATTTTCAGTTCAGTGAAAGTCTGCTACTCGCTTTCCTACGTGACTTGTGCACCCATCTTACCTATACACGCACACGCACGGACGCACACACACGCACACATACACACACACACACAGAATAGGTAGACGATTTTCTGAAAACATAAGTGAGGGTACGTAAGAGATTCGCACTCATGATGACTTATACGAAAATGTAAATGTGTTTACGTGCTAGTTGAATGATTATTAGGACATTGTGACGACGGTAAGTCGCATAAATACATTCTTAAATAAAAATATTTATTTTGACTTTTTTTTACGTCTACATATTGTTAGCGATTATTAAGGTCTTATTAAACCATAAACTTCGATATTTTCCTTTAAAAAGTAGCTTCGATTATCGCGAAATTAGAGTATTTTTTAAATTAGAGTAATTTTATTTTTATAAATTTTATTGATTATCTAATCTTTCATCCTGTAATTACTTTAAATAAAATTGGTTGAAATGATTGCAAAATATCTTGGCCATATTGTGTAAATTTTCATTTCAGAAGTAAGTCTCGTGTGCTGCTATCTTATGTTATTTCTCACGTGTTACTTTTATTTTAGGGAAGAACTCGTGCACAATGGCAGCGGGACAAGAAAATGTCTTTCGAGTTGGATCTCGAAAAAGTGAATTGGCTCTTATACAAACAGAATATGTAATTAAATGTCTCAAAGAGTGTAACCCAGATAAAGAATTTAAGATAATTACTATGAGCACAAAAGGAGATAAAATATTAAATGTTTCACTGCCAAAAATAGGAGAAAAATCTTTATTTACAGAAGAACTAGAAAATGCATTAGAGAATAATCGTGTTGATTTCTTAGTACATTCACTAAAAGATCTGCCAACTACTTTACGTGATGGATTGGCTATTGGTGCAATCTTAGAGCGAGAAGATCCTCGGGATGCAGTTGTAATGTCGAAAGCTTACAGCACATTCACATTAGAAACTTTACCTCATGGAAGCATAATTGGTACAAGCTCATTACGACGATCTGCATATCTAGCTAGGAACATGCCTCATTTGAAAGTTGAAAGTATTAGAGGAAATCTAAATACAAGGTTCAAAAAGTTGGACAATGAAGAAGGAAATTATGCTGCCATTATCTTAGCTGTTGCAGGACTAAAAAGAATGAACTTAGAACATAGAATAACTCATTATCTAGAGTCTGACGATACTCTCTATGCTGTAGGTCAAGGTGCCTTGGGAATTGAATGTAGAGAAAGGGATCCACGTGTTCTTTCCATATTAGAGCCACTAAATGACCTTCACACTACGTTGAGATGTGTAGCTGAAAGATCGTTTTTGAAATATTTGGGTGGTGGATGTTCAGCACCAGTTGGAGTAGCATCAACATTGAAAAATAAAGAATTGTCACTGTCAGGTGCCGTCTTGTCACTTGATGGTAAAGTGCTAATTAAAAATTCTTTAAGTTGTAAATTGTATTTACCAGACAATGATGGAGAGCCACCAAAAAAGTGTCCTTACAGAGAGCCAAGGACTTATGTTGGTGTTATACCAGGCCCAACAAATTCGATCAGTCTTATTGGTGCTGAACAATTAGGGAAAGATGTTGCTGAATTGCTTATTAAAGAAGATGCTATTGAAGTTATGTCAAAAGCTCGGAAAGATTATTTAAGTTCTGTTTAATATATTGAAAATCTAATATATTGCAGGTGGAGGTTTAATTTTGCATATTATATATGTAAATTTGTCTATAATCTTTATTATTTGTAAATTGAATTAAAGTGGTTATTGTTTAGTATTGTTATATTTTAAATTGTTATATTTTAAATTGTTCCAAATTACAAATAGATATTTATCTACATAAAAAGGGGAAAATGAATAAAACAATATTTAAAAAAAACATTTATTTTTATTGTTTAATCATGAAAAATGCAATATTTAAAAAAACTAAATTAATCTAATAATAAATGACTATACATGCCTTTAAAAAATAAAATCATCTTTTTTAATGTCAGTTGTTTATTATGAGTTACCTACTATATTCTTAGTAGATACTTTGATAGTATTATTTTCTCTAAAAGTATCAATATTTTACAGTATTCCGCCTAAAATATCTTGCGTATATTAAAATGCCGTATCTTATTTAAGTAGCTTGAATTTTATCACATTACAGATAAGCGCTTCATCTTTTGCTCGAATCTACGAATTCTTTGTTTGCTATAAATACACATTATCATTAAATCGTATGGAATTATAAATGACAGTACTTTGAATATAACGTACATCAACAGAAAACTGACTCTAAAAGATCTATCAAGATAACTGTGCTACATAATACCAATGAATATAGAAGCTTCAAAAATTGTTGGTCTAAATAACCGATGTAAGAGTATAGGAAAAAAATGGCATCGCAGTACTTTTCCAGTCAGTACACATTTCTTCAAAACTAGTGCCTAGCTCTCTTCCGATACGTGGAAATTTTTGGCACCGTAGACTGTAGAAATTCAAAAAAATGTCTAGAGAAATAATGCATCTTCGCCGAAGAATATACGGGGTGGCTTATATGTACTTGTTCAAAAGGTCACTATATACCAATGTATAGATAAATATATAGTAACTGACGCTCTCTAAGATAACTTATTTTCGTTTTTAAATTACATTTTTTTCATCAGAGTTCGATTTAGAAGTAGTCAATAAGGAGCCATGTATAATCGATCGTTGCCTTTTCCATTTGGATAGAACCACCAAGATTTTTAAAATAAATTTATAGGATATTGTTCGTGAGGGTAATTAGGAATGGCAATTAATGTGTACTCTAAATCAATCGATTACAAATATAGCAAATTATTATTATTTGACAACATACAGACTAAAACCTCAATAATAAACTAATTACGGTTACTATCTAAAGCCTTTACGTAGCCGGGTCTCACTCAAAACTTCCCTCCAAGGGCTAAACAGCTCCGCTTTTCTATTTTCCACGCTTTCAACTCAGACTATTGTTATCCGTGTTTCTCTCTCTCTTTTTCTCTATCATACTGACAACCGACTGCATGCTATACCCAAATCTCTTTTTACATATTTTTTTAAATATTTTTATATTAAAAAGCTGTCAAAAATTTGAAAAATTTTTCAAGATTTTGACACTGTATGACACAACAGCACAATTAACTTTTTTTCAATCTAAGTAATTCTCATACATCATGATGTGTATGATGAATAAAACATATTTCTATTTTCTATAAAAAAATAGTTTATAGCTGAATGAAATCAAGCGTTCACGGTTTCTCAGTAAGGGTCGTGCAATATAACAGCACTTGATGGTCGGATGGGTTACGTCAAGTCCTGAGCAACTTTTTCATTTTATATGTGTATGTGCATTTGTCATTCAATATTTAATAGTATATATATTATTTTAGAACATATTATTAAATCTGAAACAAAAATAATTTTTGTACTATTGCGCAATATGTTTCAAGACATTTTTAAGGTCGACATCGCGCTTTTTTTTTGGTCAAGTATAATCTAACAATTTCAGCGGTGACACATTTTGTTTAGAATAAGCCTTTCCGAGGACACCCTATTCGCTTTGTTTAATTCAGTTATGTTTCAAAGTTTAATTAAAACGGTGTATTTTTCTCATCCTAAATACACTCAGTTATTCATTTTTATATTTTATTTAATTTTATTATTTATTTTTACCTTTTATTTACGAAAAAATAATTATAATTTCATGAAAGTGCTTGTAACCGATTGTATCAGATATACATTATGATTTTGAACTATTGGTTTATACAAAATGAAAATATTTTTTATTTATTACACACATGTTGACATCGTGTATACGGCCCTAATTGCCGAGCTCCTATAAAAATTAGTCTTCTATAAGCTTCTATCTTCGTTTAATAATATTCATCCAAAAATACTATACCAAATATATAGAAATATCAAACTTTTTATTTTGGGTATAAAAACTTGATATTTTTTATGTAATCTTATGATATACAAAAAGATATATAACGTATTTTATTATATAAATAATCACTTATCACAATCATTTAATATTTTTTTAAAAAGTCCTCTATAGACAAATGATCTCGTTTTAACTAAGCAGCATTCAATATTACCGATTCAATGCTTTGTTTAATACTTTTTTCAGCGCTTGGTGTAGGATGTTTTTCGAAGAAAACTTTAATTTCTCGTGCATAGTTTTCAGTAACAAAATCTTTTGTTATAGCCTTAATCAATCTTATGAGTAAAAGACCATTTTTGTATCTGTCGATCAATTTTTTATAATTATCTTTGAAAAATTGCCACACTAAAAGACGACCTTTGTAACTCATTTGAATAGACGTCATTATAACTACTGTTTCTTGCAATCTGACTTCTTCGCTAATCGAAAATTCGAGTGCATGTTTGAGTAAATCTTCGTCTTTCGTTGCTCCCAATGACCCCAGGATTCGACTTTTTTCTTCAAGTAAATCAGTCTCGCGGTACAAACGTAATAAAGTGTTAAAAGTTTCAGTGTTACCGGTCATCAAAGCTGCGCAGTAGGCTGCTTTTCGTAGATCGGCTGGTAAAATGCTCTTTTTCGATACGTGATCTTCAAATCGACGCTTCGCTTTCTTAATTGTGGCTTCGTCTTCAAAAGATACCATACGAAATACTATCACAGCTCTGCAATCACCAATTATTATTACATGATATGTTCCAATTTCATAAAATATTTATATCAAAAATATATCTTAGCAATGTGTCCAAATGGCTTTCCTTTGGTTTCACATCCCATCTAAGGCGAGCATAAATATTTGCAAAAAGCTCTCGACCAAATGCTTGGAATTTCGAATTTATTTCCAGATGAGATACAAGTAGGCCAATCTTGCTCAAAATGTTGACAACACAGGTTCATACAGTATAGTCTACTTCTTGTTTAAATGACTCCATCAACTTCAAAGTCTGACTTGTTGAAATATGTCCAGCTTCTGATAGAGCAGAAAAATCGTCCTAAAGTCCTAAACGGTCCAAAGGGGGTAAAGTTTGATTTTTGATGGCGGGTATAAACTGTTCAAGTAATTCATTACTGTAGTGTTCTACAAACACTGACAGTTCCTGAATTGATTTTTATCCAACAATCTCTAGTTACACCCTCAAATTTTATATCTTTAGATTTGGTTTCCAAAAGTGCATTCATTATAATTTTTTTGGGTCACTGGATTGGTCAATTGACTGCTATTGGAATGACCCACTGACTATTTTAAGTCAGCTGAACCATCAGCAAAAAATCTTTCTTGAGAAATGTTTAGAACTCGATTGTTTTCATTGCTGGAAGGCTTTTCAGAAATTTTAAGAATAGGAAAACCCTGTTTTTTAGTCCATACAGACATTACATGAGCAACAGGCTTCTTACTGGCTTCTTCCAATGCTTGCCACAAGTTAATAGTCTCAGCATTAGAATAGCAGTACTTCTTTAGATATAAATGCATGCCTTTTTTAAAATCATCATCACCAATATAGGAATGTAACATTCTTATTATACTAGCTCCTTTATTGTATGAAATGCTATCAAAAATTTCATTTATTTCAGAAGGATTGTTAACTGGTACTTCTATTGGATGACTACTTTTCAAAGCATCTAATTTCAATGCAGTGATAAATGTATCTGTTACAAATTGAGTCCATATGTCATAATCTTTATAATGATAATCTACACATAGAAACTCTACAAATGAAGCATATCCCTCTTTTAACCACAAATCTGTCCACCATTTAATTGTCACTAAATTACCAAACCATTGATGAGTACCACATTTAAGGCCCCGGTCCTATAGCTATCGTATGAATGCGGACGGATACGGACGCGAATCGCAACTCTAGCAACATCACTAAAAATATCTAGTTCGATTATTTAGTACCAACACTACCGGTAGTGAGCAAAAGTAACTGTTGTTAGAACTCTAGCGCCGAACGTACCACATTTAATGTTCAAATGTCAGGTCTACCATTTACTTTTTAAATTCTCATGAATATTGCTTATTGATGAGTATGCTAATGTAAAAAAAGCTTTTGGGATGATTAATACATATCATTTATATATATTTTCTTCTTCTTCTCATATATTCAAGTACTTCCATAAAATTAAGGCCTAATTCCACTATTTGTAGTTGAATGTCTATCAATTCTCTATCATTTGCCATCTTATAGACTGCAATAATGTAAAGGTTAAATAAGCGTTCATTAAATGTGGTACGTTCGGCGTTACTATTTTAAACAACAGTTACTTTTGCTCACTACCGGTAGTGTTGGTACTAAATAATCGAACTAGATATTTTTAGTGATGTTACTAGAGTTGCGATTCGCGTCCGTATCCGTCCGCATTCATACGTAGCTATATATATATGTATCGGGGTCTAATGAACGCCTATCTAAACCTTTACATCATTGCAGTCTATAAGATGCCAAATGATAGAGAATTGATAGACTTTCAACTACAATTAGTGGAATTAGGTCTTCATTTTATGGAAGTACTTGAATATATGAGAAGAAGAAGAAAATATATATAAATGATATGTATTAATCATCCCAAAAACTTTTTTTACATTAGCATACTCATCAATAAGCAATAATCATGAGAATTTGAAAAGTAAATTGTAGACCTGACATTTGAACATTAAATGTGGTACGTTCGGCGCTACAGTTTTAAACAACAGTCACTTTTGCTCACTACCGGTAGTGTTGGTACTAAATAATCGAACAAGATATTTTTAGTGATGTTATTGCGATTCGCGTCCGTATCCGTCCGCATCCGTATGTACCTATGATCGATAAGAAATCGGTGACCGATATTTCAGAAATCTAAATTATCTGTACGTGATTATGAATTCAATGTATAGCGGAAAAATATAATTAAATATTTTTTGTTGTAGTAAAGATAAAATGAAATGTTAAAATATAGGTTATTAAATTTGTAAGATGCTTTTATTGAAGAATAGTCAAATGTAGTATATATAACAAAAGACAAAATCAGTATTCTTTATTGAAACTTAATTATAAAAGAAAATCACGTATTGTTAGCTAATCTTCTTAAAGGTCTTATTGATTTAATCGGTTGATGTATGCGCATATTTAAAAAAATTCGATTATTTATGTTTGGATTACAATTCATTGTATTATTGTATTTTGATAAGATAATATAAACTATTTTAATTAAAAACTTGACTTGATTACGCATTTATGTTCATACTTATATATATATATATATATATATATATATATATATAGTATGAATTCATAAATAAAACCAAAGTACACCGAATGTATTAATATTAAGACTATTCCAGACACTAATATTTTTGGTCACCTGATTTCTGTATACTCTTGTTTATTGTATGTACTTATTACGCATATGTAGTGTGAAATGTATAAAAACTAATATTATCACAGCTGTATAATTCGATTATTATATATTTATAATTTTAATATCTGTTCAAAATTTGAATGCAAGTCCGACCTTTCTATATATTGATTATTAATTATTTTGTAATAATAATAATAACAATAATAATAATACACTTTGTTATAAATGTATTATAAATCAAAGAGGATGATACATTTGAATAAAATATGAATAATGGAATTTATATTGATCATATAATATAATTTCAAATGTTTCATATTTTGTCACCTCGAGATGAAAGTCACAGCTCTTTTTTACTGGTAAAGATAATTTTTGAATTTTTATTTACTTCAACGAGAAATATGAAAAGGTCATGATTTATAATCAACTTAATGCATGACTTCTTACGTTTAATATGATAAAATTGTTTTAGTAATCTACATCACGAAAATTATTAAAAATTGTATTAGAAGTCAATATTGATATTCTTAGCTTGACGCGATGCCAATCACAATTTTGTCAAGAAGTCGTACAGGGAAGTGTCTACTCTTCAATTACTTTCGATTGCAGCAATTTCAAATAGGCGTTTCTTTCAGCATTTGTGTGAGCAAAAATAATTTTTTTCTTCAAAACCATTGGAAGAAATGATACAAAGAATTTAATCACGTCATGGATCCAATAACCGCTCCCAGAATTCAATTTTCCTATAATTTCGATAGCATTTTTTACATAAGTTGCAGCAGTAGGAAAAAGTGTTGAAGATTTCTAGATAAACAGAAATATGTTGTTATCTATGCATCTATAAATAATTAAATAAATAATATAGGCAATAAATAGATTTATTGTGATTACGTAAAATAGTGTGCTGATGCACCGAAACGTTATTATTGATTATTTAAAATTATAAGATTTGATATTTAAAAATTTATAATGACTTAATATATACTTAGTGATATTTATATTTTTCACATATATTGCTATTTATTTTATGACGAAAAAAATCTTGAACTGAAGATTTTTTAAAATAAATATATACAAAAATATTATCATCTTAGCAAATAATGTCCTTCCAATTTTTCAAAATAAAAGTGAACTATTGTTTAAGAGACTAACGAGCAATTGTATGATATATACACGTAATTTTCTGTGGTATAAAATTAGATAAAGTAGCGAGGTTAAAAAAGTCCCTTGTAAATATTGAAGGTTAAATATGTCACGTGTGCTCTCATCGCGAAACATGGTGACTTATAGCATATAAGTATAGCATGAAACGTCCATAAGAAGAATGAGAAGCAACAAAGAGTTTCGATTAATATAAGTATATCGTAATGGCTATGGTCTAGTGATCCAGAATCCAGACTTGAAAGTTCCGGACTCTGAGATTGATTGCCGGTTCCGTCACTTCTTAATTCAGTTTATAAAGATTTATTCACATGTAACAATACAATTTACTCGTTTCTTTTATTATTCATGATAACGAATTCTAGTGTTCACACGTTATTATTCAACTCAAACCAATTAAAATCTATTTACCAGTTTGTAATATTTCTATATTATACATACCTTAACTAGCTGGCAATAAGCAACCATTTTTGTGTTTACATAGTAAGGCGAAAGTCTTTGTATCATAATTCCATATTTAGAATATTCTTCACGTAATGCATCCGTAAAATATCGAACGTATGTCTTAGTTGCTGCGTAAACGCTTAATAAAGGCGAAGGGTACGTATCCAAACTCGAACAGATATTGACAATAGCACCTTTTTTCCTTGTCTTCATGTCTTCGATAATTAAATGAGTCATAAACGTCGGTGCACCAATATTAACGTTAATCATTTCCCACAAGTTACTTTCAGAAGTTTCTCCAAAATACATTGGATATTCAGAGAGTGCCCCAACATTGTTTACTTATAATACATATAAATGATATATTATTTTAAGTAAATTATGAAAAATGGGGTTTAATGCCTACTCAATATTCCAACAGGGATATCTTTCAGTTGATTGCGAATTTTTTCATATTCGAATTTTCCTCTGCTAAAGTCAACTTCAATGACTTTAATACGAATATTGAAATTGAGCAATTGTAATTCATCCTTGGTCTTGCATAGTTTTTCCATTGATCTACTAATTAGAATAAGATTCATATCTCTTTTTGCAAATTCTTTGGCATATTCTTTTCCAATACCATCTGTTGCTCCTGTCACTACTGAAATAATGAATGTAAGACACTTTACACTATTTATTTAAAAGCGCATTGTGATTTTTCGTATTGAGCATTTGGTAGTTACAATTTAATTCACTTTACCTGCCCAGTCACCGAATCGCTTCTTCAAATCACCTGATTTGGAAATTGACATTGCTAACTTATAAATGAGGCGCATCAATTTTATGAAAGGATTCATAAAATATAAAATTATAAATATTATAAGCGATAATGTCACACCTTCAACCATAATTCTTTAGCTAGTTGTTTTCTAAAAGTATATGTATAAATTAGATAACATTAAAACATTTTCATTAACAGCAAATTATTAATATATGTTAAAAATTATTCCCTGAAAAAGCTTTCTTCAAAATTATTTTATTACAACAAATGTTATGGTACATGTTATTGATTATTGAAATGATATTTAAATACATAAATCGTATGTTTTACACAAATCTGAAGGTGACCTACATTTTATACGTAATCTGTACGTTCTTTTTCAGTTACTTCATAATGAAACTTTTCGAATATGTATTGATATTTATCTTATAAGGAAACCTCTCCCACCCTACCTCACTAATTGCAATATACTTTTAATATGTTGTAGATAATATAAGAATAAGTAACACGCGCCTTTTTTTATCGACGAAAAAACACTGTGAAGGGGTAAAATCCGCCCAAAGTTCACTCGCAAAAATGAATTCATTTTTTTAATTTATCTTAAATTCTAACTGATTTTTTTTTCAGTGAAATAAATTTCATTGCATTTATCAAAACTAAATATATTAATTTACATTAGAATAAGCCATACGCAATGTATGAAATAGTAAATTATTAATTAAAACATGTAGAATATTAAAGAACGTTTTTGTGGGTGGTTTTTTACATTTTATGGGGTTTTCGAATAATAATCTCGAACGGGTAAACTTTATTATTGTAATCAACCCACGATAATATTTTTTCCAGTTTTTTTCGCTCATTTAAAAAGAAATTTTTTTTATAAAAATAGGCACAAAAGTGATAAATCTGTCAATAAAGAAAATAAGGGTGCATCCCTTATGGTCAGAACTGCATGCATTAGTTCCGCATTTACATGAGAAAAGAAATTAAATTTATTTTATAGTAAAATATCAATTAGAACTTGAGATAAATTGCAAAATTCATTTATAAGGGTGTATTTCACCTCTTCAAAGTGTTTTTCCGCAGATGAAAAAACAGGTAATATTTATTTTTCTATGATCTACAACATATCAAAAGAATATTAAAATCGGTAAGATCGGAGTGGGGGGTTTCCTTGTTAGTTGAACGGTCGAACGGTAAAGGCAATATGAAAAGAAAACAACTTTTGACATTTCGTTAATCGATTCGTTAACCTCTTTAGAATAAAATAACTATCCGAACGTACTATGGTCAGAACAAATGCAATAGTCAACTATTAACGAAATGTCGAAACTTGTTTTCTTTTTGTTACCTCCATGGAGCACAGATTCAACTAAAAAAAAACTATGGCAAGCAGGAACAGCAACTAAAGAAAAGAACAGATATTCAATTTAAGGAATTTTTTCTAATAAGAAAATAATTATATACTGCTACCTATATAAAGCTGATTTATTTTATAACAGTTCTATAAAATAATATATTTTAACATGAGCTCTTATTTTTATCATAATTAATTGACGTCTCTTACAATAAAAATAAAAGCTCATCCATTGATTTTAAATGAGCTCATCTCCATTGAAATCGTTCCAAAGTCATAGGCCAGCATAAAAGAAAAAAATTCAGGTTGAACACAAAGCCTCCTCTTTATTGAAGTTGACAAAACTGATAGATACCTTGTAGTTATAGTTTTGATGATAATATTATTTGACAAAAATAAATTTACAAGCCCAATTTATATTTTAGATTTTAATTATCGTTTAAAAGATAAATAAAAATGTTTTGAAAACACCATTTTCGATCTATAATTTAATTATATTCTGAATAGATATAATAAAACATATTGAGCTTCTTTACAGTCTTTTGATAAAATATACTGTATTTGGTTTGGCGCAAAATAAACTAACTGTATTTTAAAAGATAATATCATAATATTATTGCTATATACAGTTATTGGTTACTTACCTAGAAAAAACGAATAAATAATATAATTTAATTATAGAGCGATGTTCTTTTGCTGACAGTACACTTATAATTGATTAAATTTTAATATGAAGAAAAATTTCAACACATAAATTTGTTTTAATTAATGTATAAAATAGTCTATTTGTCTTTTTTTTCTTTGCGGAGAAATAGTTTAAACTGCTTGTACACGTTGAACATTTTATCACCTGCAGTGCTTTAGCAACAGCATCGATATTATAATCTTTTATTCACAAGTGTATACCCTACAACTTTTACACGGTCGTGTTGCCAATTCTAAAGTTGTAATTGCAGTCCACTTCACGGTGCTAGAGTACATTAGTTATAAGAATCAAGGTAGCTTGGATACAATATACCTTCATGAGTATATAAAATTATTGATTTTCTCAAATTAAAATGTTTTTTATCCTGGAAATGGTGCTTTCTTTATTAACGTTCCTTCGCCCTAGTCGAAAAGCGAAAGTTGCAACAGGAATTCGAATTGAACTACATTAATAGTACTTATTGGAAGCTTTAGTTACCTCATTTTCATGGTAAACATTCATTATATAATACTATACTTATCAGGAAAGGTGCATATAGCATTTCTTTGAAGAGTGAAAGTTTAAATTTAAATATCTTTGATTAGATTTTAATTTGCTTTTATTAGTACAATAATTGTTATTATTTGAGTTATTAATTTTTAAATATTTCATAAGCTGATGGCAGACGCGTATATTTGTAATAAAAATTCATCTTAATATATACATTAACATAACTTTGAGTTTTTATGGTCTATAGACAAGTGCATTAATATCTTCATTTCCAACGTCATAATAATCGAAGTATACAGTGTTAGAATATCATTGAGTTTATCAATCGTTATTCTTTTTATTGGATTTCAAATAATTATCCCGTTCTTCTTTAATGACGCTGTAGATGTATCTTATCGTTAACCACCTTGGCAATATAATCACGATGAAACGCAATACATCGTGGATCCAATAACCCGCAGTAGAATTCAACTTTCCTAAGGTGTTTACAGCACTTTTAGCATAGGTTGCTGCGTCTGGATAAATTAATGGACGTTTCTGAATACCAAAAATATTTGCTCAGGTTATGTTATCAAAATTGCGTCAAATATAAATGAAGTTCATTCATTAAAAAAAGTAAATTAGGTCTTCAGGTATAGGCCACAATTTAGTTAAAATTTTTACCTTTATGCCATCGACAAAGCTGACCATTTTTGTATCAATATAGTAAGGTGCAAGAGTTTGTATAGTAAGTCCATACTTAGAGTATTCAGCACGGATTGCTTCCGAAAAGAAGCGAATAAATGTTTTGCTCGATGCATAAATTGACATCAATGGCATTGGTATTGTATCAATGCCCGAAGAAACATTGACTATAGCACCTCTTCTTTTCTTTTTCATCTTTTCAATGACCAAATGAGTCATTAATGTCGCGGCTGCAATATTTATATTGATAATATCCCATAAATCAGTTCTAGAATGTTCTCCAAAATACATGGGATATTCAGTTAGTTTGCCAACGTTATTGACTGTAATTATATCGATAATCAGATTATTGTAGTTCAATAAAACTTGAATTTTGTGTTATTAATCCGTACCTAATATTCCGACTGGAATATCTTTCAATTTATCAGCAATCTTTTCAATTTCATTTCGATTTTTACTGAAATCTGCTTGAATGATTTCAATTTGAATATTCGTATTAAGCAAGTGTATTTCGTTTTTCGTTGCTTTTAATTTATCAAGACACCTGCTAATTAAAACAATGTTGATATCTTTTTTTGCTAATTCCTTCGCGTATTCTTTTCCAATGCCATCAGTCGATCCTGTCACAACTTCAATTTTAATATTATTATCATAGACTCGAAGATACTATTTATATTAATGTAAAAGTAAAAATGCCGCTTTACATAAAATTTTTCATACTATATTATCGTAGTACCCGTATGTAAAATTATTACGTAAGTTTTTTTAAATGATAAAAATAAGCGTATAAGGTAACTGCATTTTCCAAATAATCAAATATTTGTTTAGTAAATTCATGAATTTACCTGCCCAGTCTCCAAATGTCCGTTTTAAATCAATTGGGTTTGAATTACAAGCAATTTGCCACAAACTATGTATTAATATTATTAAAGGATGTAATGTCAGAATAATGCAAAATAACAGTAATCCTGCAGTAATAGTAATCATAATTCTTTGTGAGACTCTAATAGGCAATCCAACCGCGATTCAACTAAAAACAAATGACACGATTTTTAACCAAAACCTTATATTTACCGATTACTTAGAAATTATTCACAATTAATGGAGGAACCTTGACGAAAAATTGCTTGCAACGCTGTAGTAATTAGTAACGATAAGAATAACTACGCTACACGGAGCATTATTTTTTTGTTCAGGCACTCTCTAGTACAACCTGAAAGTATTGAAATAAGTAAATGTATGGAAGAAGTACTTGTTTTATATTTATAAGTACTATAATTAAAATATGTTGAAGTAGATCTAATATTATGCTTATTTTGATTTAACAGGCATTATCCCGGATTCAAACAAATCAAAACAGTCTAATTTGATGTAAATTAAAATAATAACGTTTTTACAGGTAGAACTTCAATACAAATAACTGCCATTCATATGCAAATCGAAAAAAAATCTTTGTTTTGTTTGATTGAACAGAAAATATTTTTTTAGCGATTCTAAAATTTTTCATATTTCACTCCAATTGTTTTGTTGTCTAGATTTTAAGTTAAAATTCTTTTCTGCTGTTGTATTTAAGAATACTGCATTTAATTTCAAAAGTTATATTATTATTTTATTTGAATTCAAAAAATATCTACAAAATAATTGTTTCTCGTTGTTGGCTTTTTCTGTATCTGCATCAACATCTGGCAATTTTATGTTTTTAAAGATATCTTGCTGGAACTTTATGAATATGTTCGATCAGCTAATATCCACACGTAGCATACTATTTATGTAAACATAGGAGTTCCTGTTAAAAAGGTATTCCATGTTTAAAAATTATTTAAAAAATCCCTTTTTAAGATACCTATTAGTTTGTCTTTGTTATATGAAGTTTATACTTTTATGTTACATTTTGGTAGATGTTAAAGATCACGATGAGTAATAGAAAGCTTTGAAATACATTCAGCTGCCGCATAGGTACATTTATTAAACTAATTGTATAACCAATTCAAAACAGAATCAGACAATAAAGATCGCAGAAAAAAGAAATATGCATAATTCTTTTCAATTTTTAAGGAAATACCCCGCTAATGACGTTGTCATTTGCATTTACATGTGAAAAATTATTCCAACAAACTATAATGAAAGTTGTTTTGTTTTAAATACTGATTGTATCAATTGATTTTATAAAAAAATCACTAAGAACTTGAAGTTATTATTATTAAACTTGAAGTTATCAGTGTAAAACGGTCATATAAAAAATAGCTATTTCGAAGTAAGTGGGTAAACTTAATTTTTTCGAATTAACTTCGAATGGAATAGTTAGTTTAATGCTATCTGAATCCAGTTTTTCTAGGAGATTCCTTCTTCGATGAACTAATTTTTATTTTTATTTATTACTATATTAAAAACTATGAGGATGTTTTCTACAGGATATTAGCTTCTTTATAGTACTATGTCGCTTAAATCAACACTTAAAATTTTCGTTTGGCTCAAAGTCTCTTTGTTTGACTTTACAAGATTGTATATATTGGCGCCCCTTCGTGTTTATCTTCCAACCATAATATGCTATTTCTGGGTGTGTACAAAAATTGAAAACTAATAAAATCGCTGAGCTAAAATGTTTGAGTGAGGTTTATATATTTGTGATCTAAAATTCGAATTAGAAGTTAGATTAATGCTATCATTTTTTGTTTCTTATTAAATTACAAAAACTTATAAGATAACCATACTTATTTATAACTTGTTGGATTTCCTTCATTTTCAATTTAATCAGCCGAATCGATTCCGCGTCACTTACTTAACAATCAGCTCTCATTTTAAAAATATACTGGAATTTAGTTTAATTTAGCTTTTAAATACATGCGAAAGGTCCATATATGTACCTAATGTAGGCACTATATATATGTAATAGAAACTTTTAGTGTTTGAAAAACTTCAAAATTAAAATTTTCTTAAAAAACTGAGTAATCAATTTCAGTGTTATTTTGCAAAATAGAAAAGCGAATGAAAAAATAATTTTTTTAAGTTGTGTTCCTGACGGTGACACTATTAATATATAAATTAAACGTGAAAATCTTATCGGAATGGAAACATGCAGATATCTCGATGTATATAATCATTGATTATTGGCAAGACAAAATATGTGATATAAAAATAACAATAAAATAATTTCATTTTTAGTATACTTTTATGGAATATTAAGATATGAAATTCGAGCTTGGGGAAGTCTATATGCAAATACATTATATCCATTGTAGAATCCCTGAAATGATTTATTTAAAGTTATTGATAAAATTACATGTAATTAAATATAAAGAGAAGAATAGAATAGGTCATTTTTTTCAACACATAAAATTCATAATAATATATGATTTTTAATAAATTTCCAAACAACTTTTATAATGTACAATTTCATTTTAATTATTATTTTGCAGTATCGTAGTCACACATCTCTGTTCGCCCACATAAATTTGTTATTTCTGTGCGTTCACAAATTTACTGTTATAAAAATATACGATAGAATATTGTTTAAATTTCCTATGTATCATTAAACTTCTTTATAGTACTATGTCGCTAAAATCAACACTTAAATAACGTCTATCTGTGATTTAAGAAGCGGACGTCCCTCTCACAGCGCGCGAGGCTCCTCGCCTGGCGCACCACCCCGCATTACCTATAAACTCGAGATTCATATTTTAATTGATTTACGTTTTTCTGTGATGACTTTAGGTCAAACTTTGGAATTAGGTTTCCTAATATTCATTTTACATGTATTAAGTTTTCTTTATTGCTCTATGGATTTCTTTTGCGTTTACACTCTAAGTGAATCGATCGTTTGCAATACTACGTATCCCATAAGAGCCCGTGTATAAGAGGTAAACTTTTCAAACCATTTTCTTTTCATTTACGATGACAATAAATATTGAAAAATTTCTGATGCATTTCTGATGTTCTAATTATTATTTTGATTATAATTTTCAATTTTATTACGATTTGACTATTATTTTATATAACTCCGAAATCTCTTTAAATAGTTCATTTTGGCACCGACTTAGAACACCCGCTGGTGCTCGAGCGCTAATCTTGTGGCGCAGAAGCAGAACTAACCTATCTTAACGGTCTGTTGGAGTTACTAACTGAGCAAAAATTTTTTCTGAACGTACATCAAACATGTACAAAGAGTCATAAAGATATGTTATTTTAAATTGTCTTAGAATGTCTCTATTCGTAGTTTTTATTTTGTTTTCTCTATTTTCAAGACAATTTTCAAAAAAGCAACTCATTACGGCTCTTTGTTTATATGCACTATGTGCTGAAATAGTTTCAAGTTGATTAATTTATGTATTTAAGAAAATACCTGGAAAAACTTGTTTTGCTCTTTCGGTGACGCCAACAGAGCCCTAATTTTCATAGCACACATAATTGAATCGAGTACTGATTTAAGATCGGTAGTACTATAAAATGTTGTGCGACACTTGCGATGCAAATATCTCGCTTGCGCTTGGGGGCTAATATTATGCCTGATCGTAATATACTGCTATATAATATATGATAAATAAATTGATCAATCAATATTTTCCTTGTGTGAATTGAAATAATTTTTTCGTTCTAGGCTTGTAATAATAAAAGCAAATTTCGTTCTAATCCACATTGGTACTATTAAAGCCAAAAAATGAAACAAATCATGCACCCAGTAGCCAGCTGTAGAATCTAATTTTCCTAAAGTGGTGATTGCATTTCTGGCGTAGGTTGCTGCATCGGGGAACATTACTTGATGACCCTTTATAATGGAAATTTGAATTTATACTCATTAGTAATGAAATAAATAATTAACATGTTTCAGTAATCAATCGAAGTAATTAAAATTAATAATATAAAACTATGTTATTTAATAACTTACATAAATGTTATACAAACCTGTACTACAGGATTATATTTGACCATTTTGGTGGTGACGTAATAAGGTGAGAGAGTTTGTACTGTGAGCCCGAACTGTGAATGTTCAGCTCGGATTGCATCCGAAAAATAGCGCACAAGTGTTTTACTCGCTGCATAAAATGACATCAGCGGCAGTGGTGTGGCTTCTGTACCTGAAGAAACATTAACTATAGCACCTTTTCTTCTTTTCTTCATCTGTTCAATGAACATATGAGTCATCAATGTCATTGCTCCAATATTCACATTGATCATTTTCCATAAATCAGTTCTCGAATACTCTCCGAAGTACATGGGGCACTCGGAGAAGGTCCCAACATTGTTGACTGTAAAATAAGTTTTGTTCATCAAGGATCGTGATAAGGAGTTAGATTAAAATAAATATTTATATCAATTCGAATTAAGCATTTTTCATTATAACGTTTAATACTATCGTATAACGTCAAAACAGTTAATATAATTTTTTACCTAATATTCCGATTGGAATATCTTTTACTTCATTGGCAATCTTTTCGATTGAATCTTTTCCTTCGCTAAAATCTGCTTGAATTATTTTAATTTTAATATTTGAATTAAGTGAGCTTATTTCGTTTTTTGTTGTTCTCAATTTTTCAATAGATCTGCTGATTAATATAATGTTAATATCTCTTTTTGCCAATTCCTTTGCGTATTCTTTTCCAATGCCATCAGTCGATCCGGTCACAACTATAAAATAAATTAATTGAATATTATTCAAGCCTTCTTTTTTTCAAATAATGTAGTATAGCAAAAATTCGTAGAAGAATCAGTGTAGTTATCGTGTGCTGTTGGCGAATATGAACATCTACAATTCTAATTTATAAAGCAAGAGAGTTTACCAGTACATTACTGATATTTACCTGCCCAGTTTCCAAATTGTTGCTTTAGATTGATCGGTTTAGTATTAAAGAGGTACTGCCATAGAAATCGTATAAATCCTATCAACGGATTTGAAGATAGAACAATGAAAAATAATACTGCTATGACAATCATGATTCGTTTTATGTTTTTAAACTTAATCAATTGTATTCGGTGTCTATAAAATATACAAAACATTAGGACCGACATGGCAATATGTCGTGAAGGTGTATGATGTGTCGAGCAGAGAAGGGTGTTTACAGAATGGTTCTGGCACTCATGAAATTGTAAGAATTCAGACACATGAAGCGTACATCAAATGATATTTTCAGGTTGAGAAACCTTTGAAATACTCCAATCACCATTTCAGTAAGATTGTAAGTACTAATTATGATAATAAAATATTTTAATGATTTTCGTGGGAGCACAAAAAAAGTGCAAACAAAATGACCTGCAAAACCGCTTAATCGTGTCATCTAGGTATATAATTTAAAGACTGTTTATAATTTTATTTGGCGCAAAATTTGTAGAATATTTTATTGTCAATATTGTGTTAATAAAACGCTAATTTAAACATCTTCAGGATTTTCAAGCTTAAAAAGATTCTTTTATGCACATGCCATGTATATATGTCTGATTCCGTAACTTTTCGTGAGTGTCAGAATTTGTCTGTAAACACCTAAAGTTAACTAGCGTTCAGCGCGGTAATGCTCAAGTGGATGAGTGATTCACCGATGACACTTTGTTCATCAGCTAGCAGTAATTATGTATATAACAAAGTAAGCGAGAGACGTGTTTGATGTTTTTTAAAATAAAATTCTAAGCGTTCGAATACACCAGCCACATAAAGCACGGATTTTCGTAAGCATATGCTGTGCGACTGTGATATGGAATAGGTTAAGGTACAGGTTTAGATAGTTTAGATTAAGAACATTTAGATCGCAGAAAATAATAATTCTGGAACATGGCAGTTCAAAGTTCGTAAGAACCCCTGGCATAAGCTTTCTAAATGAAAATAGAGATAAGCTACGAGTAGTGTTAGTGAATTTAGAAAATTTTGAAACTTACATAAATCTGAAAAGAAACTATTAATAATAAACAATTGAAATATTTCGTAACATAGCTTAACAAATATTTTAATGAGAACTTGAATGTAAATAATATCTATGTTCAATTTTTAATACGTTTAAAATAACTTCACTGTGCAATAGAATAATTGAATCACTTCTGCACTAAAAGAAGTCAACGTGTCAACTGGTGTTTTCTCTTTTAAGTCCAAGATAAGTAAAAATCTTCATAAACCTGAAAACATTATTATCAGTTACGATTCTTACGTTTCTTTCTTTCAAAGTTGCACAGAAAAACTATAATGCTAACACACAGAAACGTCAGCTAGAAAATGTGATAAAAAAGTATTAACAACAAGAATATTTATCTAACCGATGGAGCATGAGGAAATTGATTTGAAGGTTAACTTATTAGATAATGAAAAATCATGTCCGTAATGAGATTGAGAAGTTCACAAGAATCAGAGTTTTTAAATTAAGAGCTGAGCGATAAATTTTTTTGATCATATAGTCTTAATGCCTTTAGGTTATTCAAAGTCAAGATATTTAAGTCATATTTTGTATTGGTTTAATACAGAGATAACAAAGATTTTATAAAAATAAAAAATTCAGTAAAGTATCACATTCACTTAAGTAACTCGTAAAATCATGACGTACTTAATAAAAAATTTAATGAAATGAAAAAGAAAAATAAAACAAAATGATAGTAATACAGTGCAAAAGAGTTATTCCTATTATTTTAAGCGTGTATGTTTTATGTTATTAAAATGAAGTCAGTATGGTGCGAATGATTGATATACGAAAAAAAAGTAGTAAATTTCGCAAACCTAGAGTCTATTTTATGAACTATGACTTGCATGGGTTAATACAAACTATACTTCTCAACGATATTACATTAGATTATTAAAGTAAATATGGGATTATAAAGAAGAATTGTCAATTATTTTAACGTAGGCTCTATCATATATAAAATACTTGAAATAATTTAAAGTATTGACAGTTTTCGCCAGTTACTGATTATGTACTGCGCTAATATATCACAAGGTGAATGAATCATTGAATATGAATTAAAATTTCAATTTATCTCAATAAAAAGCTATAATTTGACTATCGGTGTATTATTTTACGAAGTATTTTTGCGCTATCAATAAGAAATTAATAATTGTGAGGAAAATCTGTTCAATTTTTTATATGGAAAGTGGATACTTTCGATATAAAATATTTCAATATAAATATTTCATATCTCAATTCGTCTCTTAGTCAATACTATATTACTTTATTATGCTACATCGGTACAGAAAATCTAAAATAAAAGTCATGCATCAAAAGCTAGATGTCTAATTTTTCTCTTGTTTTAAATTCAAGGAAGTTTCGTGATTTATAGAAACCTGAACTCTTATCGAATCAAATTTCCAAAAGTATTAACTATGTAAATAAAACATACGCGAAATAAGTAAAAAAAATCTGTTGTCCAATCTTCCATTTGACACAAATTAAGTTAATTGATAAATAAGATTAAATTGTTAAATGAAATGCAAACGAAAGACGATTATCGTTTACGAATGAACGGTATATAGAGACGGAAAATCTTTCATCAATTGAAATTGAAATTTACTACAATGTTGTATCATTATTTTGAATTCATCCATGTTATAATATATTTAGTAAAAAGTATGTTTCAACACGAACTGCGGAAAGTATGGTTTTGCCACAGGCTCAGAAAAAAACGCACCCTACAATTGGCGCTTTCCTTACATCGTTTTAAAAAATACCATAGATCTATATAACAAGTTCGGAAAAGAGATTCTCGCCTCATGTGTCTTACCTAGTAAATCTCACACGATACACAAATTTACTTTTCTGAACTATTTGTTGGTAATGTACTATTTTCAATGTTGAACACGTATTGTGCATTAAAAATAAGAGAACCATGTGCGTATGCAGTGATTGTACTGCATTTATTCCTGCACTTGATTCGCTAGCCATTAGAGTGACCTCGTCACATTGACTTTTTCTTTTAAGAGGACGTCAACTACCCTCCGGGGAAATAATTGAGTGGTCTGTACAATACCAAATACCCAGCGGAGGCTCTTTTCTAATTTGGCGGTGCCTGTTGTAATTATAAATCATTCCAAGGCGTTTGCTGCATTATCCTTACTCCGTTTTACCCTTATGAAAGGACTAGAAGTCTCAGGACTGTCTATAGCGCTCATATTATCAGTCTCTTCTCATTATGTCTCCGTATCGTTCTTTTCCAAACTTGATTGCTTTCCGGATAAAGGTTGCTTTTCGGTTCATGAATTTGCCGAACCACACTATAGTTTTGTCAGGCACAAAATATGTTTATTTAACTTTAACTAGATTAAAGATTTTAATTAAGTTAAAATAATTTTATTAATAATATCTTTGATTACTACTTTTCTAAACGAAATATTTATTTCGATTTCTTGAAGAAAGTAACAAATGTTCGTTAGAAAATAAACACGATGTAAATATTTCGAAGCTTTTTGCAACATTATAAGACATCAACAAATGATACTTGTATGATCAACGGATTTCATAAGACTAACTAAATGGTTGTATGTTTTCTATTATTACTAGAGATGTAAAATTCTGACTAAAAGTCGCAAGATATGAACAATCAATATGAATAAATATGTGAACATTTAATAAACCAGGAACTGACGCTATATCATTGATTCATAGCTTCTTAGTGAGTAAAATTTTCGGTGGCAACATCATTAGTTCAGAGTATCTGTTCTACCATTACGAAGTTCTACCATTTTATAATTACGAGAACGCGTCCAAAAAGTACAAACTATTAATTAGCATTAAGTTTTTTCTTTTAATATTATTCAAATATTTGTTGAGAAGATTAGTTAGTATACTTTGTTTTTAATAGTTCGTAATTTTATAGTTAAATTCTTCCAAGGAAAAGTAGGTGTCGGTTAAAAATGCTTCCAAATAATTTTTTATGTTTAAATATTTTTTTCAACCTTGTTATAACCGAAACATAATTAAATACGTGAATAATTAATTTGATCACCAATTAACTGAGAGTCCAGTAAAAGTTATCTCGGTTTTTTTATTATTAAGAGTAGTTTTACAACAGAAGGCCTAAAAGATGTAAATAGCAGGTACTTTAGATCGTAGATTAAAGTGTATTAAAAATATGGTGTCATGTCTTTTTGACGTTTAGATTTTTATTAAAATAAACAAATTTACACGGATAAAAATAATCGTCACGTCAAATGCAAAAAATGAACACAGTTACAAGAAAACTGCCGTTTACATTATTTTCAGTTTACTCCAGTCACTTTCTCAGTCATAGAATACTTATTTTTTTAAAGTTTGAAGTAAATTTCATAAATTCATAACAACTTCACGTTTACAATTCCAATTCATTCATTACCATGATTATGCTCTTACTAATTTAAAAATATATTTTTAATTATATTACACCCATGTTATTAGATTTAATTAAGAATAAGAAACCTTATACAGACTTGATGTAATAACATTTATCAATGCTTAAGTACATAATTACAGTACAAGTGTTTAATATTGACAGATTATATTTTACATGAATTACATGCTTGTTATTCTTTTATATGCTCCATGTCGAACGGTAAATAGTTTACGATTCCAGTTCATGCATGTTTAAAATTTACATGAATATCGCTGATATAAAGAAAACTTGACTTACAAATTCAACAACAGTAATCTGCAATTAAACGTCATTAAACTGACTGTTTAACTTGTTGTTTAAACACAAGCATACTCATCTTGTTCTAAAAATAAATCGATAGCTTGCTGTATCAAGCGTTTTTTTGCTTGAAGTAATCGTCACGTAAAACTTGATTCATAAATTGACCGATTCTCATTCTTATCCAGACTGGAGGAATTAGCGTGAAAAAGTTCTGTATGCCGTGAGCCCAGTATCCAGTGCTGGAGTTCACCTTGCCCAGGGTCGTCACCGCATTTTTCGCGTACGTCGTCGCATCAGGAACGAATAAGCTCGATACCTACATTTTTCATGGTTTTCATTCTATCGCATGCATTGTTCGAAACTATAACTAATGGATCGTGACAATTTACCTGCAATCTCTGGCTGAAAGCGTTCATTTTGGTATTGACGAAGAGTGGAGTAAGATGCTGAATGGTAACTCCGAATCTCGAGTATTCGGCTCTGAGCGCCTCGGAAAAGCTACGCACGTATACTTTGGTAGCCGCGTAAACAGTCATTAGGGGCAACGGCTGCAATTCCGAGCCTGACGATATATTAACGATTGCGCCTTTGCCGCGTTTCTTCATGCCGTCAATGACCAGTCGCGTCATCAGCGTCGTTGCGCCGACATTCACGTTTATTATGTCCCACAGCTCGTCTTCTGGTACCTCGCCTAAGTACATCGGATACGTGTACTGTTTGCCCACGTTGTTTACTGCAAAGTATGTCGTTCATATGAAGTTCCGGAAGATTCCGAATGTATACATTGACGAATTGTGAAAGCTACGGTGAAACTTGAACGAAGAAACTTTTATGCAACAAAAATTCTCACACAATAATCTGTAGAGAAATCTTCAAATGAATTTCGAATTCACGACCAATAAACGTTATGTTTTTGATTCCATTTCAAATTTCAAAGTGTAGAATCTACTTCGCTGCGTATTTATGTACAAGAATATTTTAATAATGTGATGGTAATTACAATGTGATTTCCTCACCTAGAATTCCGACAGGAATATCCGTCAATTCGGACTTAATTTTGGTATAAACTTCTTCACCCTTGCTAAAATCTGCACAGATGATTTTCACTTCGACCTTAGGACTGACCTCTAAGATTTCTGCCTTAGTCTTTACAAGCCTATCAAGCGTTCGGCTTATCAGGACTAAATTAACATCTCTTGCCGCTAACTCCTTGGCGTAGGCTTTACCGATCCCGTCGGTAGAACCAGTTACCACTAAAAACAAGAGAATGATAATTTGTAATTAATAATTTTTCAAGTTACGTCATATTTTCTGAAATGCTTTGAAATCATGCGGAAGACGCGACATGGTCATAGGTTCGGCAAAAAACGTGCGTTCAAACTGTCCTTTCCACAGGTTATTTAAAAAAATACCGTAACTAATATCTTTGACAAGGAGATTCTCATTTCTGTCTTCGCTCGGGCGTAAAGCTCACCCCGAGATAAGAATTTATTTTCCGGCACTAGTTAGCTGGTGTACTGTATTAGTAAGATTTCAATATGAGCAAAATAAAGACAGTCACTTAAAAAATAAGCAATTTATTATAACAATGTTTTTGGCTGAATACTGTGCATCTAAAGTAAACGATATTTTTACCAAGATTATTATTTGAAATCAACGGAGATATATCTCGCTTTTAGTTAACTAATGTGAATACAAATGATCGCAAAGTCATAACTTGTCTTTTTTCAATAATTTTGTATTTTTAACTTGGCTACTCCACTGTTCTGTTAACGTCTTGGAAACGGTCTATACCTTGACCTCCTGATATTCGCTATATGTTTGTCCGCTGTACTTATAGTTATACACGATAAAATAATATTTGATGATGTCTGTTTGAAATGACAGCTGTTTAAAAATAAATGCGCCATGCTATTCAAATTACTCCCGTAGTCTGGTTTTATCGCCACTCCTGAGTTATGATTTTTCTTAAAACTAGCATTATTTAGCGCGTATCGCACATTCTTCTTTCTTTTACTGTTATTTATTATACTAGAAATTCGCACTGCACGTGTCGCATGCGTGGATCAATTTGTTTATGAGGAACATTCATTTAATCGTCATATTATTTTTTTATAATATTATAGAATAAAATAAGTATAATAAAAATCTTAATAATTTTATAATTAACAGAATTTGGAATTTTTGAACTAAAGTTACATTTCTGGATATTTGTGAAAAAAATTATATAGTATAAAACAATTTTCTGGTATATTAAGTTCAATTTTCTTTAAATATTAGTTATATCTCCGCAATTTTCAAAAACTACTTTCAACTAAATATGCGCTTGTGTCAACAACGTTTACGTTTGTTTTAAAAAAAAATATAATGGAATATGGACAATTTCTATTTAATAATAATAAACACAAAGATTTATTACATTCAAATATTTCTGAATATTTGAGTTTTCAGATTAAAATCGTGCTTTCCTTTAAAGTAGAAAAATTTTAATAATTTTTTTGCAGAATCACCTTTCGTGTACACACGCACACACACACATACACACATTTACGATGATGGTGCTGTTAATCGGATGTAATGATCAGAAATAACAAAATCACCAGTATGATGTGTGTATATCACCAGTGGTTTTCTATGACTAGTGCTATAGTAGCCTTAGTAATAGATTTCAACATCGTATGTTCTTTTGTTGCCTCGTTGAAAACCCCCGTGAAAATTTGACAAATTTAATATTTTGACAATTATTTTTCATTTCCCGTATACCTCTAAGGTTGAAATGTAAAAAAAATAAAAATATAAATAAAATAATTTCATTCATTTTATTCTATTCACTTTTTTTCTCTTACAATCACATTTGAAGAAGACAAAGATGATAATCAAATTATCGATTCATACTAATTATTCTAGCGTAATTTGAAAGGATAATTTCTTATTTTCTTAAATCGATTTATTAACGGGATATTTTCATTTCTCCAGATTATTATGTATATTAATTATTAATAAATTGAATTTATTGCTGAAATATTAATCTTATATTTATATATAATACAGGTGTTTCAAAGTATATGAAAATTAAAAATTTCGCGCTCTTTTTTTGCATCAACCAATTACAACGCTGAATATCGATGACTCATTATTTTTTCAAGGTAGGAAAAACATTCAACTTATTGTTTCACCTATTTGAGTGTGATATTCAAGAATGAAATTTCAGAATTCTAATGTTAGAAGAGGTTGTGGAAACGTGATCATTACAGAAATGCAATACTAATAATAAAAGTCCGCTTTAAAAATATTTGCAATCCAAATCCTTCCATGTTTAAATTTTATGCCATCTCCGAGTTGAAATGGTGTAATCTAATTGCACTCCAACCGGAATAATTACCAGCCCATTCTCCAAAAGTACTTTTCAACTCAACGGGTTTCGAGTCAAAGATTGGCAACAGAATCTCCCACGCAGCATTTGCAACTCGGCTCACAGGATCCAATAGGGCCCAAAAAATAATGAGGCCGACTACGAGATAGAGTGCCACTTCCAGCAACATTTTTTCACAACAGCACAATTCAATCGTTCATTGCACAAACACGCGCGCTCGAGAAAGAGAGAGAGAGAGAGAGAGAGAGAGAGAATGAGCGGTGAAAGGAGCGAATCCTTGGACACTTGTATTGGAATCGAACAATGAATAATTACGCGAATTTCATAAAAATATTGTATCAGCCTTGCTCATAAAGTTATGCACTGTGCCGAAGACGAGCACAATTAATGGAATACTAGTTTTATCACAGATTCCTCTTTTATCCGGCAGAATGGCAACCGATATTGGTAAACGCGCGCGTAAGACTAAAAGCAAGTCTGTAGCTTTACGCGAATGAGCTGCTGCTGCTGCCGCCGCACTTTCTCCGCGCTCTCTCTCTCTCTCTCTCTCTCTCTCTCTCTCTCTCTCTCTCTCTCTCTCTCTCTCTCTCTCTCTCTACGCCGAGCGCTCAGGCCGAACACACAAAGGTCTTGGCTCTCTAGGTCGCATTTTGAACAATAATTATAACGCAAGATATGGTCTCTGTTGCTTTTTTGAGTCGAATTTTCTTAAATCAATTTCTAGACAGGTTAGTGACTGAATTATTGGACCGAATAGCCGTATATAAAAAAGAGGAATTGTTTTCGTTTTTTTTTTTATATTAAAAGTCGACCTATAAAGCATTAATGTCGGTTTTTAAAGGACTGCGAGTTAGATTTGTGAACAATCTTCTCTTCATTTGTTCAGTCCTAAATAGCATTATTGTACGTTTTATTACACAATATGATTGGGAAAAACCCATTGTTATCATAATCAAAGAAGTTATTAAGTCATTTGACTTCATGCGAATGATTTTCCTGTATATCAGTTATGAAGTTTCCATCATTCTCCCGATAAATTAAAAGTAATCAAAGTATCTTTTTGAGTTTTGAAGAGATTGATATTTTCACGCTTTCCCTTTCAAGCCATATTTAAAATGAAATATCTGCAATTAGAGATTTTTTAAACGAACCGATTGTATTTTAAAGTATATTAGACATTTTCGATCTGTTTGAGATGAGAATAACAACTTACATTTTGTGACTATAAATCAGCTCAGTACCAACATGGTTATATAAAATATACAGCGTGGGCGTGGATTTCATAACTATGATACACTATATAATAAAGCGGCGAACGGTTTTCTATTTTGATTCTGTTCTTTAACGCGAAACAGTATTGTTACGCTCATCATTATTTCGTATTGAGAAAATAACTCACGTATACCCGTGGTATGCAAATTGCAAGAACACGTTCATAGTTTTGAAGTTTGTCGAATCATTTTACGAAATACGTGACATACATTTTAATATTATTTTAATAGAATGAGTAGTTGCTAGAAACGAAAAAAAGTCAATGGAGTTGAGCCACTGTTATCAGCATTGTCAGTACCCACTTATCGGCTATTTATTTGATAATCGTATAAGAGAGCGTAAATATTATAATGGTATAGAAGGTTTCCCAATTTCCAACATGATTGGGAATAAGCAGCAAGTTTGACTTGAACTTTAGGATATGAATCTCAACCAAGCTTCAACGCTAATCAGTCGGATTTTGACAATCGATTGTAACGATCGTAAAATAAAACAAGCAGTAATACGCATAATCGGTGTACACGCACTTGAAAGGTTTGCGAAATAAATGAAATTGCGCGAAGTCAAGATTGAATTTCGCGAGGCAATACATTGGTGTAATGTGACCTCGTTTGAGGTGAACTACGACCGTGTACGCTATGTTAGCAAGTGCGAGAGAGGCAGAATTCAACTGGTTTTCTATTGCGCTACGCACAGCCGATAACGCGGATTAATTTTGCTTTTTCTCTTCGATGGCTTCATATCCTTTTGCCCGCGCCGTGTTCGCACACACTTCGTGGACGAAGGTATCTGCTAGCTCGATTATATTCGTGAACGCGAGAGTGTAAATTATTGAATGTCGAGCGATACGAGAAGGAAGTTGAGTAATGATTGGATTTTATGTTGTAATTGATTTGTCGTAATGAAACAAAATGTAAACTTATATCGGCTCGGTTGGCGCGCGAAAGTGTGTCCAGATTTTGTCGAAAGTTGTATATAATTCCGCGGTACCTTGTAAATGCTCTGAAAAGGTTGCAACAATTTAACCACTTATACGCCTGTTCGAACACTGTCGCGTATTCTTAACATACGCGTATGTATTCGTTCACCTCGTGTTCGCTTGTCGACCTTGTATTCTCAGCAAAACCGAAAGAAACTGAATTTTGACCGAGGACTTGTTCTTGACCTATGAGCATAATTCGCGTCAAACGAGATCATTTGTAACTTTGGAATTGCTATGTTAATCTTGATTGTATGTGCAGGCCATGGAGACGCTACAGTTCTTATTTTCAATTATTCGCTGGTATTTTCTGTCTAAAAATTTTTAACGTTTCTTTATTTGTAACTACAATTTGTACAATGTGATTTTGTCTCATTTGTCTCAAGAAAAAAGAAAACGTGTAACGTTGTACGTTCACACGTTTGACTTTCATTATCGAAGAATGAAACTTCTTAAAAGTCTTACGAAAATAGAAATGCAGCTGGGTTACATTGCGATTGAGTAAATAATATATTATTGAATGTCCTGTGTGTCTCAATTTTACAACAGTTCGAAGACGTTTTATGATACACCGCGAAATCGGTAGATTAAACCTCATATACATACGAATTTCATAAGAAGTTTTGTGTTTTACTAACGAAATAAGCGACACGGTTTGGCGAAAAAAAAAGTTACCTAAACTGGTATCGGTCAATGATAATCCAAAGATTGACGAAATTAAGAACCGGTTATAGGCGCGACGAGTGTAATTTTCTTTTTTTCGCCAGTCAGTGTAGCCTAAAAGGTATTGCCTAACCTCATATAGTAGGCAAATCGACGTCTATTCGTACTCACTTTGTCCTTGAGCATTATTAACCAGCATAAAGCCTAGTTTTCCTCATTGTGCGCGTAGTAAAAAAGTAGCATGACAATCTTCTTCGCGCCTAGTTTTTCCTCGTCGTATTGTCTGACTGCTTGTTGAGAATCGTTGGTTTTCAGAGCGTGCAAAGAAACAGTTGTTTTTTGTTTGACCAGTTATTTTTGTTGCAAAGGTTCTTTACTAACTGAATTGCATTAGAGCAATCAACCACTGAATCTCTTTTACTGTCTCGTAATAAACCGAGTTCAAGAGATTTACTCGTCAATGTCGAAAGACTATGTTGAAATGTGGATGATTATTATTTTATTATTTTTCGTAAAGTAAATTGCCGGGAGATGTTAAAGTAAATTTTTTTTAGAATAACAAAAGATTCTACTATATAGACGTTTATTTATGTAATTTATGCTACCATGTTTCATTTAACATTCTTTTTATAGCGAATTATTTAAAAAAATGCGTTTTCTTAATCCACTGTGTAGTTCTTCCTTCCCGAGTCGATTTTCGCGCTTCTCAGTAATCTCTCGATTCGGTTGAACATCTTCCGTAACAGTACTTTTTTGTGTAGTTTCGAAGAACGAAGTTACATGTTAAAACAAAAAATCGGTCGAAGCAGCAAACGTCATTCCTGCCCGAACTCGTTGTGTTAGTTATCTATATATTTGTTCACTGTTATTTTTAAAATTCCTCTCGCTACTCCAACTGATACTGAAACCTGAAACTTTTTAGGCAATAAACACAAAACTAATATATGACAAATGTCGATGGTACGCATGTCATTGACTTGTGTCCAAATGGCGTGCGAAGTCAATTTGAGATACACGGAAGTAATTAATAGTACGTCGCGCGACAGGTGCGGAAGGTGTAGGTGATATCCTCACGCGTGGAGCTTGCCGCCCGAGCGAAGGGTTGCAACATGGTCATCTACTACACGCACACGTTGCGTATATTTCGATCCTAGTGCGAGAAAGTAATTCCAGTCTCGCGTAGACGTTTGCGCCCAAGCGAAGCGTGGGTGAAGATGCCACATGATGGTGAAATCACTTTCTCGCTGATCTATCTAACTTTATTTTTTGATACGACGTGTGTTAATTTTTAAGAGGCGTGATTTCTCGATCGTGCGTAAAGTCGAGTCTATTTTTTCAACGCACTTTTCCATCGTTGCTTCATCGGGCGTCGAACTCACACCAGATAAGAGTCTACTTTTCCGCACTAGTTAAGTAATGTACTATTCTACATGAGCTGGGGAAAGTTCGATCTCTGCCAAGAAAAGGTGTTTGAAACAATAATTTAATAATGATATACGTTAATCTTGTAAAGTAAATCAATAATATAAAACTATAATGGAACTTTGGCATTTTTTAATATTTTTCTCTACGGCGTGAAAAATAATTATTTTAGCGAAAAAAGCTTCAGATAAAAGTTGTTCATCATTCTAAATACATTGATTTACTTGTAAATTAAGGTAAAGCGCGGCGTTTCCAAAATTGTATCATGTTTTATTTGATTTACAAGTAAAACAAAGGATTTAGACTGGTGTGCCTGCACTGACTTTCTTTTAAGATAATTGATTAAGGATCAACTTTTATCCAAAACATTGCCCGCTAAAATGATTATTTTCCAAACCGCAGAGCTAAATAGGGCGACGATTGCTAAAATTCAACTGTAGTTGTATGTCGCTGACTTGATTTGCAAAGCGAACGCATACGATTGTTAATTTATTGCTGTAAACTTTCTTTGGCAGCGATCGGACTTTCCACAGCTTGTGTGGAATAATAGTGTTCGCAACCCGTTCGTAAAGTATAAGCGATCACGCACGCCTGGGAATTGCCGCCCGAGCGAGTCGATGTTCACGTGTGCAGGAATCCGCCTACGTCTCGCACGTGTTTCGTAATGCATTGTAATGGCATTCAATATTATGGATCAACTGAAAATCCATTTTCATCTCATCAGAGTCATTAAGGAAAAGTAAAAATTCTTCAGAACAGTCACATCTATTGAAGTTAATGTTGACTTAACCTTTTGGTTATCAATACACCTGCATGTCTTTAATCATTAAAGAATCTATATTTCTTCATTAGTTTTGAACCATCAACATTAGATCCATTCGGATGAATCGTTCGCTGCAATTTGAAACTATTAACGAGTATAGATACTGCTGTTGCTTTTACCACGCCGAAGTGAAGAGAGATAAAAGATGATGTAAAATATCTAAAGTCCCGCGTCGAAGAGTTTCTTATTCGTAACATTTCTAAAATGCAACGGAATTGTAAAATAAAGTATTTGTTGTCAGTAGTCCTAAAATCAATTTTCAGTCGACTATCGAAGCGACATAGGTCCGGGGAATAAGGCTAGCGGACAGCGCGAATCAGCGTGTATCAATCCGTACGCTAAGTTACTGTGCACAATAATTTGCGTGTACGATAAAACCGTGCACAATTGTCCGCACGCCCGAAATAGCCGTCGAATTAATATGCGTACGATGCGGCAGGCCTTGTGCTGCCGATAGCGCGCGGATCACCGAATCGCGCCTTTCACTGAGCATGGGTTTGATGTACCAAGCGAGAAATGCCATCGAGCGTAAGCGGGGCCCTGGCCGCTTGCTCTCGCGAAGAGTAACGCGCGCGTAGCAAGAGAGCCAGATTGGCCGGGGACGGTGAAAGAGTGGGACATAGCGCCTTTTCCTTGCTCTGAAAGTCCCCCGGAAAGAGGCGACGCGCCTTGATCTTGAACCTTCGATTTACTCGAGGAAGAGAGAAAAAAGCACGCACATTTTCGCCAGTCTCTTCGTCAGCTTCGGCCGGTACGCCAAGCTCTCGTAATTATCTCCGCTAATAAGTATCTTATCTTCGTAAGGTGCTAGTTCTTCTGTTTTCCTTGCGGCAGATTAGAGTTCAAGGTGAGTCCAGCAATATTTCTAGTCTAATTATTGAGATTTGTGCATTGAATGGTGTTTACGCGGTACGAGACGATGGATCAACCGTATTCTTAACTTTTTACAAGTTTTTTTTTATATGAAAGCTGATTATTATCATTGACTTTTTGCTGAGTGTTGTCGTAAATAAGTAAGCGAGGTAACTTAAATTCCGTACAACTCCAAAGAAATAAACTGTACGTTCATCTGTAATCGTCTCGTGTATAAATTGTAGCGTATGAGATGTACCCGTATAATGATAACTAGGTGACTAAAAAGCTTGACCTAGTTGGCGAGTTAAATGGGGCGCCGCGTTCTTGTTCTTCAAATTTTTTAAGAAGCTAGATAGAAAAGAAAATAACATAAATAAATGTATCGGGGTTACTCAGACAAGACTCAAGACACCTCCTGTTTTCATTTGAAAAGCGATTGTTTTCTCTTCGAAAGATAAGCACGTCGTTGAACTTTATTGCAACATTTATAAATGACCATTTTGTATGCGTTACGCGTACGCCAACTATATAGGTAACGCGAGTGCACCTACAGCACCTGACAAAGACGGTTTGGGTGTACTAGACGCATGCGTCATGTACAAACGACTTACAGGAATGCTGCGTCGGTTTTTGTTCTAGTGCCCGATGAGTGCCAGTCGCGTATATGGAATACAGAAATTGACCTCATTTCAAATTTGACTTCATTGCTTTAAGATTTTCTGTAGCTCGTGATTTTTGACGTTGAATATTGATTAATTATTAATTATATTAACATTTTGTATTGCAAAAACTATCGTATACATTATTCTAAGGTAATGCAGAGGTTTCCGAGTATATGGTTCAATTAAATCGTATTCAAAGTCGTGACAAAAAAGCTCAAAACTTTATCTTTTACCAAACAGTCATTATATATATTTTCCGAATTAGATGTCCACTTGTATGTAAAAGTTCAACGACACAACTTATGCACATTTTAAATTTTAAGTTTATTTCGCAAATCACGTACTAATTCAACCAAGAAATTTAACTGAACATCACGTCAATTTAACCGATGATTTTCATTTAGTTGCTGACCTACTTGTTCGAGTCAAGTTCGATGTCTTTTCAAAATGATGACGAACGAATGTGTCTTTGTTGCCGTCTGTCTGAAGAGCACTTTGTCGCAAGTCATTATTCATAATTAACGGTTCCTGATCGAGTGAAGCGAAATTATTCTTGAATAACGGCACCTACTTAATAAATAAATAAATTACCTTTCGGAATGGAAACGATTTTGTTTCGCTTTTATTGCAGTTTCAATATTGAGCATTGAATCACGTGATTATGTATTCAAAAACATTTCATTGAATTACCTTATTAAGGAACTTTATCAGTTACAAATACAGTGGTACGTGGAATTTTAAAGGTAATGAAGATATATTTTCAATTGCAATTTTGTTATCATTTTCAGATCATCGTCTAAAGAAGTAGCTCCAATGACTCAACAAGTTCGGGTATTAAAATGAAAGGATGGTTAATCGCGCTGTTTGCGATCCAAATTTCTTTCAAATGTTTGACCATCAATGCTCAGAATATTTGGGACGACATTGGAAATGGCGATGATAACGATAAAATTGAAAGTCCAGATAATTCATGGTCAGAAAGGAATTCGTTGGCACGAACAACGTTGTTCGATCGCCAAGAAAGGCTTCAGCAGAGATGTGAACAGATGACAAGAAATGAACCAACGATGACTATCGATGATCCAAAAATATTTCATAATATTCTAGTCGACGATAAACATAAGTTACTTTATTGTTATGTGCCTAAGGTAAATAGAAAAATAACGAAGTAGTTTTAATGGAACTGCAATTTCTTTAGCGAGGTTTTATTATTGGCTGACTAAATTCACTTATACTATTTAATTTTAATCTGAAATTGTTGAATATTGCAGGTGGCCTGCACAAACTGGAAGCGCGTGCTAATGATGGCGGCGGGCAAGTGGAAAGGTAACTCGCCGTTGGAAATACCAGCTAACTTAGTACATGCCTCGGGCAGCTTCGTTCGTTTGAGCAACTCAAGCCTGGCTGAGATCGAGGACAAGCTCGCTAGTTACGATAAATTGATCGTCGTACGCCATCCATTCGAGAGGCTACTTTCGGCCTACAGAAATAAATTCGAAGCCAGATACCAGAGCTCCGCTTACTTTCAGTCGAGATTCGGCAGAAAAATAATCAAGGTATAAAGCTTGTTTTCTTCTCCGGCAGAATTGTTTACCCATTCCGATGTTGTTGTTCAGAGATACAGATTGAACGCGACGGCGGAGTCGTTGGCGAAGGGGGACGACGTGATTTTTGCAGAGTTTGTCGATTTCATTGTGAATGACAAGGGCTCGAGAAACGAACACTGGGAATCTATTAGTGAACTGTGTCATCCTTGTTTGGTCAATTACAATCTTGTCAGCAAGTACGAAACTCTCGTCGAAGATGCCACGGAGATTTTAGATAGAATCGATGCCAGCTCCATTACGTAAGCCTGATGAACTTTGATGAAGCTATATTACTTGCGTTGATTGACACTTTAATGATTTTTTTCGGCACAGGTTTCCAGTACGACCACAAAATAGTCAACCGACTGGCAAGATGCTCGACAAGTACTACTCAAAATTGACTTGGGCTCAGTTACGCGACTTGGCTAAACTCTATCGCGATGACTTTTACTTGTTCGAATATTCGCTCGAACAGGTTCTTGGTTTCTCCGTAGCTTAATGTTATTGAAGTCGAGATTGCAAGACAAAATGTAAATAAATGTATATATAGGTGATTGTCGCGACGGTTGAATGGAGGTATTCACGAACGTTCACCTTGCGTCAGAATTGAAAACAAAGATTGGCGCAATTGGCTAAAGTGCTGTTATAGCGCGTTTTACCTTTCGTAGCATCTTGACGTGATTATTTATTTTTTTATTATTTTTGTTGCTTTATTTATTTATTTATTGAGAGTGAAAATAGATGAAGGAAATACTAGTGTACGTTAAAAAAAGTGCCAATACAATAGATGTAACACTTAAAATCACATATCAGTGGGAGTACTATATTCATTTATTACAATAGATCAATAGTCAATTTTGTGTAAGATCTGTAAGTCGTAGCAAAAGGTGAGTTGGAGCAAATGCTTGAATGTCTTTTATTATTGTTATTATTTATTCATTTAATTATTTATTGACAGAAAGTCAAGTTACCTCAATCTAAACTCCGTCATAGATGTGCCGCATTGTGGGCAAAAGCCCTCAATTCGCAATAGCTTCGTGAAAGAAAGCCAGATAGGCGCTATTTTGCGTGCCGCTGCACGCGTTCGTCATAACATTAAGCGCGATGCATTATCGTGCGCTCACCATATGCGCGCAACCACGTCGACAGGAATCGCCGCGCAGGCGCCCGGCAGCTTGCTTTTTCATTTCATTTTTAGGGTTTTTCCCCCACTCACATTCATCTGATCCCACGACTTTTCTTCTACTCGGCGCGCTTTGTCGTGTCGTTTGATCAGCGATTACGTCTGTTCTTATCAGTAAGTCAAATATTTTCCGACTATCAATTATGAAAAGGTGAACGATAATGCGTCTTCTGGAGTACATCACGTTTTGGCACGAAGAAAAAAACGAATATAATTGTGCATATATTTACATTAAAATAAGTAATTTCTTTTTTACCTCCTGACGAGAAAACGTCATATCAATAGACAGTTTGATGCGTCTTATTTCTTATACATTTTTTGTTATCAGAAGTTTGATAATAGAAACGTTCAAATAAACATCTGAGATATTTGTTTTTAATAAACAAAATTTTTGGACGATCTTTAGCAAAGTAATTGTATATTCCTTAAAAAATAACACCAACAATTACTTATCGATACAATTAAGTTCGTGCCGTTGCTCAGCACTCGTTAATTATGAACATGCCACTTGACTGTGTAAACTTCCCGGCTAACTAAGCGCAACATTCTCAACGAGGGATCGGTGCAGCAAGATCTTATCGCAGAGGCATAACCATGGTTTGCCCTAGTAAAAACACGGTATTTCGCAAGATACACCTGCAGCGCAAACGGCAAGTCGTCAATGTGCGCGTGTGCCGTGTGCGTGTCTAACCCGCCAGTTGCGATATTTTCGTCCACATTCCGATTTCGTTGCCGCGAAAATTAAAAATTGCGAGCGTATAATGCCAAGGTGACGTCAGTTTCGAAATCAAGGTCCATTACACATCGAAAGTCATTGTTACACCGATGAAAGCACACCGTTTGGTCAAGCGTCTTTTTTTTTTATAATTATGAATTGCTTTTACTGTAGAGCTCGTTGTTTCAAGTTGATAGCCGCTAGTGAAATAATCGCGAACGATTGCGCTTGAATAAGGCAGGTATGTTTTCAACATTATTTTTGTAAAGAATTCTCGCACTTATTGTCGAGCGAGAACGACGAAAACGAGTGGTATAAAGCTTACATGACCTCGTCGTTCGAAATTGATAATCGCTAATGAAACAGTCGAATGCAATTCGCGACGTTCGGACAAGCTATCAATGTAATAATTCGCGTGAATTCCTTCGATCGAATGCGAATGAAAAATCTTACTTGCAGAAGCATATAAACGGTAATCTAAAAATACGAGGACAGCGAGTTTTTAAAAGTTATGTGATTCACACGTGAATGTGAAACAACTGCCATGCTATTCGTGGAATCGAGTTGTAAACATTATTAGTCAGTGTTCACAAATCCGAAAGTTTCGGATGCACAGGATCGTGCGCGCGCACTAGTCAAGGCTCTGGCATCGGCACACTGGCGAATACGTCGACGAACGCACTATGCGCGGCAAAATACGGACACGCAATTCATCACACTCGATAGCGACAAAACAGAAAACAAAATTGTAAATCACGCAGACTTAATTGATTCTCTTCGTACGGAGATAGTCGCGGCTGGGGATCAATCAATATTGATCGCAATCGTCGTAATGCATAAAGTCCGCGCGAAGAGTGGCGCCGCGGCCAATCGGGCTCCGTAAACGTCACGCTGCGGAGTACAAAATTAAAACTGAAAAGCCCCTCTCGCGGCGCGAGGGACGCGCGGAAGGGAGGCTCTTCGAAAGAAAACGCGTGTTTGCGCGCCTCGTCGGAAACTTGCCGCGGGCTCGCTGTCGATTCAACTTTATTTATTGTTTCGAGCACGCTGCGCGCGTAATCTGCCCCGACTATCGCGGCTAAAATTAAAATGGCGAAATCAGGATAAACAAACAGATCTGTCAGCAATGCACGCGCACGCAGCTTTCACTTCGATTGCCGACTGCGGGGCGCACGCGATCGCGCTATCACTGTATCAAGCCGTGCTCGTGCTTGGCTTTACTTATTTGCTGGGAACACAGCAAGCGACAATAAATGCTGAATTATTTGGCCGCGATATCTTTCTCTCGGTCGGCTGAATTTCGCAAATAGTCTGAGTTACCGATGAGTTAAGCAAACTCGTACGTTTAGAATGCACGCACTGAGTTCGAATACTGCTTGAAAAATATTTGAAAAGAAAAGAAGATTTGTGCTGTCAGCCAACATCAGTAGGCTAATCGGAATCATCGAGAGAGGAGAGAACCAAACGAAGCAAATTCTATCTAGATTGGATCTTATGAAAGGAGTATAAAACGACGATTTTTTTACTTGTACCTATAAAATTTATATGTTATAAACATCGTTTAAAAAATATTAATTAAAAATATAAATATAATTCGTCGCAGAAGCTGTTATATATTTTTTACTATCTTTCAGTCTAGCTCTAATTGGACTATTTTTTATTTTGTTCGAATTGCTTGTTAATTGTTTTGTTAGAGTGCCGATAGGCAACGAAATAATGACCTTTTAAATGGCTTTAGTATCTACCAACTGATTTTTATATTCTACAACGCCTTTATTGGGACCGTTGGATTTACGATTGTAGTCCGTTCAACAGTTGATTATGAACCATTTTACACCGCATTCTTTCATTTATTCATTCTAAGATGCGCCCATTCTCCCACACCAATAACTCATACATTCAATAGTAAGCACGTCATTTAATCACTTATCTTTCAAAATACTCTATAACGATCTCAACAATTACCATATAAAACGTTTAGTTAATAGTTAAGGGAATATGTATAATAATTTTAAAAATATGAATTCTTTTGACTCTTGTTTTGTTATTTGAGTTATTATATTTTGAACTTAATTAATTCTAATAATAACACATGTCTTGATACCTATTTGGCTCTACTCTTTTACTGCGTTTATTACAGATGTTCATCAAAATATTTGCTGGTACATTTACTTCATTACTGCCAAAAGTCATAAAACTGTTCATCAGTGTTCAATGATAATTTATTTACATTTAACCAGTTAACTATATATTCTAAAGGTTCATTTACTTTATATATTGAAATATCTCAACTTTCATCCCCTGATATCACGATGTCATCTACGTATCTTGGCATAGAATCTTTTAATATAGTTTCAAGCAAGTCATTGACATATAATATAAACAAGCGCGATTTAAATATTCTATATTCGTTGTCGCTCATTTTTACATTTTTTATTTTTAAAGGTTATATATTTTTCAAAATTGATTTATAATCAAAGTAATATCGTTCAGAAAACATTTGATTTTACCAAAAAATTGCAAAGTATTTGGTTTGAGAGAACATTTTTGATAAGAAATAAATTATTAGACCATAAGTGAAAATCAAGTATTAAAGTGAATTAACCACTAAGATCAGATCAAATATTCGGACTGGAATCGCTATGCTATCTCTGTGATGACCTTAAAAATCAATTTTCAAGATCAATACGCTATAGTAATATTTTAGAATCGCATGAATATTGGTTGAAATATATAAAAAAATAATGAAATTATGAATAAGGATATATATTAGTCTAGACTTAGTTATTAATAGTATAGAGAGAAGAAAAATAAATCACTGATATTGTTGCTAAATATTAGCCGTGTTTACGTAAGCAGTAGAATATATATTCGAACCGTTCCTTTTCCGGTGAGTTAGTCTAAAGTGCGAGCCAATCGATCGTGGCCTCGAAAACATGCGGAAACACAGGCGACGAAGGTTAATTGAGGGGATTTTTTTTTCCACGGCATAATTGATAATTACGAGGTAGAGTTGAAAGCTGCACGATGCTGGTCGCTGAACCGCGATGAACACTTGCGCAGCGCTTGCATCCGATAATGGAAATGAATCTGCTTTGTTTGCCTGGCATTGTCTACGTTCTCTACTACGCGTTGCGTCGCTCGCTGCTTTAGTGCGGGCGGAATGTCATTTATATACGCGAAATCGTTAGAAACCAGACAAGTCGGCTAATTACGACGTGGACAGGGAAAAAGAGCGTGTAAACGAAAAAAGCGACATTTTCCAAATGATGTTTACGCGTCGAACCCTCCTCTTCCTCTTTTTCACACACACACACACACACTCTCTCTCTCTCTCGCTGTCTCTCTTTCCAAAATCGCACCTCGATACAACCGGCAGTAATGCGCCGCGAGCCAATCGAGAATAAGTCGGCGAAGGGCATAAGTGCCACGAGAGCGTGACAACAAGTGCGTGAAAAAAAAAATAATTTCGCTTCGCGCGAGATACACAGCGGTTTACAAGGCTCCAGGAAGTCGAGCTGGCGGGTCTGACGCCGCGACGTCGGCTCTTGACGAGCTTGCGCCGAGCTCGGCAGCGTTCAGTCACCGACGAGACGCAGCAACGCGCAATCACACGATCCTCTTCCTTTCGCTCGTCTAATCAGCGCTCGTCTCTCAATCCTCATCAGACCAACGACGATTCTAACGCCAGTTAGTCAAAACATCGTATTTCCTTCAAGCTTCAGTCCTTTTTTTTCTTTTCTTATTACTTTTTTCAGTTTTTAGATTATCTTAGTTCTATCTAGCTGATGATTATCAGCACATTTTTTCAGTTATTAAACGTGCGATGTTATTGCTGTAATGTAAAGTGTTTTTAACATTTGTGATATCTATAAAGGTATGACGAATACAACGACGCCGAAGCGAAAGAGTTCGCTGAAGATTCCTATACAAAATGACGAGACGAGGAATCTCCTGACGACCTATTGCATCTTATTGCTACTGCTAATCTCACTTTATCTACTGTATTCTGGCATATTTTAAAGCACATATTAGAGATTAGTATTATGGTAAGTTTTGCGTTTTTCATATAGAGTTGAAGAAATTCATTTCTTATCTAAATAAAATAACGATTTGAAAGGTTTGAGTTTTGAAAATTATAATTTAAAAAAAAACATGCAAAGCTCAATGAAAATTTTATTCAACTTATACATTTCCAAATACGCAAAGTATTTTGTATATTTCATTTCGATTGGTTAGTTTTAGTATTAAATCGTTCAAAATTATATCAGCCATAACTAGTTTTTCTATGATTTGAAAAAAATCAACATTAGAAAATATAGTAAATAGCGTATAATACCAAGGATTTTATCGATTTTGCACATCATGCAATTTGATTTAAAAAAATGAAGAATGAGCAACATTTATTTAAATTCTCATAGAATTTATTTCATATGACATGTGTGTATACTTTCCGAATATTTAATTTAAAGTTTAAAAAGTATTTAGGAAAGATTCTGAAGTGTTTGAAAACCAATGCGCACCGAATTGTAAATAAAGGTGTTCTAGATTCTCGTGTAAATCTTATTTTGATAAACTGAAAGTACTTTTAACCGACTTGATGTTACCAAAACAGTCTTGAACATAAATATCCAAAAGTCTCTTTTAAATGAATGAGCTTTCCTATCTTGTAAACTTAAATTTATGCATTACAATGTGTTTTTTTTTCTTTTAAATTGAAACGAGACTTTTCCATCGACGCGTTTCGCTACTTCAATGGGATATTACACAGCTATTCTTATAAAATTGTCTTCCTATTTAAGTGTACGCCGATAAATCAATAGCAATATAATTGCAGGGTTGACGCGCGAGGAAGCGGACTATGCATGCGTGCGAGTATGAAACTACACATTGAAAAAATAGAAAAAGCAGAGCTCTACAATAATCTCGTTAATGGATTAAAATTCAACATACAAGAGTGAAGAAGAAGAAAAAGCTGAGTCGAGCCGAGTAAATCGAGGAAGAAGCGCGAGTGGCTAAATTTAAAGCGATCGTTTATGAGTTTAAGACGCCAGATAAATATTACGAAGCGTTAAACTCCTGTCCTCTGGATTCCAATCGAGAACGATCTGGATTGAACTATATTCGCATGCGCCGCCTCGAAAATCTCTTCGCTGGCATTCCACTCGACCTTGTCACCATTCCGATTGGATTTCTTTTTCTTTTCTCTATCCCCGACGCGACGACGTTGCTCAATGCACTTTGTGCCCATTCGACGCTAATCGAAGTCAATTGACGGAGAGCCCACAACTTATTATTAAAATCGACAATCTTTTTTGGATACTTTCGAATTTTGAAATACAAACAAGCTTTGATGAACATTTATCTTTCGACCAGCAAGTCCAACGGAAAAGAGAAAGAAAAATAGTTTCTCTCCGAGTAGACAGTAAAATAACAGTTCGGAAGACGTTTCTCCCGCCTGCATCTCCGCGCGCGTGCGTCAAAAAGTACATTTTATTTTCCACGTGGGGCAGAGAGGGGAAGGGGGTACGAAAGCTCGCTGCCGGGTAGCGAAGAATTCCAAAGTAAAGGAAAAACATTGAGGCGCACGCATGCATCGCTGCCGCGCAAAAGCCGCCAGGCGTGGGCGCGATCGCTCGAAAATAGCCGATACTTTCAGATAGCCGAGCGCCACCCAAGAGAATCCGATCTATATTTTCTGAGCTTCCTCCAGAAATAGACGGGCTTGGCCAGTGAACGCTTTCATGCGAGGAACGAGAAAAAAAGAAAGCCGATATCACCTGGCTACATGTAGGTAGGCGACGGATAGCACACGCGAAAAATACTCTTTGTTATACGTTCGTTTGGATCTTCTTGTTTAATGTAAGGTACGTATTATTGTAAGTTTGATCGTTGTTATGACATTTTTTTTAATTTATAACGTGTGATCGCGCCACAACACGCGCTTCCCGTTGTGTGACTATTTACTTTAGAGCTTATCGAATTTCATGTTCAACAGAATACGGATGGAACTGTGTAACGCTTTTCTCGCTGAGGCTTAAACAGTTTTCCTACACGCATATTTTGTCGACAAATAACATGTATATTTTTATACAATAAGCCATCAATAGCTGCATAAATAAAGCAACAGATTACATGAATATATTTAGTCTACAGAGTTCGAGATTTTTGTATAATCGCAAGTTTTTATACTCACACGTAGGCACATACTAATTTGCTACAAGTGTACGTATGGTACTTCGTGAGTGCACATCCAGAAGCTCATTGAACGTTGTTACGAAGCGAAAAATACGCTGATACGATGGCTATTGAGAGCACTATTTTTAGAGTGTATTGCAGAGGTGTTTGACGTATTAAAAATCCTTGCTCTTTCCTATCGAGTGTGCTTATTTTTAATACATCCCATAGATATCTAATTATCAATTCAGTATGTTGGTCAAGTGTAAATTCAAAAATTACAAATGTAAAATTGCAGAAAAAACATTTTTATACGTGATAAACATTTTATTACACGGCCGTTAATTGGTCAAATCCAAAATCTCACTCTGTAATGCTATATTACACACAATGCATGACTAGTTTAACCTTATTATATTGTTGAATATAACAGATCATATATATGATATAATTATCGTTTGTGCCTCGTCAAGTTATGTATTACATTTTCTAAACTAAAGATTGTATACTAGTTTTATGATATATTACAGAATAAATGAACGAAAATACTATTTGGAACAAACTGGTCTATTATCAAGTGTGCAGTCCAATGTTTAACATTTTGGATATTTACTCGACTGTAATAGCATAGCATGCTATTCTGGATAAGCGATATTCATTTGTTTCTTAAAATCGAAAATTTATTGATAATATTATATATCATTCATATTTATTATGCCATATGATAATAACATGAGCATTCAGTGTTACAATTAAATTACAATACTGGGCCGCTGGATAAAAACAAGCTATTGCGGCAATACTAATTCAACGCTATACAAACCATTTAATTAGATTCATTCAGCTCTAACTACTTGTGAAATTGTTCATTCGCTGACCGTAGCTTTGCATTTATTTATTTCGTTGAATGTAATAGACTATTTATTTATTTATAAAAAAAAACAAGAAACAAAAAAATTTCAGCACTACAATATTAAATGACTCTTAAATAAGTACCTAAATATCTTGTAAATTTTTTTTCATTAAATTAAACTTTCAAAGTGTGAATTCATAAATGAATAGTGGATTCAATGTTATAAAACCAAGTAAGGCGTAAGTTTTTACGAGCACAAGCTTAATTTTCTGAAGAGTGTCCACAAGCCCCCTTGTACTCTCAAAAAATTAGAGTGCCTCCTATGCCAGTAGCACCTTTATACTTAATCGTTAACGACAGTGCATTTTCGTACAGATCTTCAGTCTCTCGCCAAGAGTTAAAAATTCTGTTATTTTTAGAGCGACTTGCCGGATTAAACGTATCCGGATAAAAAAATTTAGGATTCGTCTGATACTATCCATGGTGTTGAATCTGTGCTACCGGTATCATAATTGTATCTCTAGATTTTTGACAGTACGTCATTCCATCGTTACCTATTAACATTTATTTCTTCAACGTAGCATTTTGATTTGAACGCTGTCAACGGCGTGAAGCGCATAGACTCGTGTAACACCTGATTGAGTTAAGTAATGTTTTTCAAAGACTCTTAAATTATATATCAGTTGGTATCTTTTAGCACAGATATAATGTGATCTCGTGATTTTGTTTGCATTTTGGAATTCCGGGACAAAATATAAAAAAAATTGACAGCTGCTAACGGTAGATAAGACTGTATAGATATGTTACAAATTCTTCGAAGTTTATTTCAATTTTGCACGTCTAAGCAACATAACTTTATGTATAAGTTTAAATCGCTTAAATAAATAAACATTTTGCATGTCTCTTTTAATAAATGTCTTTCATATTTTGTTATATATTGAAGTAAGTAATTGTATTTAGGAAAAGAGAATAGGTAATAGAACATTGGTCCCATTATAAATTTATAATAATTTAATAATCACATAAAAAGTATGAGATTATTAAGTGGGCTTCGTTACGATGAAATCTCTTTATAGTTACATATAACTAGAAAATTACTTACACTTTATAAGTAATTGACAATCAGTTTAATTTAATGTGACTCTATAGAAGCATAGCGGATTAAAAATCTTGTCATGCATACTAGATCTTTAATGACTTTTTTCCCTAGCTATAAATTACAATAATGGCTCTTTATAATATTTTATAGACCATATTATGATTTAAAATATAATTGCAATAAAATCACATTTTAAATCACTTATCAATAGTGATGTAAACCTGATAAGTTTGTACATAAACTTTATAAATTTTCCATGTTATCGCGATTTAAAATTGTTTAAAAATATGTATTTAAAGGTCATTATTGTTTTTTTTGTCTTATAATTATTTTCATTCAATTATTTTACATTGGTTTGTGTTACTAAGAAATTGAAAATGTATAAATGTAATCCATGACGTATATAAATGTACATTTTAGATACAAATTTCTATTAAAAAATGCTAAGGTTGTATGCATCTAGAAAAAAATAGTTATTGAATTAGACATTTCTTTATAAACATTTATCAATTATTCTTTATTTTTTTCATTAGAAAAAATAGTGTACATGGAAATTACTATAAAAATGAAAAAAAAAAAAAAAAATACAAATACTTATAAAATAGATGAACTCATAATGGGATTATTTAACGCAAATAATCATAATTTTTTACCGGGAATACATTTTTGAACATACACCAACTCATGTTCAAGGTTCTTTCGTTCGCGTTCAAAGATTTCTCGTAGGATCAATTTAATCGTATTTTATCTGTATAGCATTTGATAAAATTGAATCGCTGGCGTATATTTTTTTAAATTTTTTTTATATTTTTTTTTACAGAGCTTGAATAATAAATAAATTGAATTAAATGGGTATGTACAGCTTCTCTTTGATAAAAATAGCAGAAAGGCTGAAAACAAAATTCAAGCAAAAAAATTAACTATCTTGAACGTGTAATAGCGCCTGTGAAGCAATTATCAGTTGATTAGCAGTACTAACATAATGCCTTAGCACGCTACGGTTATAGAGCGCGTCAAATTTAAATTTGAATGAAGCCCCTTATTAGTATCATTGCAATTTGGATACGCTTACATTAATATATACGTAATTTGCATAGAATGAAGGCTAATTCGTGTGACATTTCAATACTGCTTATTATATCAGCCTTGACTATCGATTGATGGTAGTTACAGGCCAAAGCGAATTCGTAAAAATTAGAACTAAATGTATTGGCTTAAATCTATGGAAGTTAATCAAATAAAACAAATTACAAATACTACATAATTCCGGCTCGTATTTTATAACTTGGATTCTTGCGAGCTTAGGCTTAATTTTTTGAAACGTCCCCACAATCCTCCCTTGAAACCGAAAAATATCGGACTGGCTTCATACTCCAGCGGAACCTTAGTTTTTGAAGAATGTTCGATAACAAATCTTATAATCAATGAAGCAGTAATTTGTTTAACTAACATTAGTGCAAGACGTATACCGACACAGATCCTTGGTCCTTCACCAAAAGCCAAAAAGGTATATCTATTATTCTTAGCTCGATTTTCTGGGCTGAATCTATCTGGATCAAAAATTTCTGGATTGGGCCAATATTTTTCATCGTGTTGGATACCCACTACAGGTATTAAAATAGGATCTCCCGGCTTCAGATGACAAGTCAAACCATCATTACCTTTTAACGTAATTTCTTCAGTGCAACGTTTTGGTTGAAAAGCTAATGAGGGAGTCATACGCATAGACTCATGTATGACCTGCTCAAGATAAGTCATGTTCTTTAAAGACTCATAAGTTACTTGTCCGTTTGCATCCTTCAAAACAGACATAATGTGGTCTCGTAATTTTGTCTGGATATCTGGATTTCGAGATAAATTATAAAAAAGATTGGCTACTGCCGAGCTCGTAGTATCATAAGTGTCAACATAAAAATTAACTACATCGGCAAGTATATCGTCAAAATTTGCATTTAACTCCGTAGTAAACTGCAGATAATCGTTTGGTGCACTGCCAGTCCGTTGTCTCTTTTCAAGAATGCTTTTGATATTTTGTCGCATATATTCTTCGGTTTTTGTCTGCAACAAGGATACACCAAAGAAATGTGCTATACTAGGGAAAAAGAATAAAAGTATTTCTTTCACAAATGATGATTCAAACAAAGTTTTAGTCACTTTAGTAAAGGACAGATCTTCTGGATTGTCTTCAAAACTTTGACCTTCAATCGCAAATGCAGCGTTAGCTACCAGTTCACCAGTACATCTTGTAAACAAGTTCTTCAGATTAACCTCATACGATTCGCCGTTTTCCTGGATCTTTCTTTCCATAAACGTACTCATTCTATTACAAACCTCTTCGGATACGGCAAATAGGTACTTGAGTTGCTTGGCCGACAAATGGTTGGATATACGATTTCTTCCTTCTTTCCAGGTATTAACATCATTAGTAAAAAATGGACTTCTTGCCATAAGTGGATCATTTTTTTCACTTAATGCCACGAAATTATCGCGAAAACTCGAATAATTAGTTTGTAGCACGCACTTAACAAGATCTGGATCGCGTACAATTATTCCCGGTTTATGCATAAAATAAAAGCCGACAAAACTTGCTTTGAAGTTATTGTAAGCTCTCTGGACAAAATCTGATACATTTTCTTTCATAATTATTGCTGGTAGCATGTGTCCAAAAATTGGAAGTGGATCTGGCACCGATGGTATATTTTGTTTTGTCCAATGACTGTGAATACTTTTAAAATACCAATACGTTATTGCGCCTATAAGGAATAGGTATATTAAATACGTCAAATCCATTTTGCTGTTACTCAAAGACTGGCGCTATTTTCTTTTTCAGGCGCATTCAAAAAAGTTAAATCATACCGATCTGAGTCGTGTAAAGGTCGCGATAAGAAACGTGTCGATAACAATAAGCTCATCATAGCCTTCAAATGTTATTCTTGTTTACAACACGCTTAAACTTCCTTAAATGATCTGATCCCATTTTAAGTAGATATATTGAGATAAGAACTTTTATTAAACTCATAGTAAGAATTAGCTTATTTAGCTTTGATGCTAATAAGTCAGGTGTACGTAAATTTTTCATTGCCAAATGAATAATCACATGCGCTATATTTCAGTAGTTTCTAAAGATTATAAAATTGGTTAACATACGGCTGTATATAAATTACTATTCTTATAAAATCTGAAAACTTTTGTGATCGAACTTTTAAATGTAAAATTATAACAATATTTTCTTGTAAAACACTCTATCAGTGTCCAGCTTAAACTTTGATGCAATACTGAAATTAAAATTATGCTGAAGATATGATTTACTTCGAACCAAAAGCAAATGCTCTCACAATTAGGAGAAATTCTTGTAATCTAAAAGTAGAAAAAAATATAACACTTATAGCTCAATGTAACATTTACAATTGTATTGTTTTGTCAATAAATTTAACATTTTTATCAAAATTTATACAAGTTTATTTTTATTAGGAAGTGGCTGAGTTTATTCATCATCATTCATTATAATCAATGAATTTTCAGCATTTATCAATTGCGTTATTGCTTGATTTATACAAATATTGAAATCGCTACATGTACTATAATTGTTTGTTATATTATTTGTATTGCACTAAGCCAATAATAATCTTAATAATCTTCTTGCACTCATAAAAGGGAAATTCCAATTTGTTCATTGACATTTTTATATATCGATATATCGATTCAAGGATTTGTAATAACAAAATTGGTACCGATGTTGATAAATGGTAGTCAGCTTACATATCATGATCGATGAACAATTATTTTCTCAATAATCTTTATTGAAAATCGCGCCCCTAAGAATGTTCGCGTGTGGTCAATTTAATCCTATCGCTCAAGTTCGATTGTCTGACTCATACCTAGAAGTCTTTTTTCAGAACAGCGACAACATTTTCTCATTTTAGTATGCTATAGATATTGGTATAGCGCCCTTATATTTTTGCTGTATCTCCGGATACAGTGATAAGTGCTAGACAAGGTTGCTCATGACTGAGCTGAAGTTTCATAGATATCGACATAAAAATTTTCTTCGTCAGTAAGAATGAATCACTAAAACAAAGTTAATTGGAGACCCGAGACCCAATAACTTAATGCAAGATCATTTTTTAGTCCAGTCAGTGCAGGTAAGGTTTATAGGGACCCTAAAATTCAATGGATATACAGACATTGAAGACAAACTCAATTTTAATCAGCCATCTAAGGCATGATAAACTACCTGTCATGCGTCTGATTTTATTGCGTTTAAGGTTATGGGGTTATAGAACACTTCGGTTCAGAATTACGTAGCCCTATTTCTCGTTAATGATCTTTATTCGTATAATACCTCTTCTATCAGATATAGGAATAAGAAAAAAAGTTTAACTTCCTAGCATTCTTTTCTTCATACATATCATATATATCATTGCGAAAACTGCAAATTTTTTTCAAATGGCAATATCTTCAGTTTGAAAAATTAAGATCATAAATGTAAATAGCGAAATGGAAAGTTGAAAACTGGCGGAAAATAATGAAAGTTGGCGAGGTTATTGGTGTTGAAATATAACGAAAAACCGTGTTTTTTCGCACTTTTAGGTTAGGAATACTCAAAAACCTGACGTGATAGAGCAATTCGGAGCCCGGATTCGATTTCTACACCAAAAATTACTTAAGAAATGACTTTCAGCTATTCCATAACAAAACCATGCAGATCTGTATAATCATCCCCATTAGAATCTTCCTCATCTGTTGTTTTCTTTGAAAAATGATATTTAAAAAAAAAGTTTGCAGTATTCGGTAAAGTTCAATACTATTAATGAATGACGGTACAAAGTTTTAGCTATATTAGAGCGAAATAGTGGATTATCCTTGAAACTTTGGCTTTTGATCACAAATGCAGCATTGGCTACAACTACGTGGGATATTTTTCATACGGTACTCGTCAAATTTAACATTCTCTTGAATTTTTCTCTTAGTGAATGCGCTCCTTTTACCGCAAACGACTTGAATTATGACACCAAAAGATAGAGTTTTCTTCTTGTTAAATGGTCGGTAGTTCGATTTTTCATCATAATTAGATAAAAATTCAAGTATGATAAAATTGTTGTTATGATTATTACAAAAACTATAAGTTCATAACAATCATGTAACTCCTAGTGAAAAAGAATGACCGAATCAGTCTGCAATACATTTTTCACGGGGTCCAAATCGTCCACTACATAAATACTACAATGTAATACTGTATACTAATTACTGCAATGCAATGCTATTACAATATAAAACTGTATACTAATACACTACATAACGTTACCACTTGACATAAAAGCCAACAACGCTCGAATTAAAATTCCACAATATTAAAACTTACAAAGCTTTATTAACCAATTCCGCCAAATTTTTTTGAAGGGTAATTATGATTAGAATGTGTCTAAAAATTGTATTTTGATTGAGAAATGACGGTTTATTTTAATTTTTCAAGGGAACGAAAAATATACACTGACGGAATTGATATTATAAGATTTACCGTAATTCATAGTAAAAATTGTTACTACAAAACATAGTGATCGTGATATATACTCTGCTTTACTGTGTAATATAATAAAAATTAGTAGTAAATACTACTATAAACTGAATAGAGGAGATTAGCTCAGTAAATTTTACTGTATAGCAATTTTTACAGCTTCGGGAAACTAAATTAAAATGTTATACTGATGCGAATAATTATAGGTCACATTAATCTTAAAATTCTTTTTTGGAGTAAGACCTGTACACAATTAATTAATCATTACCGTCATTATATATATGTGTGTGTGTGTGTGTGTGTATGTATATATATTGTGTATCTTATCTACTTATTAATTCACAAGTTAATCTTTACGTGTAATTCACCTATTAGCTGCTTGATTGCACGCATTTTCACATGCAAGATTCAGACTGACGTTTTCTCATACAGTAATCTAATAATGATTTTACCACTTGTGGGAATTGGATATTACCTACAAATTATTAAATTAGCAATGTACAGTTGCTACTACTGACACACTAAAATCCTTAATCCGACCCCAGTAATTTTTGCTTTGTTGATTGTAAAAATTATTAGTACAAGTTATTAGTACAAATTATTAGTACAAGTAGAAATTGTTGCTAGATATTCTAACATGTTATTATAATTATTATAGCATATAACTTATTATTTGAGTATATAATAATTGTTAATATATGTTATATCAACTCTTCAATACATTCATCTAAAAGGTATTATGTATATAATAGAAACTAATAAAAGCTTAATCAACTTTGCAATGACTAGAGTATATTCCACAATTAATATGTTTTGTAGTAAAATTTATAGCATTCATAGCACATTTTATTATAGCAATTCTCTCAGTGTAAATAACAAACAACTTAAGCTCATCGTGATGTAACGAAGTAACTGTTATGCGTTATTCTGTTTTCATAAGGTATGAGAATCTAATTTTAGCAGAGCGATAATAACGTTACTAACGCTTAAAAGTACAAGTGGAATGGAAAATGTAATCTAATCCAATGACATCAATAAAATCTATAAAAATTAATATCTATTAAAAATCTATAAAAATTTTAACGTAGTACAATATTTATTCAGAGTTATTTTAAATTACTAAAAAGGGTACGTAATTCTTTAGTTAATTATGAGGAAATTAAATTAGATTGTTCATATGCATGTTCATCTAAGATTTCAATATAAAGTGAAAATGAGAGATAAAGAGAGAGTGCGTATAAAGGTACGATCGCGACAGTTGATTTGATAAATTTTGATATAAATTTCAAAAAACTACGAGTAATACATAATATTTGTATGTTTCATTCGAGGGCATACTCCTTCTTAAATAAGCTGTAAATTTAATTTAACTTTTTATGGGTACGGGTTTAAGTTTTCAAAGCGTACCCACAAGCCTTTTATGAACTATGAAAAATTTAAATTGGTCCATATTCCATGCGGCGTATGAGTTCTTAACGAATGTTGTAATTAATAGTTCGGTAACTTATTTCATTAAAATTAGTCAATGAGGTATACCTGAAAAAGTCCTCGCTAAAAACTGAAAATATTAACTTACGTTGTGACTTCGATAATGTGGACTAAACTGAACCAGATCGAAAACTTCGGGATTCGCGGCACTTAGTAATGTGCTACGTCAAGGGAAAAGAATAAAAGCATTCCTTTTATATAAAATGAATGGAATAGAATTTGGAAAATTTTTGTAACGGACCAATTTTTTCGGTTGTCTTCGAAGCTTCAGCCTTCGATTGCAAAATACAGCATATGCTACGAAATTACCAATATATCTAGTAAAGTGCTTTTTCGAATAATACTTACAAAATTTCGCCGATTTCCCAAACTTTTCTTACCATAAAAACACTAAACCTATTTCAAGCTTCTTCATTTACCATATAAAAGAAAGGGATTCGTTGTTTTGACAAATCTCTGGACAAGGTTTGATACGTTTTCTTTCATAGTGGCTGTTGGTAACGTCACGAAAATTGTAAGAAGGTTTGGTACCGATGGTTACAGTTCGTTTAGCCCAATAGCTTCAAATATTTTTCAAAAATCAGTATATTATTACTTCTACAAGAAATAGATACAAGAAGCAGTTATAATTCGTAATATGAAAGATCCAGCATCTGATAAATAAAGATATTTTTATTAGTAATGTGCACTGTGTTACAGTGTTCCGGTAAAAAATAAAAGCAAGTGCAAGGAAATATCCATAAGTAACGATGTCAATGTTTTAGAAAGGCAGAGACTTTGGTATTATAAACTATTGATCACTTATCATGTCAAATTAAATACACGTGTGGTAATTTATCAATTACCAATTAGAACGCATTAATTATATTGAAACGCATATTACATGCGGAGATATAATACATACAAAGATAACGGATTTTGATGGACTTTCGAAGCATTACTAAGGAAAAATAGCAAATGTTGTACTAAAAGAAATACGTCAAAATTTATTTCGAATTAATATTTTTATAACCGAGAAATATAGCATACATTGTAAATAACGACATGTACAGTATATGAGCACTAGTTCAATTTTTTAAATCGCCCCCACAAACCTCCCTTGTACCCAGTCATAATTGAATTTGGATCAATTTTCAGAGGCATTTTCGTCATCGGTGAATGTTCAATGGAAAATTTTGTTATCAGCGATGCAGCACTTTGTTTCACTAACATGAGGCCAAAGCGCATACCAACGCACATTCGTGGTCCCTCTCCAAATGGCAAAAATGTGTACTTGTTGTAGCGCTTCTGGTTTACCGGACTGAATCTCTCTGGGTCAAATACTTCTGGATTGTGCCAATATCGTTCATCTTGCTGCAGGCATATACCAGGAATGAAAACTACATTGCCGGGTTTCATGTGACAAGTGATGCCATCGGAACCCTTCAATGTTATCTCTTCCGTGCAATATTTCATTTGTACACCAAATGGCGGAATCATGCGTAACGATTCGTGAATCACTTGATCGAGGTAAGTCATATTTTTCAAAGATTCATAAGTCACTTGTCCGTTGTTCTCCCTCAACACTGCAGTAATGTGGTCACGTAAGTTTAATTGAATCTCCGGGTTCTGTGACAAGAGATAAAATAGATTGGCCATAGCTGAACTAGAAGTCTCATAAACGTCACCATAGAAATTAACTACGTCAGCGAGAATATCGTCCAGATCTGAGCTACATTCCAGACTGAATTGTAGATAATCATTCGGAGTCTTTCCAGTCTTTTGTCTCTTTTCAAGAATCTTTTTAATATTTTGTCGCATGTATTTGTCGGATTTTTTCGCCAAGAAAGCAACGCCTAAGAAATTTGCAACACTAGGGAAAAAGAATATAATTGATTGTTTAATACCGTTGATTAATGTCGGTTCTAATAGAGTTTTGGCGATGTTGGTGAAGGACAGGGGATCTGGATTGTCTTCAAAGCTCTGACCTTCGATTGAAAATGCAGCATTAGCTACAATTTCCCCGGTACATCGAGTAAAATACTGCTTTAGTTCGCACTCGTAAAATTCACCGTTTTCTTGGATTTTTCTGTCAACAAATGCAATCATTTTGTTGCAAACTTCTTGACTGATGACGAAAAGATACTTAATCTTCTTGCTCGACAAATTATTTGATATTCTATTTCTTCGTTCTCTCCATAGATTAAAATCACTCGTGAAAAATGGATTTTTTATTAAAATTGGGTCGTTTTTATCACTTATTTTTATAAAATTGTTATGAAAACTTGAAAAATTAGTCTGTAATACACTTTTTACGAGGTCCGGATCGCGCACTATTATCCCTGGTTTCCGCATGAAATAAAAGCCAACAACGCTGGAATTAAAATTTTTGTAAGCTTTACCAACAAACTCTGCTATATTTTCTTGAAGGGTAATTACGGGCAGCATGTGCCCTAAAATAGTATTTGGATTGAGTAGTGACGGTACATTTTGATTTTCCCAATGACTGTGAAGTCTTTTCAAGTAACAGTATATTATTAAGAGAATTATGAAAAGTATAAATATCAAGTACGTCAAGCCCATTGTGATGAAGTAAACTAACTTATGAATGTTGTTATGATCTCGTATTATGAGAAGCGAAATAATAAAGTGATGGTAACGTAACCCGTATTGAGCATAAATATTTAATTTTATCTTACTCAACTTGGATAAAACATAACGACATGATAACGAAAACTCCAAAGTCATGAATGATAAAAGATATCGATGAAGTGATTTCTTGTTAGAAGTTAAACAGACTATTGGATAATTAATATAATACTCTAGATTTACATATTTATACGAACAATTTGAGTATGTTTGCTTTTTTAATCTAAATGCCACAATATCATATAACCGTTCGGCGTAAAATTTTTTTATTGTTATTTTAAAGTGAGAATACTTTTAACATTTGCGATGTCTATATTTTTTTATATAGATATATGCATATAGTGTGCGAGCTTCATCATTATTTGTTCTATAAATTATAACAGTTTCAATTTGATTCAAGATTTTCTTGAAAAATAGTAAATATTAATATATTTTCAATTTTATAAACATATTATGTCAGAATCAGTTAAAATCATCAATTCGGCAATCAATATTAACTACACACTTATCTGAATTATTGCCTACTAGCTGTTTAGCAGCTCCCGAGAATAATCATTATCACATAAAATTTCTGACAATCAAGTTTTAGCACCTGCATCGTGAGGTTGAAACCAGTAAAAAAAATTGTAAAATATTTGATAAATCATCTTTATTAAAATGATATTGAAAAAGTCTGCTAGATTTTCAGTCGATAAAGAAGGTCGCATCTTCATTATGACTTATAATTTATAAATTTTAATACGTGTGTTATATTGCATTGATATAATAATTCTTTTTATTCAGAGTATTTCTTTAAAAATAAATTCAAGACAAAGTGCAATTACTCGATAAAACATATTTAAAGCAACTATTGTAACGAACAAATATATAAGATATAATTTAGATTGATAATACAAGATAAAAATTCAAATGAATATCAATTATTAAATAACGTTTTAAAGTCGCTTACATTCGTAGTTTACAAAAGTACACTTTATCACTGTCTGAGATTAATCTAATAAATTATAACAAAGCATAAAATATAGCAAAATGATAAAAAGGTATGTATGTACAAACAGCATAATAATATGTTAAAAACATTAATATCGAAAAACGAACTGCCACCGTTAACAACGTAAACGAACTTTTTCAGGAGAGCAATCGCCTATTTTTCATTCTCAAGGATAGCTACATCCACATTAATGTTATGAAGGATCATTATATACCTTGCAATGTATAATGATGATTGAAAGATACTATAAATATTGTTTTTTAAACATCACAATCATCAACTTGACTAGAGACCTTTTTACAAAGAGCCTATTGTTTTCGAAAGTACAAAAATAGCTCTAAAAAGGAAATATGTTATTTCAAAAATATATAGGTATATCCGCGTATTACGTAACTGTGTCATTTCTTTCTGTCACACGTATTTTGTACTTTTAATTAACGAGTTATTGACCATGTATCATTCGTCAAAAATCTTGAAACAACGCTAGTTGATCGGGTGGTAAAGCTGGCTGCGATCTCCAGTCAGTTTCTGGGTAATCGTCGAAACAACTTGGATCACATGGTGCTTTCAATCTTGGACTTATTGGAGGAACCAATGCTCGTAATGGAACCTGTGATAAGTAATCACTTGTGGTTACATCATCATATTCTAGTTAAAAAATGTCAAAGCCATAAAAGGATTATTTTTAAGTTTCCTACAAGTTGCATGGAAGCCACCGATCAAGAAATGCATGAGCATAAATTTTCAATGCAAGAGATGATTCGCTAAGACATAAAAATGCATCATTACCTGTGTCCAATCAACAAGCTTGAACCATCGATGCCTTTTAATATCGTCGGCACCTTGTCGCATATTTCCAAGTCTCTTCGTTCTATCGGCGACCAGTAATTTTTTCACCAAATCCTTGGCAATGGGGTCCATATGTTTTGGCCACTCGATTCTACCGCCGAGAATTTTCTCGTAGATGCCAAAGGGATTGTCATCGAAGAACGGTGGAAAACCAGCTAGCATTTCGTAGATAAGAATGCCAAGTGCCCACCAATCGACTGCTTTGTTGTGACCTTTGCTCTGGATGATTTCTGGTGCCAAATATTCTGGTGTGCCGCAGAGTGTCCATGTTCTATAATTAATAATCACCGTTAATTCTGTGCTCATTTAACGATCAACATAGATGTTATGTATTTCAGAAACATTTAACTATGTCTAGCTTGTAGCATAAAAAACGTTCGCGGAAGTTGCACACCTCAATGCGTCTATGCACACTATGTTGCAGATGGTATAACCAACTTTCAACAGCATAATTTGGGACCTTGCCAAATAATTGATGAATGTCGAGATAAGTAGGAGCTAATTAAACGTCTCATAGGCAAGTTTATTATTTACAGTAATTTTCTCAGTCCATTATGTACTCTAAAAGTGGATTGCTCGGATATAAAAGACAACTGATAATTTCTAATCCCAATCAATCGATTCGACGCTATTGCATCGTTGCCGAATAAAAAAATGAAATAAACGGCAAGTTATGTGAATGACGTCGAAGATTTATCGTCGCTGGCTCAAATTCAAGTGCCTTAATTGCTTTCGACGAATTTGTTATGATCGCGATATAACTTTCTCTATAAAATTATTTTCATTTTAATGAGCTTTCGTGTTATTATTATTATTAATATAGTCGCTAATTAACACTGTGATTCGGAACATTGCATCGCTCGGACTGCTGTCAACTGAAATGAATACAGTGTGATGTACGGTTGAATTGAATCAACGGGTTTGAAAATACGACAAAATACGGCGATACACACCTGTCAGTCAATTTTTTGGAGAATCCAAAATCGGTGATCTTTAGATGTCCCTGACTGTCCAGCAATAAATTTTCAGGCTTCAGATCTCTGTAGACAATGTGCTTGCTGTGCAAGTACTCGAGGGCGGAAACGATTTCGGCAGCGTAAAAACAGCTAGTCCTACCGGAAAATCGTCCTGCCGCGCGGAGATACGAGAAAAGTTCACCGCCAGCGACGAACTCTAATAGCATATAAATCCGTGCTTCGTCTCTTCCGCTCCAGAGCCTTAAACAACACAAAAGCCGCTTTAGTATGGTTAACAATTCGTTTCAGAGATGCAACTGTATGTTTGATGCCTGGTCAGTTACAAAAATCAAATAATTTCGAGTTCGAAGTCGACAACAAAAAAATTAACGTTTACGCGGTCGTCAACTCGAATTTCTTCCAGTCGGCTGTTAGTGTTTTTGTGTATGAATAGAGAATCGTCGTTGTGTGTTTCGTAACGCGTAGCTCGGAATTTAAAATCGGCTGCTTTCAGCCTGCGTCTTAATTATGCTCACATGTTAACTATAAAGGGATGTTTGACTTCTTTCAGCACTGTGATTTCGTTGCGTACGTGATCCACCTGCTTCAGCCGGATGACGTCAACCATCGAGAGGATTTTCAAAGCCAACGGCTTTCCTTGATGTCGACATAGTATCACTCTGCCGAATGTTCCTGTTCCTAATAAAAATAATAAGCATTCATGTACATAAATATTTATTGAGATTAATTTTAAAAATATAATGTTGATGCTTATTAAAAATGCCATTTCACTGAAATTAGACAAATTAAAAAATATTTCTTTTTAATTAAATTATAAGTGAATAGCATGTAAAAGCTAAAGTTAATTTGTAAAAGTTTGTAAGAATCTCTTTTTTCAATTAGTATTATGATCAGGTCCTCGGCTAATCAAAGGTACCTGACTTGAAAAGTCAATTGATAATGTCTTCATTTTATTTTAATAAACTTCTTCAATTTTTATGTATCAAAATCAACTTGATTGAATCTAGACTACACCCACTGCAATTTCGAGAACAGAGAAGAGTCGAGAAAATAAACAGACAAACATTGCTTTTTACTGTGATAAAACCAAGGTGAATGATTAATCAACGACGCAGTGCATCTATAAAAATACTCGAATGTAGCACAATGCAGGTTAAGTATTTTATTACGTCTCCCGCACAACAGAAAAAGAAAATAATTTTTCCCAGCATGACAATATTTGTTATTCATATAGGCTAGAAGCCAGCTAGAATCAGCGTTCACCTCGATAACAAGCAAACACTTGGTCGAAATTTTCCGCCGAGAACAACAACAGCAAAAGATTTGCGTCCTATCAGTAGGTGTGACGGCAATGCGAAGCTTCGACTGCAACGTTGACTTTTCTTCCGCGCGACGCGCGTCGCATGCGCGCACCTTGCGCACGCACGAAAACGATGTTGGCAGGTCCACGCCCACGTCCGCTTCAAGAATAAACCGCGAGAGAAGCTCGCGTAGAGTGCATGCGCGCGACCGATACGTTTTCAGTGCATCGCGCGCATATGTATGCGCGTGCACTTCCGAAACAACGCCAGTGAATTTGTCGAGAATAGCATTCCCACGGACGACCAATTAGCAGCCCGTCAATGACTGCGCGGCGTCGCTGTCGGGCGACAGGTGTCACGATGGCCACCGTCCGACGACGCGATCGGTGAATTTAAAACGGCCGGCTCGCTTCTGCTTCTTCGTTATATAAAGTTTGACGACTGGAGGTGAGTTTCGGGGAATCGTGAGGCTGTCCGAAAAGCTCGCCTCACGTATACACCGCTATTTACGCAACGCAGGTGTCATTATAACAGCCGCTGCAAGCTATCGTCGTAGCTTCCGAGCAACGATATTACAGTCAGCAAAGTATCACGACTTTACGTAAAGCTTTCTTGCGCTGTGCAGCGGCGAACTATCGACTTACAACGAAGAACAAAAAAAAAAAAAAAGAAGTTGGAAGAAAAGGGGGAGACAAAGACGGGAGATTTGCTGTGTTAGAGATAAAGAGAGGAAAAAACGGCGCCGGCCGACTTTCACTTCGATAAATGCACTTCGGTTTCGGCGGCGCAGAGGGGAAAAAAAGCTCGATCTCTCATCGACGCGAGCCTCGCGTATGTACTACGGCATTTTAATGGCAATCCCCTTCTCCCTCCATTCGACAACTTCATTTTGGAAGCGCGCGCGTGTGTTGCAATCTCGCCTCGAGATCAAATTACAACTCGCGAGCGCGCGACCGCCGCTGAATTTTCTCCTTTGCCCCGCTCGCAATAATTATTTACGGCTGCTTTTGCGACCAGACAAAAAGCCAGCCAGTTGAATGATTGTCGTCGTTGTCGTGAAAGCATGACCACGCGAAATCGTTTGAAACGAACGGGCTTTAACGGGACCTGAAAGAAAAAAAAAAGAAAAACGACAAAGACGCGTGAAAAGGAGGACGAGCATCCTCCGTAGCTGCTTGTTTTCATTTTCAACTTGTAAGCTACTTCGTTAACGAGAATGAGCATTGACAATTGCTCGTCTTCGCTTTCTTTTTTTTATCGTTTTTTTGAGAAAAGAATCCACTTATATGCCTAGCATGAAACGACTATAGGTATGAAAAAATTTATCATTAACATTAAATTATCATTGGTATTGCTCAGTGCACCGGTGTGCTCAGAATAAATATTCAACGAACCAACGTGCAAGATTCATGTGTTATTCGTTGAATGCACGTGCGGAGTGAAAGTGAACGCACAAATTAAAAAAAAAAGTCTATTATACCTATAGTCCTTATCATCTCCAAGTCGTCGATATCATATCTCTGCGAATCTTCTTGGGATGATTCTTCCGAGTCGGACGTTGCTTCGCTGGACATCTTTCTCACACTTATGCGTTGGTGGTGGTGGTGGTGGTGGTTCAACGATCGACGCTCTCCTTTTCTCTCTCACTCGCGAGAGCTATACCGTTTCACAGCCACGCACTTTTTAATACGCCTGTAAAACGAAGAGCAAACTGGTTGATGACGGTGACGATGAACGTCGATGACAGATTAAGCAACACCTTCTGCTCGTGTGATAAAGCCTGGTTTTAATTTCGGAGCGATTGTTATTGATGAACATTTCTCAATTCGGAGCTTTCAATTACTGTTATCGACGCTCGTTAGTAAAAGTGCCCGAGGAGGTGACCGCATGTGTATTATAAGATTGTGAGAAACCGCAGCAAAACGCGCGACAGACGTGCCTCTCGAGATATATAAAACGGACACTCGCATTTAAAATAGATGTATGTGTCACTGAATTCTTTTCTTAATTTTTCGATCGCTCCGAGATAATCCTAGAGCATTAAACTGTTTATAGAGAAAAAAAGCTCTCCCGTATTTGTGCCATAAACAATGGAGAGTGTAGCGGTTAAACAATTATCCGCGTTCGACGAACTTGGTAAAAAGGGAAAATAATTAAACAAAACAAGGCGGTAAAAAAATTGAATAACCTTGTAATGATATAACGGTGAAACAATGAAACAATGAAGCACTGACGGCCTATGTGTAAAGCACTTTCAAGACTGCGTTCTACCTTCACCTTCTTCTTCCTTTCTCTCGCGCGAATATGTACGATTTTTTCTTATCGCGAAAGAAAAAAGTGCCCGTAACAAAGGCTTTCACTTTCCTCGGTATGGCAGATTTTTTCATAAATTCTTTTGCAAACGTGAAGGCGAAAAAGCGAGCCACTTACGAGAGACTCGGCCAGTTTCTCTGCGCGGTCTAAGCTAACAAACTGGAAAAGGCCTTTGGAGAAGGAACGACGAGAGAGACATTTTTCCGAGTACAGTGTGCACGAGCTCGCTGCAACTGTGTGCCACTGGCCCGTTCCAACGAGGGCCGACGCGAGCGCGCGCGTCGAGCCACATTAACTTCTCGCGGAGTAGCTTTCCGCGATAACTCACGACGGCACTCATCGGCAACCGCCGTTACGGCGATCTCACGGCTCCTGCGGGCGTTCGCAAAATGATCACCTCGCGTTCCGGCGCGTGCGCGGCAAGCAGCAGCGGACACGGGCCGCTGAGCGAAGCAGGGCTTACCTATGCTCGTCCGCTCGTCGTGCGGGCCCAGCGCGAGCACTCACGCGGCGTGGTGCGAGGCGCGCGGGGGCCAACGGCGCCGGTCGCAGCCCGCAAAAATCGAGGCAAAGAGTCTCGGCAGCGAGTCGCGAGCCGGCGCGACTACCTTCCGCGATCGAGCATCACGGAACTGAGAGCTCCGCCGCGCGTTGTGTGTGTTGCGAGCGAGCGCGCGAGATCTCCCTCGAAAGGCCGTCTCTCCCACTACCGAATGCTGCCCGCGCTCGCGCGCGCGCGGTTTTCTCTTTCCGCGCTCGCGCGCCGCTTTTTTTTCTCTCCTCTCTTTTTCGAAAGTCGCTAAATTTACAGGGTGAGAGTGCCGCGAGCGTCGTCTCGCGCTTGCAATTGCCTCGACGACTGATTGCCGGCAGCGTCCGCGAGATGACGTGCACGCACGCCGCTTCCTTTATTTATTTTTAGACGCTTTCTTATTTTCTTCTATTGGCGAGACGCTCCGACACCGAATATGCTTACCCGCCAGTTTCCTCGTCTCGTCTCTATTTCATTTCATCGAGCAGACGTGGCGCGCAACAACTGCTTTCGTAGGGGATTTCGCTCGTGCACCTGCACTCAAATTCGCATTATAGATAAGGACAGTTTCCTTATAGTTTCCTAACACACAATTGTCATTTTTGTTTCCTCACACGCTGATTGCAAAGCTAATTCAACTGAATGCCGCGTGACGCAGCGAATCGGGGATATAGCTAAAGCCGTTTAACGTTCGAAACTTACTTAATATTATACAGTAGATAAATGATAAGCTGTTGTCGGGTAACAGCTATTGCTTGAGAAAAAAAAAGGTAAAAGTTGCGGTTCGAATAATGCTCTCCCAACGTACAATTTATACATTTTTTTAAAAACGCGATGGAAAAGTATTTCGAAGGTAAAATAATTTAAGGCATGCAATAAAAGTACTTTAACACTCGGATTGTACACCAAGCATAATATAATTTTTATGAATTTTGTTTAAGATCATTTCATTTGTCAAGCAATCAAAACTACGTGGAAATATGGTGTAAGAATTTTATTAATATAACGGACGTTTCTCGAAACTTTATCGACGAGCGTTTCAACTTGACATTTCCAAAGTAACACGCAAGTACATGTTAAAAATAGTATCTACTATCAATATAAATACCCTCAATCATAGTTAAATACTATTCGTTATATAAAACTAGAAAACCATCGTCACTTCTCCGACTTCGTAGAATAGAAATCTAATTTACTTAATCGATACGATTAGCTATCGAACAGTTATAATGGTTACAATCGACTTGTGCATTGGGCTTCTTTTGAATGAACTTGAAAAGATAAATAAAAATACAACAAAATTAAAAGCCCCTTGAAAATCCACGTTTATGCATTTATTTTCACGCCTCGGCTATCAACGCCAGCTTACATTTTTCATCGTCGTCGCGACACGTATTAGAAGTAAAAAAGAAGCACACGTGTCGCGCGTTGTGCCGTATATAGAGGTTTCAGTTTAATCGTCGATGAAATTTGTGAAAAGAAGGACGTCTCCTTCCTAAACTGTTTATCGGTGTGGCGCCGACTTTTCATATAAAAAGAATTGGTAAGGCAAGCTCGCTCTGCCACCAAGTCGCTCGGCGCTTTTATTTTTCGCCAAATTGGCTCGATTCCAATGTGCAGCGAGCGTCACGCAATCGCGGCAACTTCGTCGTATCGCCGTAATAATACAGACAGCGTGAATGAAAGATTTTCGTTGTCGCTTCTTTACGCGCAACAAATGTTTGTTGCTGTCAGTTTATGTGTTGCTTACCACCAATCGTTTTCTGTGTATTTTGTTTATCTGCAGTTTGCCACTAGCCAAATAGATGACAGTACAAGTGAATATATGTATATATATATGCCGAAGCTTCGAGTGAACAAAATAGTTTTTTTTTTATTTGAAAAACATAATTTTGGAATGTAGTCATTGAAAATAATTTTGATATCGAATCTTTATTGCAACATCTTTAAACATTTTATGTGAAACTAGGAAGTCTATTAGTTAAGTTTTCAGGCATCGGCAACTCTTTTTCATTATAATACTTTTCGAACAAGTTTTTCGTGGAATTTCGTAAAGCAACATTTCAAATTTCCGAGAACTGCTTAAAAACGTTTTAAATGAATTAATTTTAAGCTGAAAAATCACATTTACAATGACAAAAATGACCACTCATCGCTTCACTTTTCTCTCTCTCTCTCTCTCCCTCTCTCTCTGTCTTTTAAACTGGTTCTCATGCTTGCGCTACATCCCGTTATACTTTTTTTAGATGATGTATGAAGCCATTACGCAGCTTTTTATTCTCCGAAATGTTATTTTGACGCGAAGTTTATTATGTTGTAAAAAGTTGAACGAAAAGAGTTCTCATGTCGCACTTAAAAATTAAAGTTTAATAATGATGCAACTATATAGTATTTTATATTGTATTTATAATCCTTGAAAATAATAATTTGTATAATCACATGATGTTTCGATTAATTAATATGGAATCAGGTTTTATTATAAAAGTTTAGTTACAATAGTTTTTGTATTGTACATCCGTAACAAACTAAAATTGAATAATAAACTCTATACTAGGAAACAATAAAATCATATAATATTGATACCAAATTTCACCTACAAATTCCGATCATTTTCCAGTAGAGGGATGTTGGTGCATTAATAAGCGTCTTCAGACTTTTCATGTTCGTCCGACATAAATTTGTATTGTCATTGCTTACGATCTTTTTGGGCAAATTTTTGTTCGAAAAGATCGTAAGCAATAAAAATATTCTCCCTTGTACATGTGCGTATACGATCTTAAACTTTTTGTAAATTATTAATTATTGGTATTACACATGCCTTTTACGTGTATTTTTCCCGAGAGGTCTGATAAATATTTTCAATATTTTTTCTAGATATATTGTATATTTTAATTGATCGATGAGTAAATAAACGAAAGTTCAAAGCTTTTGATCGTTTATGATGACAACCATTAGCTCCATTCGAAATACAAACAAACAATATAGTGATATATAAGTGAATGGCGGTACAGAGAAAATTGCAATGAAGCGCAATCGCGGGAATTTTTGGCTCTTCTCATTATCCCCTTAAATGTGAACTAAAAGAAATAAAGATCATAACGAAGGAAAAGAAGTAAAGATCATAACGAAGGGCTTCGTTTGCTGCACAGGCGAAATCAAGATTCGTCATTACGTCATATTTGTAGAACACGATTCGCGCTAAGTAGCTAAAGCTCGACTGCAGCAGCGCGCTCGTTGCTACTATCGCGTCAACGCGATCGAGTGATCCGCGATGTCGATTGTCGCTCACGAAATCCGCACGCGAACGAGCGCTCTCGTTAAAGCTCTCAACCGTGTGAACGTCGCCTAGGCGCGGTGGCTCACGCGCGCGAGCGCCGGAAATCGCGAGAGGGAAAAAAACAACAGAGAGACACTGCAAGGCCGATAAGCCAGCGTTGTTACGGTTGTTACGGTTCATTAAGGTATGCATGCACTCACGGACGTTTATGAAGAACGCGCAAAAAATAAAGAAACGAGTCCTCGCTGGCTCGTCGTTTTTCCCTCGGTTTCTTTATTACGAGGAAAAAAATAAAGGTTTTCGTTTGCGCTCGAATGAGAACTTGGGAGAATTCGTTCGCCCGGCTGTTGCCGATGGATCGATTAGTCTAATAGCAAAGAAACGCAACGAAGAACAATCGTACGAAAATAGCGGCGAAAAGTGAATTGTAGCGAGTTTCCTTGGTGCTTTCTGAAAATAGATAAATAGATCGACAGCGCAATAATACTTTGCTACATTTGAACTGAAGATGTAGTATTTCATTCGGCTTTATCGTGGTTTTCAGTAAAATAAAATCGTGTGTTTGCAAATTTTTAATGATTCGGTGAAACGAGCGACGGTTAATCTTCACTCTTGTGCGACGTAAAATTTTTCCAAACAAAAGACGAATAAAAACTAAAGCACGTACATCAGCTGAAGATTTATCGTATCGCGTATACATAAGCACGAGAAAAAAAAATTCCTCTGGATGATTAATTGTCTTCAAAGTGAGGTATTGAAGCTTCAAAGAATGTGCGGTAATTCATGAATCGTCGACACGAACATATATATACAGAGCGCAATAGCGGTGGTCTGTCTGTCGTAACGATATTTTAATTACCCCAATTTTCCGTGAGTGGCTTTTGCGCAATACTCTTCTTTGCCGCTCTATGATTAGTATTATATATCTATGAAAAGTCGTCATGGTCCGTTCTCACAGCATACTGCTCCGGCCAAAGTAAACAGGAAAAAAGTATCGGCTCCACCAGAGAGAAAAAAATTATTATAACCCTCCATTTCAGCTGTGGTGAATTACGTCTTTCCTCCTCTTTTTTCTCGTTTTTACCTGATAGAAAGTATATAATAATCCCTTGATGCAATTATACCTTTACGATTTCGTTTCAAGTGCTTCCTTTCACGAAATATATCAATTGTACGTATAAAACTTTGAAAAAGTTTAATATTAGAATCGAGTACGAGGACAAAGACATTCTTCGAATCGAATAATCCCGCAAAGCTAAGCCAAGCCTATAAAACCAGCTGTAATGCGCTGCGCGGTTTTACACTACATTTTCGTGCTGATACAATGTATAGGACATATATTTCCATTCGCTCGCGCAATTACATCGCGCATTTACCATTCACTATCGGTTCGAAGTTTTTTCCTATTTTTTTTTTTTTTTTTGCTCCAGCAATTCTCTTCCACCTTATTAAAGAGTGAAGACTCCACGACCGCCCGCGCGAACAACGACACCGACAATAAGACTTGAAGCGACTTACACATAGTACTTGCGATTTCCAAGAACGACAAACGGTGATTTGGTTT